TAATGACACTATGGTGTTTTTACATGTGAGGCAGGAGTATTGATGAATTTTACCTTTTTTTTGTGATCATTAGGCATATACCACTTTCTGGGGTATCTTTATATATTGATACCCAGTGTACCTTTTCTGAGCATTATGTTACCATCAGGGGATCTCGAGTTTAGTTTTGTTTAGTTCCACTTGTTACCGCAGGGAGCTTCAAAAACATTGAGCCTCAAGACCTTTTGCCAAAGATTTCAATTTAATGATTCTAAGTTTTCATTGAAGTATTTTTAATATTGAGCTGACTTACAATTCTTGAAATGTTCGATGGTACCTTTTTTTCTTAGTCTAATTATTTCTGAGACATACCTCATATAAAGTATTCTACAGTTAAGGAACAGAGGGTCTCCAGATATACTCCAGAAGAAATGTCCACAGACGGCCTGAGCCATTTTTCTTGGAAGCATCTTATTTGTTATGTTCTCTGTAAGACCCGGAGGAGTCACCCTATCTCCTGGCAAGAGAAGTGGCCAGAGGAGCCCAGACCATGGTCCCAAACCAGCCAAGGCCACTGGAGTAAGGAAATCCCATTTTCAGGGACTGCTTTCTCCACTTTTCCTTCTGGAAACCCTTTTCTTCTTTGTGGACCAGTCTCTTGACTGACTCTGGGTTGACCCCTCTGAGGTTTCTTTTCTTTGACTGCTTACTGCCAGATGGGTTTTGAGCAAACGAGCTGTTTTGCAAAAAATTTTCACACTTCCCTTTAATCTCTGATTTATATGGCTCTGAAGAACCTATTTGGAATTAGAAGATGCACAGAGCCATGCAGAGGTTTTCTCTGCTCCCTTTGGGGCTGGTTCGGAGGGCAGAGGCTAGAGTTCAGCAGACCCTGTGTAGACCTTGCAGAAGGTTCTGCCTGAGAAAGTGCAGGAATTGATGGACTGAGGTGTCTTAATCCATTTTAGTATGTCAGCTAAGCCAAGGAGAACATGGATGAGGAAGAGGGAATTGGCAATTGGAGTTTTCCATGTATGCCCGGGTGCTTTATGACTTTCGAATGAGAGCCAAAAAAGAAAACCAGCAAATTTCCCTACCCGAGCATGGTGCTCAGACTTTCAGTTCACCCTGTGTGTGCGCGCTCCTGTGTGTTTGCATCAGCAGGACCCATTTCATGAAGTGCCTCCTGTGACACCCCTACCTGCTATTGCTGTTCACCTGGAAATAGCCTGGTCACTGCATTGTCGTTGTGACTCAACATATTGTTCAGACTTGTAGTGTTAATCAAAATGTTCTTTGGTTCTAATGTGATCAGTAAGCCTTCATAGTTGTCCCTGTAGAAAAGACAGTTCTGCTTTCTTGTAGCTTAATCTCTAATCCTTTTTATTTTTATCACCGTAAGTTATTTTTATCTCCATAAAAATTTTCCAATTGGAAACTTGCTAGCTCTTCTTTTTATGGAACGTATTACTCAGTCTCATGCTCTGTTTTGACAAAGCTGTGCCACTAACCCCATTCAGAGAGGAAAGAAGGTAAACGCACAGTTCAACAAAGTGAAGCGAAGCTCCTGCTCATTTTGCAAAGTTAAGCAAATTGCTCTTGTGGAAGCTATTTTAAAATTTATCCCTTTGACCAGTATTGACTGTCTGCTACATTTCACTTTGCTGCTTCATATGTAATAACAGTGATTCCACTCTGGGTATAACCTAGTACTGTTATTTATCAGTCTACTTACTCGAGGACATAAAGCTTTTATTGCTATGAATGGCTTGCAGATTTGGGTTTTTTTGTTCTTTTCCTTCTGCTGTTGGGATTTGTCTTGCCTCACTAACAGTTTGTTTTTGCTCTCAGTTGTGTTTAGCATGCCGTAAAGCTGGATGTCCACAAATGCATGAAATGATCAAAATGTCCGTTACGAAACTCCTCACTGCCCTGTGTCTTCGTGCGTTCCCTGGTGATCAGGGGCCTGTGGCTTTTCACAAGGTATTTTACTTGGTCCTTTGAGCCTCTGGCAGAGATCCAGGACTGAGGTTTTTTGGTGTCAGTTCTACACTACGAAGGCAAAGGGCATGGGGTGTAGAAGTGACCTTGGAGATTTGTAAAGAAGAAATTGATGAGCCCTTTCCCAGAAACTCAGCCTGCATTTGGAGTTGGTGTTCAATTGGTGTTCTCTTAGCTTCTCTAATTAAATGTGCTCATTTTAGCACTGCCCCATAGTAGGAAAAGAAAAACATTCACAAAGTAAAAAAAGCATTGGCCTTTAGTATAATAGTCAGGTTTATCATTGAAACACTAGTTCTATGAACCTTACCATTTTAAAGACATTTATTATTATTATAGTAAGTGTAAGAAACATTTCTTTAGAAGATGTCGGGACAGCTGAAATCATTTCTTACTGGGTATCTAAAGATGGTAAGATTATTACACACATGCTCATTTTTATATTTAAAAAGATACCCCTTTTTCACATGCAGCATTTATACTCCCAACTTTCACAGGATGAGCTTCTTAGAGTGATCATTTTTTTAAAAGCAGAGTAAACAGATTTACCTTTTCCCTTAATAAAATGTCTCCTGCACGAAGTTGTTTCCACTGTTTACCTCTAAACACTGAAAATGGTGGGGACATTAAAAGTTGAAGAAATCTGTTTGGCATTTGGGAAGTTGTCCGTATACAGCACTGTTTGTGTTACTTAAAATCCAAGTCCCTCATGTGTGCTTTCTTTCATTGGTGTAAAGTGACGGATGTAATTTTTAAAGGAAGGTTTTATAGAAGGTATGGCTCTTAGTATGCAGTAGAATTGTTTATATTAATATCAAGTATGTAGCTCAGTTCTCAAAATAGCTACTCTTTCATCTTTAATGCTTCTCAACTTCAAATTTCTCCTGAAATTTAAGCTTAATGATTTAAAAGATCAACAGTTATAAAGACTTACTGGGAAAATGTAAGAGTTAAAGAAAACTTGAATTCTGATGTATAAATAGTACTAGAGTGCCTAATTAAACTGCAGAGAATTTGGTTTCATCAAAGTGAAACAATGCACTCATCTAGACGTATTTTCAAGGCTTTTAAAACCATTTTATCACATGCAAAAGTAAAGGCCTTTCCAGATTAAAACACTTTTTCTTCTAAGTATGTGTAAATGGTACCTCAAGTACATAACAATCCATGATCATTTGAGAAAATGAATTTGAAATTAACATGCCCTAAATGGTAGTTTGAAAAATAAGTATTTTGGAACTTGCTCTTACTTTTTTCACTTAAAATGAATAAATTCAAACCAACTTCCAAATACACTTTTAAGTTTTAAAAACACATTTGGAATATTAAACATTCAATGGGAGATAAATTAAACTGTAAGAAAATATTTACTTTTACCTAGTTAATTTTACCAAAAAGGTAATTAGAGTGAGTCCTGGTGGAAAACTCTAGCTTAAGCATTAGCAACAACAAAGGTTAACATTTAGTCTCCCATCTCAGCTATCAACTGTCAGATTAACTTTACCGTTTAGGCGAGGACCCAGTATTTTCAATGCAGATATTCCTGGAGATATTCCTAGAAAAATAATTTAGGTACCCTGCATCCCTTCTTTTTCTTTTCGTAGGTCTAAATATGCTTGGTACAATGCAAAAGCAGCACACCTTATGGAAAGAAAAAAGTCGACCAATTTAAAGCATGTATTTGTTGGCATGCCCATCCCTATTTCTTTCAGAGGAACTGGAGGCAATAAAATCTTAAGAGTCATGATATTGAGCATCGTCATCTTCAAGTGAGGGCTTTTTTTTTTTTTTTTCCAGTTGGGATTTCTCCAGGCTGCAGCCAACAGGGAGCCTCCTCAGGTTCCACTGGACACTCAGACTCACGAGACCAGAGAGGCCACAGCTGGCATTGTATTCCCTCAGCAGGACATAGGACAGGGAGCAGACACAGGTCAATGGCAGGCATTTGTCTTCCAGAGGAGGCCTTACACCAGTATGGAGGGTAGTGTCTGGCTCTCAGATGTCAGCTTAGGAGCAAGAAGATGAGAGCGGTCACCTTGGTTTAGGAGCCCTATGTTTCACCAATGGTTGACCCTAGATCAACGCAAAAGTCAGGGGCTCTGCCCCCTCACGCAATAGGAAATCCACACAGAACTTTTGACTACCCCCAAACTTCTAATAGCCTACTAGTGTTCGGAAGCCTTACCAATAGTGTGAACACATATTTTCTGTAATTTGTATTATATACTATATTCTTAAAATAAAGTAAGCTAGAGAAAAGAAAATGTTAATAAAAATCATAAGGAAGAGAAAATACACTTACAGTACTGTACTATATTTATCAATACCATAAGTTTTAAAAAAAGCCACATGTAAGTGTACCCAAGAAATTCAGACCTACGTTCTTCAAGGGTCTCTGATATGGGAACCGGTATCTCTGTAATTCCACAAACAGAGCTTGCAGAGCTCCCTCAGAAGACGTGATCAATGACAAGAGTCACTCGGAACCTCAAACTCCTCACCAGATTTTTAAAGTTCATTCACATCTTTCCCAGTTCAGATACAGCTTAGTAACCAGGGGATGTTTTCCCATAAGCCATGCTGCCTAGTAACGCAGCTGACAGCCACCTTTATCAAGTTTACAGGGGAGACCTGTGTGAGACAGGGTTAATCCAGGGCCAAACTTGTTTACAGAGCAGAAGACAGGGTTTCTCTAACCCTCGCCCCACGCCTCAGAACTCAGCAGTGAATAAATTATTTGCCATATCTAAAAACCACCAAGCTGCATTCTCCTCCAGTGCTCAGAAGAATAAACTTCTAAGAGGGATAATCTTTAGGGAAATAATACTTTCCCTACATGCTCAAAGCATAAATGCCCAGGGATTTTAAATACATGTAGTTACTCATGAATAACTAGTTCTAAATCAGGCTGACTTTCTACTTCAGGGGGATTTCATATCCTCTCTGGTTAATTCCAAAGCATGTCGGTAATAAACTGGTATCTATGGAGTGTGTATGTTGCTGTCTTATCTCTTTACCAGGTGTGCATTGAGACATACACATGTAGCTGTCACCAGCGTAGTATAAACACTGCTGTGCGGGCAACTCTCAGTCAAATGCTGAGTGACTTGACTTTACAGTTGCGACAAAGGCAGGAGAATACGGTGAGCCTTGCGATATCCACATGTTCATCACAGTCTTGCCATCGTCTCTGTGTGTCACTGCATGTTGCGTGTCCCACACCCTACATGTCCCCCCACCCCCACCCCCCGCCAGGGCTGCTCCCTTCTGAAACAATAGGAAGGGCTGGCTTGGTTTGGAAGAACATTTATTTATATAAGTTAAGCTCCTCAAATATATATTTGCCTGTTTCACTCCAAAGCTTTGAGAGTTGTTTTTCCTTGCAGTTTCTGTAATTTTTTTAGTCGTTACTTTAAAATTCTTTGTAAGTCATTTTTTAAAGAAAATTATCAGATTAAAAATTATATTCAAGTATTGTGACATATTACCAAATACCAGAAGTAAATTCAAAATTAATAGCAGTCCACTCCATGCCTTGAGGTTTGGTATATGTGGGGTGTTTTGTTAACTAAAAGATTGTGGCTAAAGCTCTCCTTCCCCTGCTGCTGCTGCCAGGGTAAAGCCGGATTTGTCTTCTTTCCGGCATCAAAGCCTATAGGAGGTTTTGCTCTAAACTTGAACAGATTGTCTAAAATGAGCGTTCCCGGGAAAATGTAAATGTAATTGATTTCTTGTATAAATTATCTTCTGGGAATGTTAATGAGGAGATGATTCCTCTTCAAAATTGGTGTGTTTTTTTTAAATCTCCCTCTGTAAAAATGCAGTTTAAAGTTCTTCTAAACTCAGCAAGAAGTATTCTGAAGTGAGCACTTTATTATTTTTTAGAATAGGAAATCTCAGTGGCAGTCTGAAATATCTTAGAAATTAATTTTACAGAAATCAAGATTCCATGTTTAACTTCAAACATTTCTAATTTTTAACTGTAATAATTATGTAATATTTAGAAAATTAAGGAGATGAGTGGAACTTTTGAGTTTATCTGGTCAAATTCTTTTATTCCTCATAAAAGCAAATCAGGAAGATGAAGCCCAGAGAGATGAAATTGAAACCTGAAACTATGAGCTTGTCCATGAAAGAGCCAGAACTTAAGCCTCTGGTCTCCTGACTGACTTGCAGCCTCGGTTATTACTATGAGCTCTGGCAGCTGGTGTTGAAAAACCTACAACACTGATCAGATAAAAATTAATACTGATTTTTTCTTTTGTGTTTGCTATATCCAAAGCCCACCTTTCTATTTAAAAAATAATTATTTTAATTTTGGGTATTATATTGGCGTAACCCTTCTGCTAGCATTTGAATATGGTGGTGTGGCAATATTAATTTAAAAGAAAGTCTAATCTATAAGTAGAAAACATGTAAGAGGAAAAAAGTATTCTTAATGGAAATGAATGTAAGATGTTGAGAATCTTCATGTTTAATACACAGTCCTATTTAATCTTTGCTAAATGGCAACATGATGAAATACTGTAATGGTAATGATATCTTAATGTTTTGAGATGAAATGTTTAAATAAAACTTTGTAGTTTCAAAGTGATTTCAATTATATTAGTCATTTAATCTTGTTTTTAAATTTTTAAGTGGGAGAGTGTTAGGTTTCAAATGGCACGGCCTTTCAGTTGCTGCTGCCCTTTTGCAAGAGTGGCAACAAACAAGAGTAGTAGAGGGCAGGGTCAAACCCAGGGGTTACCTGCCTCCGTCCTGTGTGCTCTGTAGCTCATCAGCCTTCTGGTCCTGCTCATCACTGACCTTCTGGACTCATCCAGCCGGAGGCAAGATCTCACACTAGGTAGAAAATTAATGTTTCCTGTTATTCCCTTCCTATTACTCATGCGGTCCCTGGAGATGTTTCCATGTCCCAGAAAGACACAGTTCTCAGGATGCTAATATTTGAGTATTTGTGATGTCCACTAGATAGACTAAGTTTTGCCACCTAAGAATGACTATTTTTAAAAAGCTGTTAAAGGGGAATGGTCCATAGGAACGTGAGGTTCCCTCCAAGGAGGCTATGTGTTCTCCCATGGGACACTTACCATTAAGTGGGGAAGATGTGTGGTGTGTAGCACCGGCATGACATTGCAGCCGTCTCAGCATTAGGAACACTTACATACAGTGGAAAGAAAATCAATCTAGAATGCCAAAAGTGTCCGCATGAACAGGAGCTTCAACCTACTATCTATTTGCCTCCCACTCCACTTCCCAGTACAGATTATGCAATTGGATATTGCATCCTCAGAAACCCCAAGGTATTTTCAAGCTTTATCATTGAATTATTTAAATACAAAAGCCGTTGTCAAATTGTAATTCACTCTCTTGGAAAAGAAAAAATGCTACTTGTATATAATTGGGGGTGGGGCAGGTAGGTGGTGTTGGTTCTCCAGTCCTTGAAAATGATTCAGATGTGTTTTTTCCAGAAAATGTTGTATTTAACTGTGTACTGAGCTCTAGACACTGACATAGCATTTCACAAAGAATGTATGGAAGCAGCTAAGCTTGCAAATTAATAACCAGAGAATAGTAGAAATATGTGCCTATAAACAATTTAAAAAAAAAAAAACAGTGCTGTGGGATGATTTATAAACCTGATAGGAGATTAGCATGAAAATGCTCTCTCACTACCTCCCAGTACTAAGAGGTGGGAGGCTGTAGAGTCTCCTTCCTGCTCTCTGCTCAGAAGTCACTGAATTCTCCCTGCTGGGAGGTCAATCTAACTATTGGTAAATATCTTTCCCTCCCTATTCCTCCTTCCTTCAAGGTTTCATCTTTTCCTTGACAGTTCTGGATCTACCAAGCAACAAACAGCCTAGAGTGGTTGGTCTGATCAGACAGTTGAAAGTTAATACGTTGCCCCAGTCAAACAGGAAACTGGTGCTTCTGACCAGCAGTCATCCTTGCACCTGGATGTAAACCTGATCATTCTATGACTAAGAGGCTGTATTCTCTAGGTGCCCATCAGAGCATAGTCCGTGACCCTGGGAAACATCCTTATCTGTGCACAGGTAACTCAGCTATTTAGGTGGGTGTTTGCCCCAGTCACAGCTCAGCACCCTGGAATGATAAAGTGTACCATAGGGCTTAACTCCCAGGAAGCTTATGGACTCTTGAATGAGTCATTTTTGCAACTGATGAGCTCAGTTCCAAACATCTTTTCATAAATACCATGAATAATGAAATACTATCAAGACCTGGAGGGTGAGCTTAGGTGAGTTAGCTAGGCCCAGAGCACGCAAGATGACATTTTGTTTCTGAGAATTTTCCATTGTTTAAGAGTTGGGATTTTTCTTGCCTGAAGCCACTAATTGTCCTGTGTGTGTCTCCTTACTAGATCATTGAAAACCCAGATGTCCCTCAGGAATTCAGGAATCAAGGTATTGACTTTGATTTTTGCTAGCTCAGTTTAAAAAGCAGGTATTGGAATTCCTCCTATGTGCCTGGTATTGGGGATGGAGAGATGAGGATGCTCTCAGGGTAGTTCACCACTTCCTTGGAGCTTCTGCTTGGCTTCGCCTTATGGGGTGTGATTGACCCACGTGTGTTGTCTTCCTTCTGTTCCCATGCTCTCATGCCAACCATAGCTATTCCTGTTCCAACTGTGTGAGGGAAATGAGCTCTTCCTAGACCTTCCTGTTGGAAGCAGAATTTTTTAGTTAATTTTGTTCTTTGTGAAATCAGGTTTATTATTTGTTAAAATGAGAATGGAAAAAGGGTTGTGGAAACCTGATCGGTACAAAGTGCTATTGTACCCGAAGTATGTTTATGAAGTACCTGTGTTTTAATATGAAAAATGAGCTATCTTGCAAGGAATCTTTCAGGAGGTCAGAAACCAAGGTAAGGAACTTTCATTCTGACCCACAGGAAAAGAAAAACTAGAAGTCCATGTATAATTGATAAGCAGTCAGATTTTTAAAAAAATGTTTGGTATTATTGTTTTCTGAAAGAGATATGAAAAATTCAAATCATCTGGTTAAAAATGGAAATGTAAGTTTTGTTTCAGACTTTATTCAGTAATTTTAAAAACTATTGGAAAAACTGGGGTGTTTTGGGGTTTTTTTAAATTTTTTTTTATTTTTGCCAGTTAACAATAGGGTGAAGGGATGGAGTAGAGAGATGAAAAAGAGAAGGAGAGAGAGCTAAACAGCCACAATTAGAAGAAGAGGAGTACATGAAAGATATAAGAAAAATATCTTAAGTCATTTTCCAGAGCATTGCTTGAGTGTGTTGTTTTAGTCATATCTCACTGTATTCTTAGGCCATGGACCAGAAGTGCTACAGAACTTTTTCACCTTTTAATTAATGGTCCCAATGATATGTTCCAACATCTTCTGCCCCTCTCTTCTTCTGTCAATTGCAGTTCCCAGAAAACCTTCATTTTAATGTAGGATGATTTTATAAACCAAAAAGGATGTCAAAGTCCTCTTGGTCACAGATATATCTTTAACATCTGTGTTAGTAGAAAATTGATGGACTCATTTGAAATTTATCTTAAATTGAGGTTAAGGACTATTTATGGCTTTTATTTATTTTAAACTATGTTTTCTCATTGTACCTTACCATATCTCATTTTTTTCCCCTTAATTTAAGATCATACATTCTGAAGGTCAGCGATTTCTCATTCCCCTGCCCTCTTCCAACTTTTATTTTCTCTCTCACACTCTTGCCACTCTTTCTTTCCTTTTCCTTGACATCATGGTCATTCATGCATTCGTTTATACACTCATCAAATAATTAGCCACATTTGTATAGATCTTTACAGGTTTTTATTGATAAAGAGACAAATGCTTCCACTTGTTACTTCACTTGGCCCATTCATCTATGTCACTGGTATATTTACCTCATTTTCCCAAAAGGAAAACTGAAGCCGACCCAAGCTTGTGCCATCCCGCATGCTGTGCACCAGGACTTAAGCAGATTCCAGATTTCAGTCTTTTCCCAGTATACGCCAGTGCTCCTGTGGAAGTTTTGTTGCTAGTTTCTGGACATGAACATGCCTTTGTTTTTCTTTCTTTCTTTCTGACATTGGCCATTGCTCCATTAAGATCCCGTGCTCTGAGGATGCTGGACAGATAGTTAACGTGGGTGAAGATGGTGGCCAAAGTGTTTTGCTGCCTTTGTCTAGCTTCCTGGCTTGAAAAGCCTGCCTTTCTCCCACACTGCCCTATTTTATCTCTTTGGGTTACAATTCTCAGAAAACCCAGGAAATCAAGAATTCAGAATAAGGGATACATGTATAGTCCACTGGGCTAAATATTGAGAAAAATAGTATCAAAACAATTGTGTTGTTTTTTAACCAAATATCCTTTCATTAAGTATGAACGAATTTTATAAGAAACGATCTATTTTCTTTCTGGACTATCTTTTGAGTGTTTTACTTTAGAAAGGAATTATTATTATTTTTAAAATACATTACATTTTGGTGGCCTAAGGAAGGCTCAGCGTCTGATAATCGTCTTTTCAGTCCTGAAAACATCAACAGTGGAGGATGGGAAACACTGTTGGGGGAGTCCCAGTCCCCTGCCAACGTCTAATGCCTATGACCTCCTCTGTTCGAAGGGTCGACGGTTGAGGCCCTCTGTGATGACCTTGTCTCTGTGCTCACTGTTCTGTGTGAGAAGCTACAAGCTGCCATCAAGTAAGTACCTTCTGCATTGGTACTCCTATTCACTGGCGGTCAGTCACCCAAGGAACCTTTGTCTGTGACATCATATAAAATGGCAAGCTAGAGGGACAGCAGTTCCTGCCATTGGTGTTCATTTCTGAGAAAAATATTCAGTGGCCTTGGGCAAGCCTGCATTATCCAATACTATTCCTGATGGATATAATTTTCTAATGAGAAAATGGGAAAACACTATCTTGCAAAGAAGAGTTAAATTCTCTTAAACAGGGATCTGAATCGAAAGAATGTTGGCTAAGAGCTAGTGGATGTGAAGGCTCGTCCTAATCAGGACATGTCTCAGCCGTGACTCTGAGTCTTCTCATCCAAGTGTTGCACCTTTCTACACTGTTTGGACTGTGGAGTCTTTTTCTACTTTTTCTCACATTTTCTGAGCCTCTGAGCTCCCATATATATTTTAAAAGAGGACATATTACTCTGACTTTTATATACTTGTCATTTTTTATGCCATTTTAATCCGTAATGCTGCTGGTCCAACTCTCCGTGCAACAAGTTAGTAAGAGAACTTATGCATCTATAGTGAAGCCAAATATAAAAAGGACAGACTTTTCAAGGTGAGATGAAAAGTCTCTTCTAACTACATATGTAGTTATTTGCAAAATTCTACAACACAGTGAGATTGTGAAGTGCCCCTTGAGTTATGAAAGACATTAAATTACTATTTACTGGCAACTAGAACATTTGATAAATCAGAAAACTTCTACTTACAGGATTTTATATGCAGTAATGGGAAAAGTGCTGTAGTTGCAAATGTAAGTGAGGTCTCTCACTTTGCTAGAAACATTGCAAAAAGTTGCTTTTGTTATTGTTTGGTTTTGGTTTTGGTTTTTTAATAAACTCAGGACTGTTTTTAAGCTTAGCTTAGAATTAGTCTTAAAAGTTGTTGCCGAATGATTTCTTTATCAGTCAATCTACCATTGCTCTAGATCACCTGTATATTTTAACCAAATTAAGCTCTCTTAATGTCAGTCACTTGAAAAATGAAGAGACCTATTTGGTATGTAGCTGGGATAAACCAAAAAGAAATAACACTTAACTTCCTTCACACCCCTGCCCTCAAGTAGCTCCCACCCCTGGATCCTAGGCAGGCCATGGGTCTGGGCATGGTTTTCCCTTGAGAGGAATGAATCTAATGTAGATGGGACATAAATGGACCCTCCTGTACCCTGCTCAGGTTCCTATCTTTTCTGACCATAGAGAGTTGGAGCAATAGATTGAGACTCAGATTATTATCCTAATGTTAAGGCTCAAATACCAACCGTAGTGACCCTATCTATAGGGTCCCCACGTGACCTAATTTTCTTGGAACAGCCCCAAGTTATGCCTATTGACTATGATTATAATCACCTTCCTTCATTCAACAGAGCCCTGGCTGGGATAGGTGTATATTCACTTTATCCATTGGTGACCAGGGCTTGGATCTCTTCTAATGCTACTTCCTTCCCACCCCTGCTCAGTTCCTTTCCATCAAAGCAGAGCCAGCTGCTATACCAGAGCTAGAATGTATTCTCACTGGCTTGTTTTCTCCTAAGATATAATCAGGTGTGGTGTTAATACTGTTGGCTCAATTGTATCATCTTTGTTGGATTAGTTGGGCAAAACCCCTTTTCTGCCCTTTATTCGTTCTTGACCTTGGGGGAAGAGCTCAACTACCCTAAGCTTATGTTTTCTATAAAATAATGTTATTATAATTATTATGCAATGTTTTATGTAATATAATTTAGTCATATAAAACACATTATGGTTTTTGTAAAGATCAGATGAGAAAATTCGCTGGAAAGGCTCCTGATGTCACCAGCAGCCAGCGATCACCAGGAGCACCCAAGGCTAACAGATCTGGGTTCATCACCTTATAGTGACAGAGCCTGTACACCACAGAGAGCCAGGGAGCCTCCCATGAAAGAGAGCTGGGGGGTATTCTAGGACTTGAACCTGAGTTAGGTGACCTGGGGTGGGTTAAAGCCACGAGGGTCCGGCCAAGGATTACTTGCTGTCAGAAAGCGGAGGCCATCCTGGCATTGGGCATCTTAGTTTTTTTTCTAGCCAATGGAGGAAGAGAGGGGAGATAGAGTTGTCCTTGGAGAACAAGCAGGAGTCACTCACAGGGGAGGATGATATTTGGTCATTTTTGTGGCCATACAGAATTTTTTAAAATCTCTGTTCAGATATGATTATTGATCGGCTTTCATCTTGTCCCATCCCCATCGTGGAAAATCCTAACATGACATTAACATCCTCTGAAACGGTGTATGTTCACCAGTGGGGCGCCTCTGTTGGCTGAAGCCCCAGGCAGCTGGCAGCGGTCAAGGATGCTTCTTCCCCGGCCTACCTCACCCCTCCGGTCTTCGCATTAGGAGGGAATAAAACACTAAACAAAGTTTTAGACCACTAAAACTTTGGAAAATATAAAGTCTATGTTCATGACTTTGTAGGCAAAGGGAAACCAATATGCTAAACGTTTTTTTCTTTTTTCCTGAGTAGTTTATTAAGGGAAAACTTTCAAGTTTTTAAGTGCTAGAAATTTGGAGAGCTCATGGTAACTATGCCATTAATAATTCAAAATCATCAGGCTAGGTCAGAATGAGTCTATGGGTCTACAGATGATATATTGAAAATGTATCTTTGTTGGTTGCTTAGGAAAAAGTCTTCAGCTAGATCCAGTAAAGGCTTTAATTTCATGATTCTTTAAAACCTGGATGGCTCTAATATCAGCTACAGGGACCCCCATCTGTACAGTGACCATATGACCTGGTTTACTCGGGACAGTCCAAGTTTATGCCTGTTGTAATTATTATAAATGTTTAGTGTTGATATCTTCTAAAAAGTACTGGTATAAGTGGAATTTTTTTTTAACTGCACAGTACCTAGCATGTAATAATGACTTGGTAAATATTAGCCCTAAAATGGTTTGTTTACTTTCAACATGGCCAGTGCTAATTCTAGTTTACGATGTAGTTGGGAACAGTGAGCTTCTTACGTCAGAACTTTGACTGTAGATTGATAGGAAAATGCATTGCACAAATACTCATTGTAATGAGTATTTATTACACATACACAGATTAGAAACTAAATACACATACACAGATTAGAAACTAAGAGTCATATATTTGTATCAGTTACTAAAAAAAAAAGAAAGGAAATATTTCTGAACCATATGACCCAACAATTGGCTTTCAGTGGGGAAAATAGCTCATGTAACATGCATATGTGTTTCTAGGGTGTCTGATTAGACATTGGACTGAAGAGACTTAAAGCATATTGTTATACACAGCTTAGTAGTTTTTATAGGAGTCTCATCATCTTGCTTGGTTTTTCAATGCACTCCTCCAGTAATCCTGCTTCTGGATACTCTTCACCTTCTTTGAATCTGGTCTTTTCCATCACGATTCCACTACCCTAAGGTGGGTTCTATTGCTGAAGAAGCTGGGGGCGCAGCACACTTAGTGCAGCTTCAACAGGAGACCTCTAAGTTCACCTGGTCAGGTAGTGCCGTGTTCTTGACGGCGGTCACTCCGGTGGTTCTGTTAGTTCTCCTTGCTAAGTTTTCACACCCATTACAATTTCTTTTGATTTTTACTTCCTCAGTTAGCTACTAGCTAAACTTGACGGCTCTCTTACCATTTAAATATCTTCTTCCTCTGAAATCACACTACAATCAGCACTTCCCTTGACCAACCATCTCCAGAATTGAAGCTCAAATACCTCATAGGGCTTTAGCTCTGTAGGGGCGTGTATTCATGATGTGTTCAGTCTCTCAGGAGGGTGCACAAAAATGCATTCAAGTACTTGGAATAACTCACATGCCTTACAGGTATGGTATTAATAGAATTCTATATTAAGCAAGGTGAGTTACATGAGGTTTAAACTCGAGAATTTTAGGGAGGATAATTTGGCTCAGGAAGATATTTATTTATTTTCTCCCTGTTCGCCCCCCTCTCTTCTCCCCTCCCAGTATAGAATGTCAGAGAGGGATCTGTACCCAACCAGTCTTGGATTCAACGAGTCAAGGTTAAGTGTTCATCTCACGTGTTCTCACTCTATCCTTCTGCTTATACAGTTACTTCATTCCCTCTCTCCTTTTTCTACCTAAATTTGAACTGTTTTTAAGGGAAGCAAAGTCAAAATGGTTCAAGATGAAACAAAACTCTTAAGAACTCCAGAGATCCAGGACGTCCTCCCGATTGCCTGGCAGAAGCCTGGCAGGACAGATGGCTGCTCTGCCCTCATGCCCCCTGGTCCACTCATGAGAGTTGTTCTCCATGGTCTGTGTGCCTGGAAGGAAGTTCAGAGATGAGCAGAAAACGAGACCAGCAGATACTCACTCAGCCTGCCAGCCATGAAATGCTCAAGCAAAAGACCAGGCAATGTGACTCACGCCCCTCCTAAGTAGACAGATTTTTCCCTAGTGTGTTTTGAAAGAGTTGGCTGGTTTCTAGTTTCCTTTCTGCCTTGTGCACCCCACATATTTGTCTGTCTACAGGCAGACAAATATGAAACACACATGCACACACTGTGCTCATGCCTGTGTATGTTTAGTGAGGGCAGCGTGGACGGTGCTTACATTTCCAACAGCTCCTCTAATGACATGACTCATATAAGGTCATAAGCACCCATTTTTCCAAACTGCTGCAACCCACAGAAAAGCTGCCACATTCAGTCTCCAAGGAGACTCCCGGGCCAGTTACCCTGGCAATGCATTCTCCCTGTCATCCAGCCTGATGCCTGGGGTTTGCTGCATCACACTTTGTAGATACTCATAAGAACCTTGACTGCTCACGGAGTTTCTATAGGTTTACTTCTAGTGATTCCAGAAATTGAGAATCTTTATTGTCTATAATTATTTTAGTTTCGTGATGCTACTCTGACAGTAAAGAGATAAAGAGACCCTTTTGAGTTGGGACATTTAATAATTATTTTCTTAATACTGAAGGGGGTGGGTAGGGCAGGAAAATGGAGACCACTGGACTTGAACAGCAATTTAAAAAAAGTTGCCTAGGCCTCTTCTAAAAAAAATACTGAGTCAGGTGATGGGCCAGAAAGATTAGCCTGGGCCTATAGCAGAGGCAGTCCTTTCAGAACTGATTTTTCAAAATGTGACTTATCATCAATGATATGGCCCTTCTATGTTTCCACCTTCAATCTGTCCATTTGCACAGCATCCCGAATGATTATTCTGCAACAGGAATCTGATCATATTGCTCTTCTACTTGCAGAATAAAGTCCAAACATCTTAGCACAGCCTACAAAAGCCTTTCTGAGCCGTCCCCCACCCACTTCTCCAGCCTCACATCCCACTGGTAACATCCTCACATACTGTGCTCCAACCACAGCCACCTCTTCCCACCCCACACTTTGCTAAAACCCTCTCCCCAACACCTCCATGAACTGTCGGTCTCTACTGAGATACAGTTCCTTTGGAAGTTCTTTTTGGATCTTTCTAAGGAGGATCTGGTACCACTCTTACAGCCCTCATAGAACCTTATGTTCCTTCAATCATTCATTTATGGCACTTCCTGCACAGTGCCTTATGTACTTTTCTCTCTAGTCCCCCAAGAATGAAGAATGTGCAGTTTTCTGTCGGGAACTGTTTTGTTCAAAAGTGTAAGGAAACTTGTGGTGTAGGTGTATAGATATGCAAAGTCCATACCTGGCCCAAGAGTGGCTAATCATGTCTTGTCTTTCTTCCTCTTCCCTAGCCACCGCCTTTCTCTTGCCAAAGAAGAATAATTTTTATGGAGATTCAGCCTTAACCCCTCTCTTCTTCCAGGTTGTTGTAGAGGACATCCAAATTGAAGTGGAATTCTATTTTACAAAATAATGGCATTGTTTTAATCATTGTGGAGTTCTCTCTGGACAAGGGAGATATGAGAGTTGGCAAACATTTTCTGTAAAGGACCACACGATGTCTGTTTCCTGTTCATGTTTGGTTTGGTTTGGTTTGGTTTTATAATTCTTTAAAAACATAAAAATCTTTAGTCCACAGGCCATGGCAGGATTTTGCCCTGGGGCTATAGCTTGTCAACTGGTTTTGAAGTGTAATGCCAATTTTACAAAGCCATATCACCGAGGTGTTTAAGATATCACTTAACTGAGGGGTCCCCAGCCCCTATTTGATGATCATTTGTCTGACAGCTGCACAGCCTTTCCCAGTTTGGCAGCTGTATGGATGGAATCTTCTGGGCTTTGGAATGGCCTGGTATAAACTTTTCTCCCTTCCTGTCTCCTTAAGTTTCTAGTCCGCCTGTCACTGGTTTTGCCTTTCCCTTCTGCCCCCTTCTCTTGGGACTTACTTGAACTGTTAAGGGCATTAAGCTTCCTTTTGGCATTTATTTACTTTAAATCAGGAGAAAGGAGAAACAATCAAAATTATTTTTAAAAATAAGTTTCTCCTTTTTTTGAACATTTCCATTCTATTTAAGATTTCTGAATGAATTCTCTTAAAAGTGTTTATTATATATTTGTAGTAAATATGTCCTTGAACATTAAATTTTTCCTTAATTCTGGTTGGTTAGGCAGCAAATTTAATTTGGGTGTAAGAATCTGCATCTCATAGAGTTGTCTGTTTTTTTTATGTGGACTTATTAAGTAGACCCATAATAGTAATTCTGAGAATAATTTGTCCATTGAAAAACCATGTTGCCTTCAAAAATAAAGTCAAATGCAAGTTAGTAAAGCATTGACTATTGGAATATTTACATAATTGAACATACTAAGAATTAACATTTCTGAAATAAGCTATGGAACTTAGTTAATAACATACCAATATTTGTTCATTACTGGTAACAAATGTGCAATACAAATGTAAGATGTTAATAACTGGATGAATTGTGTGCAGGGGTGAGCAAAATATGGTAACTTTGTTTCATGCTCAATGTTTCTGTAAATCTAAAACTGTTCTAAAAAGTAAAGGTCATTAATAATAAAAAAAGTCACCCTGACTGTATTAGTTTGCTAGGGCTGCCATAACCAAGTACCAGAAACTGGGTGGCTTAAGAAAACAGATATTTATTGTCTCACAGTTCTGGAGACTAGAAATCTGAGATCAAGATATCAGCAGAGTTGGTTCCATCTGGGGGCGGAAGGAAGGATCTATTCCAAGCCTCTCCTCTTGGCTTGTAGATGGCCGCCTTCTTCCTGTGTCTCTACACATTATATTCCTCTGTCTCTGAATTTCTTCCTTTTATAAGGATTCCAGTCCCATTGGATTTGGATCCACTCTGATAACTTTGTTTTAACTCGATTACCTATGTAAAGACCCTTTCTCCAAATAAGGTCAGATTCTGAAATACCAGGGGTTAGGACTTCCACATACAAATTTGGGAGGGGGGCATAATTCAACCCATAGCATTAACCCACCCCCCTAAAAAAATGAACATTTCCGTAATGCCTGATATTTGCCAAGTGCTTTTCACACATCGCCTCTGTAATCTTGCCTTTGTGTGTCGGTTTCATTTCTGCAGTGACAACCAGCAGCTGCAGCTCCTGTACCTGGAGTGCGTTCTCTCCGTGCTCAGCAGCTCCTCCTCCTCCATGCACCTGCACAGAGGCTTCACCGACCTGATCTGGTGAGCGCCCACCCTGATGCCCCCCATGCCAACCCAGGGGGCTCTCTCCTTCCAGCTGAGTCTGTGGGCCCCTTCCCACAGTGTCCATGACCCTCTGGCCATTTAATCTGTGGGTAAATGTTTTCAAGGGAAAGCAGGGAAGTGGCTTTGTTTACATGAACCAGAGAGAAACTGATGGTTACTGTAACAAAATAGGCCTCCAAGGCCCTCTTGCATTTTGTTTACATCATAGGAGCATAAGACTCAGAAACTAGGAAATGGTTTTTTAGGTCATTTATTTGTTCTGAAAGCATATTGAGGCTCCAGAAAGTTATGTAGTGGGGAGCAGCAAGAGAGATTATTCTTGGCACATTCTCCATTTCAACATGAATACCAGTCACTCAGTCATAGCCAGAGATTCACGCGAGTGACAGGGCCTGCAGGCAGCCAGCTAGTGGCTCCGGCTTCCTGGGCTTATCTACAGGGAGGAATATGAATGACATGTGTCAGAATTTTAAATTAACTTCTCAAAATAATTTTGTTACAGTAAAATGAAACTTTATAAATGAGCCGTTTCACATTTTGAGTCTACTTCTTTATGCAAGATGATTTCTTGATGCTTCTCTCAATATTTTATTTAGTTAACCCTAGCTTGGCTTATGAGAAGAAGTATTTTGTTCATATAGCCAGAGTGATGGAGAGACAAGGAAAACTGGGGCAGGACATAGCCAATAAAAGGATCAGTAAAGAACACAATTTTCATAGCAATTTGTGTGGCATCTGGTATTTGCACTCAGGATAATATTCACATTTGATCCTTTGGCTTGCAGTGAAACTTATTTTTCTCCCCATCTCTTCCAAGGAAAAACCTTTGCCCCGCTCTCATCGTGATCCTGGGGAATCCAATTCATGACAAAACCATCACCTCCGCTCATAGCAGCGTGAGTGCGGGCGTGGACTCAGACTCTGCGTCTCCAGGAGTTTCCGACCATGGCCGGGGCTCGGGATGCTCCTCCACCGCGCCTGCGCTGAGTGGACCCGTGGCTCGGACCATCTATTACATTGCAGCCGAGCTGGTCCGGCTGGTGGGGTCGGTGGATTCCATGAAGCCCGTGCTCCAGTCCCTCTATCACCGCGTGCTGCTCTATCCCCCACCCCAGCACCGGGTGGAAGCCATCAAAGTAATGAAGGAGGTAGGGATGCACTGAAGAATGCCACGGCGCCTGCCCAGGCATCTGAGCACAGTGTTCTGCAAGCAGGAAGCACTCAGAAAATGTTTGCCATTCACCTGCTAGAACTTAATTGCTACCACACTGTCTCCAGTAACAGTCTTTCCGCGGAGTGGGGGATGGGGGGGCAGTGGGCGCACACACGCACATCTGTTGGGAGCCAGCATCAGGAGATGGTAAGTGCTCACTGATGCAAAGCCATTTGATAATATAAGCTGCATGCATCCGACTGAGCCCTGGGTTAGATTTCATCCTGCTCCCTTAAGTGCTGTTTGTGCAGATACATTTATTTATTCACCTTTGCCAAAACTGGATTTCAAAATCTTATACTCAAGTTGTACATTGTCCAAAAGAGCATTACTGATCTCTGATTAGTAAAAGGAAGCCCTTTGCCCCATCCCTCCTTAGGCCTCATATCTCCCAAACATCATGACCCCCACGAGAATGTAAAGGTTGTCCAGCCTATGCTAATCATCCCAGTGTGCTTCCTCATGGCTTTGAAGAGGATATCGGTACTTTAAACAAGGATTTCTCTGCTTTCTCTCAACTAACCAAAAAGAAAAGTCATCAACATTTCTGCATTGGCAAACTTGTTTGTGAAAGTCAAATTGCATTTGCTTTTGGTACCTAACACCAAAAACAGCGTAGTAACAAAATTCTCTTGATGATTCATTTATTTTAAGCAGTATTTGCTACTTACCATTTTTAGAAAGCTTAATAATAGCTAATTTATTTAACTCTGACCTTACAATTTTTTCATCTGTACATAGTAGTAATATTCCAAAGGGTGCAAGTTCAAAATGTAATGAAGTATGTATAAGTACATTGTAAGTATAAAATGCTAAACAAATATTTGATGCACTTATTGCTACCCTAAGGAAGAGAAAAACAAAACATGGAGACTGGAAATAGCTGGTCCTCATTACCACCTGCCCAGGGTAGTGTACCAAATCTAGCTTGTCTGTCTCCTGTTCGTTGTCTTCCTTTTTTCTTTCCGGATTTAGGTTCAGAAATCACTGCTTTCGACATTTTTCCCACTCTCTAATGGCTCCTTCTTGTCTCTAAAGTCTGAATTACTCTACTCAGTTTCTAGACTGTTCTGTCTTCTTCTCATTCCCCGTCTTTTCCCAGGGTCATTCTTATTCCATCCGGCCAACCCTGCTCTACTCAATTCCCACCATCCCACCTCTAGTCAGGCTCCCCTGCCCCTGGTCCTCTTGGCCACTTCCACTTACCAGAGCCAAGTGGTAGGTTACAGTAGGCTAGACATGGCTGGCTCCTCACAGGAGCTAATTTCCAGTCTCCCTTAGGAAAGTAATATGCCCAGTTTCCAGATGGAGAACTAAGGCTCCATGAGAGGTTGTTACTTGAGCTAGATCCTTGTGAGTAGTAGAGTTAAAACAGGAACTCAGGTGTTCTAAATACCACTTCCTCTGCTGTCAAAATCCTCCTCCTTCATCGCTCTGCTGCCCCAGACCACTGATTTTGCTCTGCTTAAAATCCCATCCACCCACTGACAATTGATTATATGTGGCAACACATTGACTATTTCACAGTTCAATGGGGAACAAACATCTTGTCTCCTAAATATATTATTGTATATGTTGCTTTTGTATGTTTCCCCTGGTACCTGAAACGGCAGTACTTGAAACAGAATAAGCCTTTAATATATTTTGACTCTGACAGAGCTGAGGACAGCCTATCTGCAGAGAGGGTATTTTATAAGCAGCAGTGACCCTTCCCCCTTGGAGTGGACGGCACTGGAGTTGTTGCTGCTCATGCCCACGGTAGAGCCACTTGATACCTGAATGCTAAGTAAACACTTTGCCCACAGGGAATGTAGGTGTCTAAGTCCATTTTAAATAGCTTCTTTACTACAGCAAAAGAAATGAGCTGTGTTTTCCCTGCCTTCATGTATGTTCTAGCTCCCCAAGGTTACTTTGCAGAGCAAGGCTAGAATTAGACACCAGCCCCGAGTAGTGTGTCAGGCAGTGCTACCCTGTGAGCACAGCAGGCTTACGCGGGCCAGGTCATTCTGAAACGCAGTGCCTCCACTAACCATGACAGCAGCAGCGATTCAGGAAGGTTGGTAACCTAGAAACCAAAACGGGCTGGGTTTCTGCGCACAAAGAAAACCACTGGGCACCCAGGATGTTTGTTTAATCTTTCAGATGCTTGGTGTGTTACTTCCTGTTCTCTCTGTAATCTGTCCCTCTGTCACATGTACTATGTGCCTGTTAATTGAAGGCATGCAGGGCAGGTTTTTTTCCAAAGGATATATTTTTTTTTCTGTTTTCACTTTCCCAAAACAATGAACAGTAATCCAAAAGCACAGCTTGCTCCCTTTCCTTTCTTCCATGGTTCAGCTTTAGAAGGAGCTTTCTAATCTTTATCAGACCTGTGACACCCAACCACTGATTTCATATCCATCATTCCTACCCGAAGAAGTTGACATTATACATGTCTTCCTTTAAGTATTTGTTGAAGGTTCTTCGGAAGCCCAACAATGCAGTCCCCTTTCCTTCCAGATTTGGAAACAATGGAGTAATAAACACAAGATTAATATGGGAATTAATATATAATCTAAGTTATTACTGGTAAAGCTAGATTAGAGAATGAAATGGATCCCAAGAAAAAACAATCTTTCCCACTTCATTCCCTCTGAAATGCACTTACCCTTCTAGCAAGAGCTGGGGCAGCTAGAGGCCCATAGGCCTGGCCACTTCACTTGGATGGACGCCAGGCAGAGAGAGAGAGAGAGAGAGAGAGAGTGTGTGTGTTTCAATGTCAAAGAGATAGAATGTGGAGAAAAAAGTGGAAGCTTCACTTCTGTGCCTCCAAGAGAACAGAAGTTCCCAATTTCTGGGGTAAAAAGAAATATGGAAAGAGGAGAAGAAGAGTGCCCTTTAACATATAACTTTTTGACTTAATATACTTTTTCCTGCCAATATAATTCACTTTGAAAATAATGGACATAGGGATAAGATGTCTGTTCCCATACACTTAATTAACCAGTCTTTTCTTGAATTAATTTAGCCTTAAATAGAAATCTTCCATAAAGACTTCTATCAGATAGGAATAAAAATTAATACTGAACAATTATGAAAATTGTATACATGAGAACTTGTGGGATACAGCCAAAGCAGTGCATAGAAGGGTATTTATAGCTTCAATTGCTTATATTTTAAAAATAGCCTTAAATTAATGTCCTAATTCTCCAACTCAGGTAGTTGGATAAAAAGAACAGAATAAATTAAAAGAAAGCAGAAAAGAGTAAAAATAAGGATAAACAGCAGAAAGTTATGTGATAAAAAACAAATATAATGTTATAAATCAGTAAAGTAAAAAATATGAGGACTCTGAAAAGAATAAGCAAATTAAAAAAACTCCTGGCAAAAGCAGTCAAATATTCTAGAATCAATAAAAACAAAATAAAAATGAAAAAAATGTATATAACTATGAGTGTTATAAACATTAAAGAAAGTATTGAGTCAACTTTAGGCCAGTAATTTGATAATTTAGATAAAATTGATAAATCCCTAAGAAACAACACAATCTTTAAAAGTTGGCTTATGAAGAAATTGAGGACCTAAACAGTCCCATAATCTTTAAAGAAATTGTAAAGAAATTGTAAAAGAAATCAGTAGTTAAAAATCTTTCCTTTAGAAAACAGTTACTCCATACAGCTTTAGAAACCAGTTATACCAACATTCAAGGAATGGGTATTTCTAATACATGAACTTCTCCAGAGTAGGAAGAGGGAACACTTCTCAACCCAGTTTTTAAAGCTAGCCAACAGGACAGTAAAATAAGACCATGAGAGTATAGGACAGTTAAATTACTGGCCAATCTCAGTAAAGAATGTTGATGCAAGTGCTTTCTTATCCTGTGCTATAAAAAATTTTGAAACCATCCTCAGGGTATTTTCTTGGTCTAAGCTAGTCTTGAAATGAGGAGCTGGGAGCCCTGTGTGTATTCTGCCTCAAGAAGAACACACAGATCAGTTTCACTAAGATTTTACTTTCTACTACTGGGGTTTCTCCTTAGACTGTGTCACTCTAGAGAAAGTACATGTTCATTTGATCGCACACTTTTAAAACCTTGTGCCCGTTTTTGTGATACTTACTTTTCTGTTATTTCCTCTCGTTTTTACTATAGCTGCTCGGGAGTCCACAGCGTCTCTGCGATTTGGCAGGACCCAGCTCCACTGAACCGGAAACCAGAAAGAGATCAATTTCAAAAAGAAAGTCTCATCTGGATCTTCTCAAACTGTATGATGCATTCTCATTTTTTAGGTCTATATTGCTTGGCAAAAACTGCTTGTCTGAATACTCTTAACCTTGTTTTTAAATCCCTGAAATTTTATGAATCTACACTGTATGAAATGTGACTATTTAATAACATACCCACAGGCCATATGGGAAGTCTTATCCCAATTTATTATACTCATATCTTTTCATATTTTTATGTTGGCTTAAAAACCCCAATGTATAAAATGAAATATACAAAAATTATTTATTGGGGTTATTTTAGGGAAAAACTTTCTAAGTTAATTACAGTAGCTATAGGATTCCTTCTTTAGTTATAGGATACCACTTAGCTCTAGGATTTCCTTTTCCCCCTAGAAAATTAAATATTATCTGATTTGTGATAGCTGTATTCCCATGCATCTATTCAGGAATGTGTTTATCGTATGGAAGATGTGCACATTACCATAATCATAGCCATTAACTATTTTCTGTTTGAAAACTGAACATAATACAATGGTGAGGTTATCTATTACCTGTCCTTGTAAAGAAGCTAAATTCCTATCTGGAATTTTTTTTGTACCCTAATAAAGCAACCAGCCTGGAGCGTGTGATCCAGGGTGGGCTACTTTACATGGAGGTTTTCCTCTGCCAACCTGAGTGTGTTTGTTTCAGTTATTTTCTACCCAGACCATTTAACTGCAGGTAAAACAGAGTATATATTTTGAATACTGTGCTGTTCACCAGTCTAACAATTCTTGTTCATTTTGGAGCATCTTTCTATGTCTTGTGCCTCAATGCCATTTTCTTCTGTGAATGCTTTCAGCATCATGGATGGAATGACTGAAGCGTGCATCAAGGGTGGCATCGAAGCTTGTTATGCCTCCGTGTCCTGCGTCTGCACCCTGCTTGGGGCCTTAGACGAGCTCCGCCAGGGCAAGGGCTTGAGTGAAGGTCAGGTGCAGCTGCTGCTTCTGCGCCTGGAAGAGCTGAAGGATGGGGCTGAGTCGAGCAGAGACTCCATGGAGATCAATGAGGCCGACTTCCGCTGGCAGCGGCGGGTCCTGTCCTCGGAGCACACGCCGTGGGAGTCGGGGAACGAGAGGAGCCCTGACATCAGCATTAGTGTGACCACGGATACAGGCCAGACCACTTTGGAGGGAGAGTTGGGTCAGACCACACCTGAGGACCACTGTGAAAGCCACAAGAATGGCCTCAAGTCCCCAGCCATCCAGGAGAGCAAGGAGATGCTGAGCAAAGTGTCAGAACCAGAAGCGGTAGACCAGCCAGATGTGGTTCAGAGAAGCCACACGGTTGCTTACCCTGACATAACTAACTTCCTGTCGGTGGACTGCAGGATGAGGTCCTATGGATCCAGGTACAGCGAGAGCAACTTTAGCGTAGATGACCAGGACCTCTCTAGGACGGAATTTGATTCCTGTGATCAGTACTCGATGGCAGCAGAGAAGGACTCGGGGAGGTCTGACGTGTCGGACATTGGGTCGGACAACTGTTCGCTAGCTGATGAGGAGCAGACGCCTCGGGACTGCCTGGGCCACAGGTCCCTGCGAACTGCGGCTCTGTCTCTCAAACTGTTGAAGAACCAGGAGGCCGACCAGCACAGCGCCAGGCTCTTTGTGCAGTCCCTCGAAAGCCTCCTCCCCCGCCTCCTGGCCCTGCCCAGTGTGGAAGAGGTGGACTCCGCCCTCCAGAACTTTGCCTCTACTTTCTGCTCAGGTTGGTAAACAATTTTTCCTACATAGTCAGCAAGGATAATCAGAGCATTTTGCCTTAATGGGCAATGACTACCATGCTTGTTTGAAGTGCTCCAAGCATCTTAACGAATCTTTAGGTTTCTTATATTTAAAGTGAGTGAAAGAATGTAAGACTTACTGTGGTCCTTAGAATTGTTTGTTTGAATTGTAGGCTGCTGATGGCTGGAATATATACTCTGAGGGTGATAGATATACCCTGTATGAAGTAAAGAATAAGAGGTAACTGCATTTTAGAAAGTTGCTGCTGACTGAAACAAAATGGAAATCTGTGATTCTCAGAACACTGAATTCTTAATATGCTTCTAGGCCTTGGTATCTAAAAATGATGCCAAACACACTTTTGGCATATCCATATGCAAACTATTTTGAATAAGGTCTTGGGTCAGGTGGAGTTTGGACCAGATGCAAGCTGTTCTCCCAGCAGGTTCTGAGTTCCCCAATATGTTCTGAACTTCCAAACTGTGGGATCCTCCAGTGTACTTTGGTAACATCGCCCTCTCCAATCTCAGACCCTTTCTTTCTGTCAAATGTGAACATTACGACCCAGACCATATTTAAACAGGAGAGCTGTAGGGATATTGGCCAGTGTACTGGACCGTTATGCTAGTTTTAGTGAAGGGCAGAGGACAGCCTCCTAGAATTTTGGTGGAGGAAGGAGGACAGTAGTACAGGGAAATAGCCTTTCGTACTGTGAGTGATGAATTTAAAGATAATTTTCTTGCAAGGTACTTATAAAGGGAAAACCCAGCCTTTTCCTTTTAATGTAGGGAAAAACCCAGTTCTTTCCTACTGTGTGTTTCTTCCCTGTAGGTCTCCTTTACTAGTCACACCAAACACTTCACTTTGGACACTTCCGGTCACCACATATGTGGAGGTTTTTTCCTGTAACAACAAGCACATCTCTGGCACCAGCTGGGTGTCCCGTTTAATTGACTTCCGTCCCTCATTTCCTATGAGAATTAGGAAACATAATCCTATCAAAGCTTTTTATAAAATTTGAAGCTAAAATAAATCTTTACATTTGTGTTCTTGCACCTTTCAGATCAATACTTATAGTATTGAGAGAATGTTTTATGTGGCTAGAATGTGGCCCCATAATTGTGGCAACTGCTCATATTTCAGAGGCCTATAAAATGTCCCATTAGACCCAATATATTGTGACATTAATTTTACATGTAGAAATCAATATGTTGAGAAGTGATGTCAGAATCTTTTGGTTGTTTCCAAATACAGTTTTTAGCGATTGTCTGTAACTATGTTAGTATTTTGTCTTTTAATTGTAGTCACCTCCACCATGCTTTTACCAGTTGGGAGTTGGTCTGTTTCCAAATTACAGCCCCATCACTCTGTGGTCCTCTTATAATGGGCTGATTCTCCTCAGTTCCCGCTGTGGTTTAATGGATCACATTGGCTGTCACTGTGGTTCAGCCAAAGCCACCGGATGCCGGCCCAGTCCCCCTCTGCACGGAGGCGGTGCTCTCCCTCCCCCTGCAAGTGTCGCCTCCAAGACGAAAGATTAGTAAATAGATCTGTAGCCATCTGAGACGAGGGAGATGACAGATTTTCTTTGTTCACTCAAGAGAAAGTTACAAAGGTGAAAACAGGAGAAGGGGAGAAGGCAAAGGGTCTCCTTTAGTCATAATCTAGATATTTTACTCATTACTTACTCTGTGTCAAAAGCATTAAACCTCGTTTTGCCAAAAGCTCCCATTGAGCATTTGTCCCTGGCTTGTCACCAGGGTTTGCTCTCGGGGCTGAGATCAGACTCGTTCAGCATTTCCCAGCGACCCCTGTGCTCAGACAGCTAACATACAGCTGAAACGAGCCTCCTTATTTCTGTGCAATTCAGGGGAGCCTTTTCTTTGAAAGCAATTAAAGTTTCTTATGGTGGGGGAGTTTGACAACATTCAGACAAATGTGGGTTTCATAAAGATGATCGTGGATGTGAGCTGTGACAGCTGCTGAAATTCCTCCCTGATTCTGCATAGAACAAATTGGCATCAGTGTATGGTGGCTCCTTGGGGACTAAAAACAAGAGCTAACCTCACACAGCAATCTGTGGAGGGGCACAAGCACTTGGCTTCGAGATTGCAGTCCCTTAGATTAGTGGTGCCTCAAAGGACGAGGGTTTGTATGTTTGCCTTAATAAAGGAAGAGAGTATTTTGTATGTTAGGGAATAAGTAGTCTAACAAAATTTTCCTCCAACACCCTGGCATTTGTGAAATGTGAAGTTTGCAGAATATGATAATAGAAAGACAAAATAAAAACCAAAAGAAATACACACCCAGAAATGTCTCTGAAATATCTTGGTGTTGTGTCTTGGAGTCATTTTTCAGCTTGTATTGGTATCTGCAACAATACTAGTAGCTTACACTGACATAGCACTTTCAGTTTGCCCTGCATTGTTTAAGTTTTACATGTATTGATTCATTTCAATGTTCATAATAGCTCCATAGGGTAGGTAGTAAAATCATCCTCATTTTACAGATGAGACAGCTGAGGCCTAGGGAGGTTAAGTAGTAAGTTACCTGAGGTACACAGCTGCGAAGTGGCGATGCCAGGACAGGAACGGCCTGGCTCCTGGCACCACGCTCTCGGCCGTCACCCTGTACCATTCCAGGGTGCGAGGATGGGTGGCTGCGTAAATCAGAGATGCTGTTGAAGAACACAAAAGCCTCTGAGGTTGATTGGCTCTGATGAAAAACCAGTCACAGACTGAAAAACTGTAGCCCAGGAAATAGGTGACAGTTTTCCAAGTCCTGACAGACATACTCATGGAAAGCCAGCCCATCATTGACCCCTGGAAATCTATACCAAGGAGATAGAAACTCAAGTAGGGATTTGGATATCAAAATGTATTATTTCACAGCAAGAATATTAGCAATAACCTAAAGGCCCCAAATAAGGGAAAAGTTAAATGAGTTATAGTACATCCATTGATGATATTATGTCACCATTGAAAATGATGTTTTCAAATAATATTTAACGATATGGATAATGGTCATAATAATACTTTTAAAAAGATTCAAAATTAACATCAAAATATTAATACTTAGAATAGTATGATTACCAATTATTTTCATTTTCTTCTTCTTTGTGTCTTTTAACAAATGCCTAAAAAATTTTCTTGTAACTTCTGTCATCAGAAAATTAAAAGCATAGACTTAAGGAAATTTGTTATCCAGATAATCATATAATCTGATTACAAAGGTGGAAAAAAAATAATTGATGGTGCACAGTATGCTGAGTGTGTAGAACAGCGTTCTTACACATAGTTGGTAGAAGGAAGGATTGGTATAAAATTATTTGGAAGACATTTTGGTTGTACCTATCAAACTTAATATATGTCTTCATTCTGCTCTTAGGATATCCCACTGATACACTTTCAGAAGTGCTAAAAATTACTTCATCCTTCTGCTTTTTTCAGAAAGAGCATCTTAATAACAGAGGGAGAGAATGAACTTTATAGACCACTGGGAAAAAAGCAAATAGCCAGAATATGTTAAAGGCTGTAGTTCCTATATTTTGTCACCCCAAATTTGAGGAATACTATTACTACTAGAAGAGTATATGATTATGAGTTATTCCAGTAAACATCCTACATGCATAATTGCATCTAGTTCTCATAGCAAACGGGTTCATTCATTCTTATTCTTTCACTCAGGGAATATTTTTGGAGGGTCTACTACATGTCAGGCACTGTTCTAGGTACTGGGGATTCCCTCGTGAACAAGACTAGCATAGTGCTACCCTCTCACAGGTCTTACAAAGCAGTAGATAACAGTAGTGGTGGCAGACAATAAACAAATTATATATTAATATAATTCTGGGTAGAATAGATGCCATTGAGGCAATAAAAAAGTCAGGGTGAGGGGGAAGAATATTGCAGGGGGGAAGTAGGCAAGGGTACTATTTTTGATGGTGTTGAAAGGGAAGGTCTCTAAATAGCTGTCACTTCAGCAGGAAAGAACTGAGGTAGCAAGTCATCTAGAGATCTGGGGAGACCGTCCTGGGAAGTGGGGAAAGCAAGTGCCAAGGCCCTGAGACAGGCCTGGCTTGGTGAGGTGAAGGGACACAGGTCAGTGTGGCTATAAGGAGTAGAAGGAGAGAAGGGGCAAGTGGAGGTTTTATTTTATTGTGATAGGAAGCCGTTGAAGAGTTCGAGCAGGAGATACACCTAGTCAAATATTCTGCTCCTTTCTGCATATGGAAGCTGACTTAGAGGATTTAAGTGATTTTACCAAAGTAGCTGGTAAGTGGCATCCAGATTTGTCCAGGAAGATTGACTCCAGAGTGTATGCCCTGCCCCCTCAGGCTGGGGTGTGTAGCGGTCCCCAAAGGTACGCCTTGCTGGCCGGCATTGCTTTACAGAAATGCCTACACGATGCATGTTCCTCTCACTAGGATTGCTTCATGGCTTTCCGTAAGCCAGTCTTACCAAGTGCCCCCTTGGCAGCCTCTGAGGTCTCTCGGTGCCCCCCTCCCCCAGGCATGATGCACTCCCCCGGGTTTGACGGGAACGGCAGCCTCAGCCTGCAGATGCTCATGAACGCGGACAGCCTGTACGCGGCCGCGCACTGCGCTCTGCTCCTCAACCTGAAGCTCTCCCACGGCGACTACTACCGGAAGCGGCCCACCCTGGCGCCCGGCATGCTGGTGAGTGTGTGCTCTGCGCTTGGACTCTGCGAGGACAGGCGGCGGCCTCTGGGCTGGAGAGCCGGGCGTCAGTGCCCCCTGAGGGATGGCACCATGGAGGGTGGGAAGAGACGGACTGCAACTTGTGCAGCGCACTGAGCCGCAGAGCCACACTGTGCTCAGAGAGGGTAGGACACCAAGTGCCTGGAAACGGCTGCCTGCCAATGGCCCGGTAATTTCATGTGGCGGCAATACTAAACCCACCCATGAGACGCGTTCAAAAACACATGGTCAGCATGCTTAGTAGCAGCAGATGTGCAGGGAATGGTCCCCTTTGCTGAAAATGAAGGCGTCTTTTACAAAAACTTGTCATTGTCTTCTGAAATGTTAAGCTTACTCATTGTCAACAACAAAGCACCACCTGTAAGGAATGGGGTGAGAAGGATGGTGCTTATCCTGTGTTTGGCTGTCCTGCTGGAGCAAGCCACTCTGTGAAGGACCCTAATTATCAGCTCCAGAGCCTAGGCCATGGAGCGGCAATGAAGGGTATCGGCCATCGCACATATGCTTGATGAAGTCTAAGTTCCCCTGGGTCAGGGGTGACTTCAGATTATGAGTATCTCTTGCAACACCCCTGTTTTCTCAGGGAACACATTCCATCTCTGATGCTGTTGGGCAGTGAGAAGGAGACCGCTTCAATATTTCCGTGCAGTTTCTAATCCTCCCACACATCAAAGAGTAAAAAACACAGAATGCAGCATCCCTAATCCTTCAACAGGGTTTCTTAGAAAGATATCATGCATGAAAGGAACTTCATGAAGTTTGGTACTTCTCCATCTCAGTTTTCTCCTTTCCTCAGTGAGGAGGAAAATCAGTGAGGCTTTGTTTTTCCTGTAAGCATTAACTCAGGGGACGTGGGAAGGGAAGAGGCAGCGGGGGCGTGTAGGAGGCCCTTTGCTTGTAGGGGATCAAATTTGGTCACCTTGTCTTGTGGTCTTCTCTATAGAAAGAATTCATGAAGCAGGTCCACAGCAGCGGGGTGGTGATGGTCTTCTCCCAGGCCTGGATCGAGGAACTCTATCACCAGGTGCTCGACAGAAACATGCTGGGAGAAGCCGGCTACTGGGGCAGCCCAGAGGACAACAGCCTCCCGCTCATCACCATGCTGACCGGTCAGTGGCTCCCTGCACAGCTCCCTGCCACTCGGCGGGTCGGAGGGCTCACTCTTCCAATTCCCTTTCAGGGAAGCCGTGGTGTTTGGTTAAAATGGAACCCATGAAACTGCCCTGGAAGCTGGTGACAATTTCAGAAAAGTGCCATGAACTCACCTCACAAGAGTTTTGTCCTTTTTCCGCGTGGGGCTCTGTGGAGCTCACTGCACCCCATTAGATTAGCGGTTACTTAGCACCGGTAGCTGCTGGTGGACACCTATAAGCCTTTTCTGGGATATGAAGTCCTTTCTGGGCACAAAGCCCAGAGTTATTCTTGAAAACTCTCATGTACTAATAGATACTATTATCTATATTATGCTCTATCATTCAGTGCTCCTAGAAATTTGCCAGTAATGTGAAATGAGAAGATTTTAAACTCGGCTTCATTCCCATTTCTTGTCCATAGCAGAGGTCCTCCTTTCCCTTCCCAGCTGTACCAGAATTAAAAAATAATTTCAAGTAGCCATGGCCATGTGGCTCAGTTGGTTGGAGTGTCACCCAGTACACGAAAAAAAGGTTGTGGAAAGGTTGTGGGTTCGATCCTCAGGGCACATACGGGAGGCAATCGATCAGTATTTCTCTCTCACATCAATGTTTCTCTCTCTCTCCATCTCATCCTCTCTCTCCCTCTCTCAAATCAATTTTTTTAAAAACCATATCCTTGGGTGAGGATTAAATAGTAATAACAAAATAATAATAATGTCAAGTAGTTAGTTGCCCAGCATATTAGTCTTCAGTGCCCAGAGTTTTTAAAATCCTACCTAATTATCAGAAATTCCACATGAGACCAACAAGAGCATCATGGAGTGTGGTCATGAGGCAAATTTTTGGCAAAAGCAGCCATTCATGGCTTTGCATGGCTTAACCACGATGTCAGGTAAAGTTCAAGCAGAGCTCAAAAGTTTGGTCTGGTCATCAGTAGCCTACATAAGGGGCTCTCCAGGCTTGCCCTCTATTCGATCTGAGTTCCCAGACTGGTTTCTGATCTGAGCAATATTGTCACTGGCTCCAGCTGACAGAATATGTAGACTATGGCCCTACATCGATGTCTTCCCTGTCCTCTCTGTAGTGCCACATGTCCTCACACAGCTCAGCATGGCTCTGCACCAGGCAGGGCACACTGACAGGAAGGGGCAGGACTGGCCTGGGGCTGCACAGTCCAGCTAGGAGACAGGATCTGTTGTCCAAAGGGTATGTTGTGTTGCCTCTGGTCGCTATTGGAGGCTCTTACAAAGGTGGCAGAGTGGACTACTGGCAGGGGAAACCCAGCAATGAGGAATTTGGGGCTATTCAGGAATCAGGCAGGGAATCAAGACATAGAGTGAGGTGTCTCCATAGCAAGCAGAGTCCTTGATTCCAGAACTAGGATGGAATTTGAGAGAAGTAAGGCTGGGTCTTAAGCCATGGGGGTCAGGATCAATGGACAAGTGGCCATTTTACATTTTATTAATCATGGTAACATTTACATCCATTTGAAAAGTATGAATTCTTCAAAGTGTGAGACATTTATTCATCCTACCTATAAGTAGTTCTTGGTTTCCATCTGTCTTCATAAACTCGCTTCAACAGGGATTAAAGGTACTGCCCAGGGCTTAGAAATGCCTTGGAATTTGGGTGAGGGTCCTAAATATGCCAGGTTTAATTTTAATTTTAAAATACCATAACTCGTGCCAGAATTAATCTCTTACTTTAAACTTAATAAAAGGAATCATTCAGCAGATGTAAAAATGAACAAATAACAAGTTACCCATAGTAGCCATATTCATCAGTCATCACTGTTAATCAGCCATCTTTTTTATACTGGAACAGTAAGTTCAATGCTATGTCCATCAGAAAGTTATTTAGATTAAGTTATTTAGATTTTTCTAAATCCCCTTTTGTTACTTAATATATGCCAGGGATATTCATTGAAAAAAAATGAATATTGTCATGGCTGTTTGTTTTTGACTGGACTGTTCTAATCAAGGAAAGCTTTGATCTTTTTCCTTGACAGATATTGATGGCTTAGAGAGCAGTGCAATTGGGGGCCAGCTGATGGCCTCAGCGTCTACAGAGTCTCCTTTCGCCCAGGGCAGGAGAATCGATGACTCCACAGTGGCAGGTAAGGGTCTCGAGTTTATGAATATACATATATTACACATGGCACTAGCAATTAAATCATTATTGGCAGTTTCCAGGACTGACATCCATGAATTAAGGTTTTGTCTTTGTAGAACAATGCCTGGTGGAAGTTACTTAGCATCATCCAGTTGATAATGGAGCATTCATTATTTATCAGCACAAAGTGAAATCCATTAAACTATATTTCCTGTAGTAGAATTGCACATAACTCTGTATTGCTATTTTCATGGTCAAAGAATCCCACACTATCATTCATTGCCAGGTTGTTTTCGTGTCTAGAAAGTGACCCGTGCCCCTTTCCATTCTAGGTGTGGCGTTTGCTCGCTATATTCTGGTTGGCTGCTGGAAGAACTTGATCGATACTTTATCAACCCCCCTGACTGGGCGCATGGCTGGGAGCTCCAAAGGGCTGGCCTTCATCCTGGGAGCTGAAGGCATCAAAGAGCAGAACCAGAAAGAACGCGATGCCATCTGCATGAGCCTGGATGGGCTGCGGAAAGCGGCGCGGCTGAGCTGCGCTCTAGGTATCGGCAGGAGTCGATTTTCTGACCCGTGGCCTGAGGGGTGACCCGCCGGGAATGGCCCCATTGGGAAACCTGCCTTTTAGGAGAGCTCTGCCAGGTGATTGTTTAGAGAACAGACCCAGTTCAGGGGTAACTTGTTTATTTCCTCTCAAGGAGTTGCAGCGAACTGTGCCTCAGCTCTTGCCCAAATGGCAGCTGCCTCCTGTGTCCAGGAAGAGAAGGAGGACAAGGAAGTCCAAGAACCCAGCGATGCCATAGCTCAAGGTAATAGTTAAAGGGCCGGAATCTACTTGGTGTCTCAAGTGTGGAATGCACACACCTGCACATGCAAGAGCACACATTCGTCTCCAGTTATGTATGATACACGGCATATGTTTACCACTGAGCACGAGATCCCCATGGGTCATAGGCTTGGGTGCATTTCGCACAGATGATCCAACAGACTGCTTACAGAGATCCCTCTGGCCTCCAGAGACGTACTGACCACTGGCGAGTAGGAAACTACGTGGCTGCCAACAGGCATGGCGTAGGACACCAGAGGTCCACCTGGCTGAGCTAGGCACACTTCTGTCATCATCCGGCCCCTGGCTTTGGCACTTCACAGAGTGCACATTTGAGGACATCACAGGTCACAGCGGGGGAGGCAGAATGGCCAGTTTTCTGAGGGGCCACCAAACAGGGGGAGGAAATCCATGAGCGGAGGCTCAGGAAGACTTTATTCTTGTCAGAGAAAAACTTGAGCTTTGGGAACTCAGGAAAGAGTTGATTTTTACTTGTTAAAAAGCAGTTAGTCAATGAAGTGGAGGATTATCTAAGTATAAGGAAAGACAATGGCTTTCCTCCTAAGGAAGATAAATGGCAAGCAGCAAACAGAAGGAAAAATGGGAAGCTTGGTCCAGCTTATCCTAATATTATGTATCAAGTATATAAAAGAGCTAGCAGCAGGAACATTTGGCACATTTTTAAAATCTGAGAAAAACAGGTTAGGCCACCGTTCCTCAGACTCAAGTAATATATAGAGACTCGTATGAAAGCAGAGCAGCGCTCCCAGATCCCAGTGTTAACTGAGAAAAGGGCATCACAATTTTACCTAATACGTACAACCATAAATTACATAAAAATCCTTACATTTAAGGTTTTTAAAACTCCAAAACCAAGACTAATATTCAAATTATATGCAAATAAAAATAAAGTCAGTATCACATGCATGTGACAAATGATGCTTTGCTACAAGTCCATTTGCCCTTTGCAGCAAGAGTACCATTTGGCTCCCTCTGAAGTGAGTGTGCTGTATTTCTGGGCTCTGACCCATCACTCAGTTGTCCTACCAGGCCTACATTCCAAAGACTTGACACCATTATTCACAGAGGATATTGTCATTGGGCCTTGCCTTGGCATTTTGCATGATTGACACCTTAAGTCACCTTCTGCATCCTTTCTCATTAGTATTCCACAATAAAAATGTATTATTTGAAGGTCACAAATATAAATGCAGTCTCAGAGAGTGATGGTATGGCAATTTTTAGTTAGAAAGCAGTCATCGTGGCGTTCAGAGTGCAATACACGTTTTTTAAGGTGATAGCAGCATGACTGTGACATTAAATCTCTGAGAGAACTTGCAGAACATCAGGAATTCTTCCATATTATCAGTTTGGTACACAGGGACAGAGGCCGGGTGTGGGCACAGATGGCTTTAACTGGGGTCAGCACGTGAAGCCCATCCACACCACTCTGCCTGACCCAGAACTCAGGGGTGGGCCTGCAGGAACGGCACCCACCAGCTCAGGCCCATCCAACTTCTGAAGCCACAGAGCTGGAGTCGCCAGTGTCTGTGGGGCCTGAGGGCTGAGGAGTTTGCATGATGTACCGCAGGGACCTGCCACTGAGGAACTTGCCGCCAGCAATGTCTACTGTCTCCCTTTGCCCTTGCATGGCAGCTCCTTCTTTTCTTTCCATCCGTTCTGTCTCCCTCACTCTGAATGTTATTTTAATGAACGTCTTTCTGGCACAGTGAAACTAAAAGTGGAGCAGAAACTGGAGCAGATCGGGAAGCTGCACGGGGTGTCGCTGCACACAGCCCACGTCTTATGCATGGACGCCATTCTCAGCGTAGGCCTGGAGATGGGAAGCCACAACCCGGACTGCTGGCCACACGTGTTCAGGTGCCTGACGGGATGGCCACCTCCGCATGGCACCCACCCTGCCTTGGGAGCCTGGGGGTGATGGAAGGGCTAGACTCCAGGGTCTGTCGGCATTTAAACAGATGGCGATAATTCAGAGTTTGGATAAGTCCCAAATGAGAGATTAAAGAGAGACGAGGGGATAGGAGCCCAACTGAATATATATATTAGAGAACAGAGTGACAAAATTTGCTTTTGGGGATTATGAATAGATTATTAACATTATCTAGGAGAGTCAGTTGTGTTATACAAAGGAAGAAAAACCAATTTCTTAAATAGTGGATGATGAAAGCCGTGTAAGTTAAGTGAACACTATGCAGATCTAAAACCTGACCATGTATCAACCATATAACATTGCTGCCTGTGTATTAATGTCCTCTTCATTTAAAAAGGGATTTGGAGAGCTTGCACGGACACATAAAGTACAAGATGCCTACTTTTAATTTAGCGAGACAAAGGAAAAAATAGAATAGTACATTGCGCTACAGACAGACCAAAAATTGGTTTCCAAGGTTTGCAGCATCAAAGGGAAAAGACCGCCGCCCCAATCAGTTACACAGTTCATAACACCTATAAAATGACAGCAGCGGGAGGGCCCCAGAGTCCTCCTGCAAGTAAGCAGAGCACGCCGCCCCCCTCCCCAGGCGTTGGCCTTCAGGAGACCTGGGACAGAGCAGGGGGCACTGCCCGCCGTGCTGGCTCAGGGCCGGCGCTGGACCGTTTCTTTTCCTTCTCAGCACACGCCCACCTGACCCACTCACTGAGCTCGGTTCCTGCAGGGCAGCGGTGGTGTCACCCAGGGCGCTGGCCAGATCTGGGTTCAGTTTAATATCCCAAAAGCAAATACAGTTATGAGTGATGACTTTCAAAGAGCGAAGCGCACAGATCACTTACAGGTTGAAAACCCCATCTTGAGAGGAGCATGGTGAGAAGGAGCCAGGATGAAGGCCTCACAAGCAAAAAGGGAAAAGGAAAAAGACTTAAATTATACCCAGGCAATTTATATCAAATAAAAAAATTGTCTGATTGTAGAATATCAGAGCGGATTCTCCAGGAAGGTCCATACCAGTACCTGGACTTATTCTGGGATGAAGGGCCTCTCATGAACCACCCTCGTCCCAGGTTCTACTGGGAACAAACTGTAGAAGCTGATAGCTGAGCCACAGGTCGTGACTGTTCTCTGTGTTACCAGGCTAGTTAGGGCGCTGTCAGGAGCAGGCGGGACATGGCTGGCCAGGACCCCTGGGAGAGGCCCAGTGCAGTCATAGGACCTGTCAAGCCATAGGCACACTGTCTAGGACCCCAAAGTGAGAAAACACTTCCCAAGTCCTGATGAGAGCACTAGAGATGGGGGAGGAGGACCTCTTGGGAAAACTCACTCAAACAGCTTAAGTCCAGAAAAGGCAGTCAGCGGGCCAGGCCAGAACGGGTGAGCAGAGCGTTGTTATCTACCTTTCTCCCAGTATGAGTAGGAGGGGTTGAGGAATCCTTCCTCCGCTTCCGGGCTGTCTGGTCCAACTCAAAAATACACACAGGGAGGGAGGGGCGAGGAGGGGAGAGATGGCTGTCACCAGAGGAAGGAGAGAATTTGCGGAGCACTGTAAAACTAGCTGCATCTCCTTGGTCTCACTGTGGGATTTATAGAGTTGGTCCGGTTGAGCCGCAACTTTTAACAGCTGCTCCCTTGTGACTCTCTCTAGGGTGTGTGAGTACGTGGGCACGCTGGAGCACACCCACTTCAGCGATGGCGCCTCCCAGCCTCCTCTGACCATCAGCCAGCCCCAGAAGGCGCCCGGGGGCTCTGGGCTCCTCGGGGACCTGGAGGGTGAGGGCTCACCCCAGGAGCAGAGCCCGGAGCAGGAGAGCTCACTGAGCATGGCCCCCGTCATCCAGCCCCTCTCCATTCAAGAGCTCATCAGGGAAGGCAGCCGGGGCCGGGCGTGCGACTTCCGCGGGGGCAGCCTCATGACCGGGAGCAGCGCCGCCAAGGCCGTGCTCACGCTGTCCACGCAGGCCGACAGGTGTGTGCGCGCGCCCCGCCCCCACCTCCCCTCACCGCACCCCAGCAGGGCAGCTCGCTGCACAACACCCCCTACCTGTGGGCCGCACCATATCCGTCTCTTCTGGTCTCAAAACACTGTCAGGACAACTTGATTGGTTCGCCGTTTAAACCTCTCTTCATTAGTCTCAAACCTAACTGCTGTCTCCTGCCACACCCCACACTTAGCATGAATTGTTGTCTAATGACTAGACTGGAGGCTCTGGGGGCAGGAACCCTTGCCCGTGACCCCAGGCTACCTCACCTCTTTATCATAAAATCAGGTCAGGAAGTAGCTCTCTCACAGGGTGGCCATGAGATTAAATTAAATAGCACAGTTGAAGTTCTGAGGACAGAGCTTGGCCAATAATAAAAATTCACTATTTTTGAAAAAGATTTTACTTATTTTTAGAGAGAAGGGAAGGGAAGGAGAGAGAGGGAGAGAAACATCAATGTGTGGTTGCCTCTACATGCCCTGAGCTAGGGACCTGGCCTGCAACCCAGGCGTGTGCCCTGCCTGGGAATCGAACAGCGACCCTTGGGTTCACAGAACAGCACTCAATCCACTGAGCCACACCAGCCAAGGCAATTCTTATGATAATTAATATTTTAAAATTCCACAGCTCAGAGTGCGATATGTTATTAAATGATGCCCAAAACCATGTTAAGTTTGAGAGGGGGGAAAAATATCAACAATAGCACCAACTGTTTAGGAGCTATTGATGCTGAAAGGGCTTTTGTTCACCAGTTACATGTTATTCCACCTCACTTCACACTCCAGACTTCGTTGTTGTGCCGCAGACTACCCGGCACGGGTGCAGTGAAGGTTATAAGGCGAACACGGACAGCAAGGGGGTGGAGAAGTGGGAAGCGCACTCACTGGCTGGGACTCAGAACACCGGGTTCTTTCCTTGCTGTGATACCAAGCAACTACAAGGTCATGTCTGTATAGGTAGATGCACTGAAACTCAGTTTCTTCTTCATCTGCTAACCCAGTATATGGACTAAGTCAGTACAATAATCTTTTTTCCTGTTTATCCAACAAGATGGTTGTGAAAGTATTGTGGAATCTGGATAGAGGTGTCTGGAAAGGACATTGTCCACTTTTTTTTTTCTAATTAGGAAAGAAGAAGAAATGGTTCATGAGATTCCAGCCCCAAATGGTGTTAAAATTGGAATTACAGAACAGCAAGAAAAACGTGTCAGTTGCAATAACTTATAAACGATTAATTCACCAATGTGTGTCACATACAGAGGCTCTATTAGAGACACTCTCCCTTACCCAGCACGTGGCACCCCAGGGCCCGCTTGCCCTTCTGGTGCCAAAACAGGATTGGAGGGCCGGCATTGGATGACCCAAGGCCAGGGGAAGGCCGGCTCACCTCATTCCTACTGTGCACGGAAACCCACATCGGATCCCAACATCCCACAGGCCAATGAGCCTATGACCCTCCCCTAAGCCCTGCCGCCTGTGCCCACCTCCTCCTCCTCCCTCACTCCTACTGGAATGTCCGTGCCCGGTGGAGTGGAAAACAAAGAGCCTGCCAGGTCCGCTCTGTGAGGGCGTGGTCATTATTCCAGGAGATACTGGAGCTCCCGCCAAGCCCTGGGCTGCAGGTGCCTGAGTGGGAGCGGATGAAAACAGTTGCCCCTGCCCGGGGTGGGAGGGGCACACAGGGTAGGATTTCGTGTCCTCAGAGCCATGCCCAGTGTTACGCTCCTCAATTGTAGTCCAACAAAAGCCTTAATTAATTTATTGGGTTTTTCTTTATTAATTTTTAATTTTTTAATTTTTAATTTTATGGGGTTTTTCTATATTAGCTAATGAGATGAGATTGCTACATGAGATTGTAGCTAAAATTCTAAGGATTCCTTTCCCATTTATTCAGTTCCTAGGAGTGATGCTCTGCCATCTTTCAACTTCTTGCCAAATTTTTTTGAGTGCCTACAATGGCTGAGCTACGCCCTGGGATACAAAGATTTTTTTTTTAAATATAGCCTGTGCCCTGCAGATTAATTACACTCGGAGTTAGAACGTACTCGTACATAGTCATAATAGATATAATGATACCATACATTTCCTTACAGTGTTTACACAACATTTTCATTAATCACATCTAACAAAATTACCGTAAGCATTCTGCCATGAAGACTTTGCTGAATTGTTTCCAAGAAACAAACCTTTGTGTTTCATCCAGGCTCTTTGAAGATGCTACGGATAAGTTGAACCTCATGGCTTTGGGAGGTTTTCTTTACCAGCTGAAGAAAGCGTCGCAGTCCCAGCTTTTCCATTCTGTCACGGACACAGTTGATTACTCGCTGGCCATGCCAGGTAATTCTTTCCGGGAAGGAACTGTGCCGCGAGGTTAGTGGGAAACGGCCCAGACCTGTGATATCAATGGCCTGCCTGAGGCTGGAATCCACACTCTCTGCACATGGTCCCATAGCTAATCTGTCATCTAGTTTTAAGGCATCGTGTGTGTGTATGGGGGAGTGGAGGGATTATTCTTTGTGAATGGAAATGTCACTGTTGCCACTGTTACGGATGTTGCCATTGGAGCAGGGCTAAGTTGTTTGGCTACAGTTCGGGCTTGTGATATAAAAATTATGTGGCTACTCAGGGTGTGGATAGCGCTCATGAGGGTGGGAACTCTCCTCCCTATCACAGACCACAGTCCTCAACTCAGTCCAGTCAATGTGCAGAAGCAGCTACTGATTCCACAATGACAGTGGGAGAGAAAAATGGAAGGATCAACAGAATCCTCATGCCTCTCCTAGAAAAACTGCCCTCATGCATACCCCTTTAATGATGGGTCAGTATCATGGACTTCACGCATGAAGCCAGATGAAATCTCTCTTGAAGACCAACCTGTGGAAGAGGGAATGGAGTTGTACTGAACTGTCCCATAGTCCCAAATGGGTGGCAGGCTGCTCAGAAACGCAGCTGCCCATCAACAGCGGGGATGGTTGTGCTAAAACAGTGAGTCGCTTCATCCTAATGAGTTCAGGCAGAGGCTCAGAGCCGTGTGGCAGGTTGGACTGCACAACCTCTGTGGTCTCTTCCATCTTTAGGAATCCGAAGTTCTAAGTGTCATACATTTGGCCTTTTGATACTGAGTGTAGATTCTAATTTGAGAACCACCATCCTTTCCCTATTAGTTTTTAATAGACTTTAAAACCTTAGCTATATAAGGCCAACCTTCCAGAACAATCAGACTACCAGAGCACCTCTGAGCCCAGGGCAACCTCCGACATCTTTTGTGCTGGATAAATCAGCAGATTCTGAGCTTACAAAAAGCAGTGAGCAGGGCCAAGGAGAGACAGCAGTCCCAGAACAAGGAAGCGCTGGCTTTGAAATCAACCAGACAGGAGTCAAAATGCTGCCTTCATCTTTGACCAGACGCATCATCTTAGACAAGTCGGTTCACCTTTCCAGCATTCAGGTGACCAATCTGTAACGTGGCAGTAAGTACATTTCCTTCTTAAGGTTTGCTTCAAAAATTAAAATGGTTAAAGATGCAAAGAAGCAACACAATGTCTGATGCAGAGTAAACATTCAGTAAATGTCAGTGATTATTACTACTGTCATTTTGAAGTTTAATTGATATGGCAAGGCTAATGAGAAGCACTTTGGTGGGAAGAGCCTGATAATGATCAGCATTTTGTAGGCGGCAGTAAAGGGGGAACAACAGGACACAGTAGAAGGGAGTGGGAAAGACTAAGGTGACATTGGTAGAGAAGTAGTACGAGATCAGAGTGGGCGAAGACTGTGCTGAAGCAAAGCAGAACCAGCTAGGCAGCATGTTATCGAGTAGCAAAGGGGCCTGACTTGCTGGACAAGAACTTCAGAGGTGCCACTAAGGATTGGCAGTGGATGATGACCAAGCAGGACGCAACAGCAATAGTCATGATGACAGCTAAGAGTGAGGGTCAGGTAGTGTGCGCCTGTGTTGAGCACTTTATGAGTATTATTACATTTAATCCTTAAAGTAACTTTAAGAAATACGTCCTATTATCCCCACATTTACAATGAGAAACTGTGGATCAGACATAAATCTCTGGCCCAATGTAACCCAACTACTAAATGATGAAGACAGGATTTGAGCCCAGGCCGCCTGACTCCCTAGCCTGCCTATATGACCACTACATCACCCTCCCTTGTCAACAAGCATCATTCACACTTGTCACAGCAGCCACTGGGAATGTGGTGGTGAACAGGAGGGGTGGGCCGGGCCTCGCTGAGCGAACCACCTAAGTCTCTCTTGAACCCCAGCGCATCTCCTCTCTTGGTTAGCACTCACCAAATAGTCCTGCTGGTCTGAGTACAATTATTTGATTTTCATCCTCTCTCTGTGCTTGAACAGGTCAAACTATATCTGAGGTTGGGCTTGATGGCTTTCATGGTCTTTTCTTGTAGGAGAAGTGAAATCCACCCAGGACCGGAAAAGTGCGCTGCACCTGTTCCGCCTCGGGGACGCCATGCTGAGGATCGTGCGCAGCAGGTCAAGGCCGCTGCTCCACGTGATGCGCTGCTGGAGCCTGGTGGCCCCGCACCTGGTGGAGGCGAGTGCCTGGGAAGTGGGAAGTGCAGGGAACTCTGTCCGCAGAGCCAGCACAGGGCCCCCCAGTCGGTGTGGGGCCGCAGAGCACTGTGGCCATTGCACAATGGGAAGGTCCCCATCTCCCGGTCACAGGCATCATTATACCAATTATACCTCATGGCATCTATAGAATCACCCCAAAGGACAGCACTGCCCTGGTCTCGTTCTGACCCTCTTGCTTTACAAGTTGGTCAGTTTTCATTCTTTATGACCTGGTATCAACCTGAGCCTAAAGCTTTATTTTTATACATGACGCTAATAGTGCCTTTCGTTCCTACCAGTCTCTCTTTTCTAACAGCTAACTCTACTCTAGGCAGTACCTCTGAGTAGGAGACCCATCTGTCCTGGTTTCCCAACAAAGTTAATACTAGGAAAAGCAGTTCCTGTGATAAATTATATGGTAACTCTCCATCTCAGGATTTCAGTACATGGTAACTGGCTACTTCTAAGTTGATGGGAAAATTGTTGTAGTGATAACTATTCTTAATAGCTCTTTAGTGCTTATCAAATAGATATATGTCATAAAGTATTTTGGGAGGAACTTAATTCACTAACTTGAGAACATTCTAGTAAGGAAAATGAGTAGAAAATAATAGCAGTTATGGAGAAACAGTATATCAGTTATCTATTACACTATAACAAACCATCTCAAAAACTTAGGATTTAAAATGACAATTCATTTTAAGTAACACTTCATTTTAAAGTAACAATTCATTTAAAGGAACTCGTTTATTTAACTCATGAATTCCTGGGTAAGAAATTTGAGCTAGGCTCAGCTAGGCAGTACGTCCAGTGTCAGCCAGCCTTGGCTGATCTCAGCTGGCCTTACGTGCCGCCTGTGGTCAGCCAGTACAGAGACTGGGGCCAGCGGGTTCGTGGTGGCCTTGACTGGGGAGGCCGGACAAATGGCCTCTCTCATCCTTCAGCAGACTGGCCCCAGCTCGTTCACATGGCATTTCTAGAATTCCAAAGGAAAGCAAGAGAACAAACCCCAAATCACAACAACTTTTCAATTATCTACTTACATAATATTTGCTATTGTCCAAAGCAAACCACACATCTAAGCCCAGCATCAGGGTGGCCTGGATACAGGGCCCTCAACCAATGAGAGCTTTATTAGTGCCATCGGCTCACCTCCCTGAGGGACAAATGACTCCTCTAATCGATATATGCTTGGGGCACAGCTAGGAATGAGATGGTGGGCAGTTCTGGTGTCTTTACAGTCAGCACGTTCTATACCATCCAAGAAAACTGTCATGTTATATTAAAGAGAAGAAGAAGAAGAAGAAATTACTAGGTACTCTGATTTTTCTAGAAACATTTAAGTAAAATTGGAGTTGTGTCTGATCAGGCTGTTCGGTTATTTAAAATGCAACTCTGTGTGCTGTTCACCTGTACATATCCCTTGAAGGGTTCTTTACTTTAACAGAAGCTGCATCCACCTCCCTGCAGTGAGGTGGGTTAGGAAAACCTTCCTAAGAAGAAAGGTGAAACCAGACTCGTACTTGCCTGAAGTTCCAACGGTGTTCTGTTCTCTCATGAATCTTGCAGGCTGCCTGCCATAAGGAAAGACACGTGTCTCAGAAGGCGGTTTCCTTCATCCATGACATACTGACAGAGGTTCTCACTGACTGGAACGAGCCACCGCACTTTCACTTTAATGAAGCACTCTTCCGGCCTTTTGAGCGTATCATGCAGCTGGAGTTGTGTGATGAGGACGTTCAAGACCAGGTCAGTGTGTCACGGTGACCAGCATTGTAAACCACCATCATGACTAGTGCTTATGGAGTGCCCAGGCAGGCGTTGTCCTGTGACCTTTGCATATTCCACCTTTCCGGTAGTCCTCTATGTGGAATCTGTGACAAAGAAAGGTGATTCCATTTACCTGAGGATGCAGTGCCTGAGGGAACTGGGAATTGAACCTAGGCAAATGGGCTTTACTGGTCTATACTGGTAACCATACCCTCAACTGGGACTAAAGTGGTGAAGAAACTAACTGGAGACATCATAACGAACCTGATGGTCGTCTAGGAACACAGACCCTCTCTCTGAAATCTAAAAATGTCAAATAACGGCTGAAAAATTCTTTTTAAATACATTGACACCCTGGCAAGAAAGTGAGAAATACTAAGATGCCCACAACTAAGTAGCAATGTGAAGCCTCAGAAGTAAACAGAGCTCTAAGGCTGCTTTGGCCATCATGGAATTTGTCACCAGGTAAAACTGAGCTCTGCTATCATTTTCTTTTTGTAAAGATTTTATTTATTTCTTTTTAAAGGGAGGGGAAAGGAGAGGAAAAAAAGAGGGAGAGAAACAGCGATGGGTTGCTTCTCGCAGGCCTCCAACCCAGGGCCTGGCCCACACTCAAGGCATGTGCCCTGACTGGGAACCAAACCAGCGACCTTTTAGTTTGTGGGACGATGCCCAACCCTCTGAGCCACACCAGTCAGGGCTGCTATCACATTCTTGAGACCACAAGAACAGGAGGCAAATTTCAGCACAAATCTTTAAAACCAGTGCTCACTGAGGCCAAGGTTGAATTGGAAATGAACCTAAGTACCACCCTCCCTGAGGATATGATCAGGCTGTTTCTAACATTGGTTCTTACTAGAAATAAAAAAATTAACGTTCCATGATTAAAATTACAAGCCAACCCTTTTGTGGAGTCAGCAAATGAAATTGTACCACCTTGGTGGTCTGGGAACTTTACACAGGCACTATGCAGAGCAACAGAATTCCTCCTAGAATTTCAACTTGGGACACAAAAATAATCCTGCAAATAAAGTTCCAAGATATGTGAGTTCACAGTATTTTAAAAATATTACAAAACACATAGGGAAACAAGGCAATAGTTGGAGCTACTGAAACTACAATATGATACAATCAGACCTAGAAATAAGAGAAATATTGGTATCTTCCATGCAAAATACTAAATCATAATTTTTAATGAAACAAAAAAAGAATGAAGATATGAATTAACACTTAAAGGCTAGGTTGGGGGATTCCAATAATAGTGAACTAAGTCATTCAAATCAGCTTTCTACAGGAACAACTGGAAAAAGTTGGATAAAAAAATCTTTTTAGTCATTGGAAAGCATTGAAATATCACAAACAAAGTGAATAACTTTGAGGCCATGATCTAGGAGAAAAAGAATACCCAGGCTAGTATTTGGGATTGCTTTTCCTAAAATGGAATTAATTAATTTCAGAAGAAGCTGAAAGACTAAGAAGCTAAGACAAATTGGAGTCTGGAGCCTGCCCATCCGGTAACTTCTTGACATCTTGGGTCAGAATCATGAAGAGAATAGGATTCCCTAAGAGGAAGGGGGAAACTTAAATAGACTAGTCCTAACAGAAAACAGTCCCCAACTTCAAATAATCCCAATCCCGAACCTGAGAACATGACATCATTATTTCTTAATGTTTAGGTATAATGTCTGCATTTCAGTCAAAAATAATCAGGCTCATTAGGAAATAACATGTCATTAAAAACAAAAAGACAGTACAGATAGACACATACATACCCTTCCAGGGATCCAGATATCAGAGTTATCAGATACAGACTTTCGAATAACTGTGCTGAAATAGTTTCAGGAAGATAAAGAACAAGAAGGACTTTGGCTATAGTGGTGTAAAGAAGTTAGTGAATTCTCCTCACAAGAATCAAGGATTAGACAGGACAAAATTGTCCAAGGCAACCATTTCAGAGCTCTGGAAACTGACCAAGGGCAGACAACAAATTGAGTAGCATTTGTGCTTAAAAATAGTTCTTGCCAGAATTCTGATAAAGAACAGTCGGAGTCTGTGACGTTCTAGCTGAAGACTGCACCCATCCCCCCTTACTTCTAAAGTTTTGACAAGAATAACAGTTTGACCAGTGCGAGGCTGACAGGGAAAATCAGCAGCTTTTCTGCAAGGAGGAACAGACTTGGTCTGGAGAAGAGGGGAAAAGATCATTGATTTGTCAGCTCAGAGTGGTGGGTTAATTACGAAATGAATGGAAGAATCCTGCAACCTTGCTAACCTGCGGTTGCAATGAGCAGTGAGCCAGTAAGAAATGTATCATGAGGCCCTAGAAACCCGAGATTCACAGAAGGACCAGGTAAGTTCCTCACACAGCTCTGACTCACTGAAACATGGACATAGGCAGGATGGACCGTGCAGATCCCATCAGAAAGTAAAAAGACAAGGAAGACGGAGGCATTGGCTGAACTTTGAGTATTGTCCCCAGCCTACACACACACACAGACTGGTTGGCAAAAGGTGGAAGCCTTAAAGACTCAAGTGTGAGTATGAGCACAGTCTGCCCACATCACCCATGACCAGTAACTAGCCTGTGTCAACATGGGGACAAACACTAGGAAGTCAGGCTAAAAAAGTAATAATTGTAATAAAAAAAATTGAGCAGAGACATTGCTGCCTCACACTGTGGGAAGAGACAGGTTCCATAGTTTATGTCCAAGCAACTTATTTATTTTAAAGAAAACTCAGGAAAAGGAATCAGCATTCAGCATTGCTACGCTATCTTATCTAAAATGTTGAATTTTTGTTGAAAAAAAAATTATGAGACATGCAAAGAAACAAGAAAGAGTGACAAATACTTGAGGGGAAAAAACAATAAATACAAACTGACTTAGAGGGAGCCCAGTGTTGGAATTCAGAGACAGAGACTCAAAATAGCTATCATCAGTATGTTCAAGGAGTTAACGGAAAATATGGTGATAGTGACTCAAGAATGGAAATGTGATAGAGAAATCAGAAATATGAAAAATGGAAATTCTACTGTTAAAAAGGGCAATAACTAAATAAAAAACCTACTCGATGGGCTTACTGGCAAGATTTGAGATGGCAGAAGAAAAAAAATAAGTGAAGTTCCAGGTAGCTCAATATAAATGATCCGTTCTGAGCATCAGAGAGAATTCATTTTGATGAAAAATAAATAAAACCTTAGAGACCTGTGGGACAATGTCAAGTATACATGTAAAAGGAGTCCAGATGAAGAGGAGATAGACAAAGGGGTGGGTAAATGTAGTAAGAGAAATAACGGAACCCAATGAGCAGCAACACAAAGATAATCCATAGTAGATACATTGTAGTCAAAGTGCTCAAAGACAAAGACAAAATCTTCAGAGTAACAAGAGAGAGAGTTCGGGACTACACAGGAACCATGACTGCTGACATCTCTAGAAAGAATGAAGGCCAGGAGATAATGTAAGACCATACTTCATATGATTACATTTATGTAATCGTGCCAAAATAGGCAGATCTGTGGAGACAGTAGCTTAGTGAATGCCTAGGGCAGAGGGTAGAGTGGTAGGGTGGGCAATGCCTGATAACAGGTCCTGAGTTTTGGGGACAGGATTACTGAAAATGTTCTAAAATTAAATTGTGGTGATGCTTGTACAACTCTGAATATACTTTAAAAAAACACTGAACTGTTTGCTATAAATGGGTACGTTTTATCAGGTATGATCTCTCTCTCAGTAAAGATGTTAAACAAACATGAATTGACTAAACTTCTATTAAAAGGCAGAGAGTGGAATACAGGATATAACAACAAGATACGACAATATACAGTCTACAGGACACAAATTTTTAGATTCAAAAGCCCAAATAGATTGAAATTCAGAGGACTGACGATTTTCCATGCAAACACTAACCGTGGCAGAGCTGGGGTCACTACATTAACGCCAGGTAAACTATACTTCAATACAAGAAATATTACTGAAAACAGAGATATTTAGTAAGTAGGAAAGGGTCAGCATATCAGGAAGACACATCTATTATAAATGTCTGTACACCTAACAATAAATCCTTAAAAGTGCATGAAGCAAAAAAGAATTGAAAGGGGAGAGAGAGACAACTTAAGCGTTGCAGTGGGAGAGAATGGAGAGTTACTATGTAATGGTGCGGAGGTTTAGTCTGGAAGGAGGAAAACATCCTGGGGATGGACGGTGGTGATAGTTGCACAACAATGTCGATGTACTTAGTGCTATTAAACTGTACGCTTAAAAATGGTTAAAATTATAATTTTATGGTATGCATAATTTTACCACAATAAAAATAATTATAGGGGATATTGCAACACTCCTCTCTAAGTAGTTGACAGAACAACTAGATGGTAGATTACTAAGGATCTAGAACACTTTATCCAACAAAAGAATACAGATTATTTTTAAAGGCACATGGAATATTCTCCATGATAGATGCGATGCTAGTCTCCATATATGTAATAGAATTAAAATCATATAAAGTATGTTTTCCAGCAACAATGGAATTTAATTCAAAATAAGCAATAGAAAGAAATTTGGAAAGTACCTATTTGGAAATCAAAGAAACTATTTAGAATTCTAAATAGTCTATGGGTCAAAGAAGTCACAAGGAAAATTAGAATATTTTGAATGAGTGAAAATGAAAATGCAACTTATCAAAATTTGTGGAATGCGGAGGAAATTATACCTGCAAATGCTCACATTAGGAAGAAGAAAAAACTGAAATCAGTAATATAAGTTTTCACCCCAAGTCCCTAGAAGAAGAGCTAATCTAAAGAAGCTAAGAGGAAATGATGACCAGAATAGAAAACAATGAAATAGGAAAACAAACAACAGAGGAATATCAATGAAACTGCAAACTACCAAAATGAAGAATAGAAGAGGAAACATTACTGAAAACACTAGAGAAATCAAAAGAATTATGAAAATATTATAAGCAACCTTATGTCAACAAAATAAGACAACTTAAACCAAATGGAAAAATTCCTAGAAAGATACAAGTAACCAAAATTTTTTTCAATAAGAAATGGAAAATACAATTAAATCTCTATCAAGTAAAGAAATTGAATTAGTCATTTAAAGTCTTGCCAAAAAGAATATCTACACTTTGTTGGTCTCTCTAACAAATCTATAAACTATAGGAAAGAAATAACACCAGCCTTACACAAACCCCCATCAGATAATAGAGGAGGAAGGAACACTACCAAACACATTTCATGATTCCAATGTTACTCTGATACTAAAGCCACAAGAAAACTATAGACCAATATTCTTCACAAAATTAAACCTAAAAAATTCTTTAAAAATTATTAGAGCCCTGGCTGGGCGGCTCAGTTGATTGGAGCATCATCTTGTATATCAAAAGGTTGCAGGTTCAATCCCCAGTCAGGGCACATACCTAGGTTGTGGGTTAGATCTCCAGTCAGAGCATGTGTGGAAGGCAACCAATTGATGTCTCTCTGTCTGTCTCTCTCCCCCTTTCCCTCTTCCCCTCTTCTCTCTTTAAAATCAATAAACACATCCTTGGGTAAGGATTAAAAAAATGAAAAGTTATTAGAATTTAAATCCAGCAACATATAAAGATTAAACACTGTTACATATGAAATTTATCCCAGGAGTGTAAGGTTGGTTTAACAGCTCAAAATCGATTAATGTAACATATCATATTAGTAGAATAAAGGATTGAAACCACATGATCATGTAAGTAATTATAGAAATTTGACAAAATTTAACGCTCATTTTTAATTAAAAAAAAAAAAACCTTAAGGAATGAGAAGTAGAAGGAATTTCCTCAGTTGGATAAAGAGCATCTTTGAGATTCTTACATCCAATGTCACACTTCATGGTGAAGGACTGAATGCTCTTTCCCTATGATTAGCAACCAGGCAAGGATTTCCTTCTTGACTATTTGTATTTAATATAATTTTTACACAGTGTACACAAAAATTAAAGGTGTCTAGATTTGAAAAGAAGAGCAAAACTTTTCTTAATTCATAAACAACATGGCCTTGTATGTAGAAATCCTAAGGAATTTACAAAAAATTACTAGAATTATTAGTGAATTTAATAAGGTCACTGGATACAAGATTAAGATACTAAAATCAATTGAATTCTTATGTCTGAGAAATAAATGATCAGAAATTGAAATTAAGAGGATAGTTCCACTCACAAGATCATTAAAATGATAAAAATATTTAGAAGTAAATTTAGCAAAAGAAGTTCAAGACCTAAACACTGAGAACTATAAATATAAAACATTGCTAAGAAAAATTAAAGAAAATTTAAATAAACTGTGACATATACTCCATTCATTGATTGAAAGACTCAATAATTTTAAATGAGAAAATCCCCCTCCATTAATGTATAGATTCAGTGCAATTCCCATCAAAATCCAAACAGATTTTAATGATATTGGCAAGATGATTCTCAAATTTATAGGCAAATGGCCCTGGCTGGTGTGGCTCAGGGGGTTGAGTGCCAGCCTGAGAATCAAAGGGTCACCAGTTTGATTCCCAGTCAGGGCACATGCCTGGGTTGCAGGCCAGGTCCCCGGTAGGGGGCACGCGAGAGGCAACCACACATTGATGTCTCTCTCCTTCTCTCCTTCCCTACCTCTCTCTCTAAAAATAAATAAAGTCTTTTAAAAATTTTATATGCAAATACAAGAGATCAAGAATAGAGAAAACAAATTAGAAAAAGAAAAAATTTGGATAATTTATACTACCTGATTCCAAAACTTAAGTAATCAACATAGTGTGATATTGGTGTAAAGGTACACTTACAGGTCAATGGAACTAAATAGAGTATAGAAACAAATTCTCACATTTCGTTTCAATTAATTTTTGACAAGGCAGCCACTGAATTCAATAAAAGGAAAGGATATTGTTTTCAGAGAATAGTGCTTGAACATATGTAATAGAAATGATTTACACTTTTATCTCTCAATATATCTACAAAAATAACTCAATACGGATCATAGCCTTAACTATAAGAAAAACTATAAATGTTTCCAGGAGAAAGTACAGAAGACAGTCTTTGAGACCTTGAGTTAGGCAGAGATTTCTTAGAAATGACATCAGCATGATCCATAAAAAGAGAATTTGATGGTGCCCACTTTAGCAGCACATACGAAAACTGAAACAATGCAGAGAAGGTTAGCACGGCAGCTGAATGACGTGCAAGTTCGTGGAACAGTCCGTAGTCTGTGCCGTTCCCAAGCACCCTGCCACCCTTGGCTCATTAACACAAATACACATACCAAAAAAAACTGATGAGCTAGACTTCATGAAAATGTAAAGCATTGCTCCTTTAACACCATTAAAAAATAAAGTCAAGCCCAAGGTTATGAAAAACTATTTGCAAATTATAGATCTCAGGAAGGATTTGAATCTAGAACACATAAATAGCTCTAAAAATAATAAAAAGACAACAAAGACAAAAACCCAGTCTAAAAGAACAGCAAGATATTTACAAGTAGCTAATAATAAGCTTGTGAAAAGTTGACCGACAACCTTAGTCCTTAGTAAAATGCCAATTAATACAATATGCGAGTGCTTATTTAGAAGATTTTTGCGTGAGTTTGTCTTGCTTCTATTTTTTTCTCTTTTACTAAAATTAACCCAGAAATGGGGAGCAAAGAAGTATATCACCCACCCCATAAGTGCTCCTGCATCCTTTAAAAAGAGAGTGTTAACTGACACCTCCTTTGCCTCTGCCAGGTGGTCACATCCATTGGCGAGCTGGTTGAAGTGTGTTCCTCCCAAATCCAGTCGGGCTGGAGGCCCTTGTTCAGTGCCCTGGAAACGGTGCACAGCGGGAACAAGTCTGAGGTGAAGGACTACCTAGTCGGTGATTACTCCATGGGTAAGATTGTGCATTGGCGTTTTATCCTGAAACGTGACTAAATTCGTTTATTAGTTCTAACAACTTTTGTTAGAGTCTTGTAACACTTTCTGTATGTAAGATCGCAACATCTGCAGGGAGAGGATTTTACCTCTTCCTTTCCGATTTGGATGCCCTTTATTTCCTTTTCTTGCCTGATTGCTCTGGAGAGGACTTGAATAGGAGTGGTGATAGCGGGAAGGACGTGTGGTTGGTTTTTGCTGTAGGGCCTTAGTTCTTTATGCCAAGTTCTTTGCTGTCAGAGGAAATTAAACAACAGGGAAGACTGACATTCAGCGGTGCTTTATCAGCAGGAAATAAGCTGGTGCAGCAGGGACACGAGACCTGAGTCCTGCCAGCAGGCGAGAACCCTGAGCATTATCAGGCTCTGCTCTTACTGTCAGGCTGGATGAAAGGCTAAGAGATTTCGATTGTTTCACTTACACTTACCTGTATTGAGTTAATTCCTAAAGCCAAAATGAAAAATGTTATCCACTTGCTGGAAAGAAGCAGAAAACTATCATAACCCTGGGGAATCTAAATTCAGAAGATCGGGTCTGTCTGGATATGCATGGGCACCCATTAAGCATGCCCGCGATCAGGGGTGTTGTGTCAGGGGTCCCCACATTCAGAGACCCACAAGAAGGACTCAGAACTCAACCTATTTATTATATGGCCCAGATTTATTACATTGCTCACTGCTAAGAAGTATAATGGCAACACAGTAAGGATAAGCCAAGATTATAAGGGCGAAGGGCAGACAGAATCTGAGGGAACCCCTCTGCAGGCTTCCTTGTGCTCTTACCTTCCCATGAGGGTTCCACAGGGCACGCTTTTCCCCCAGCAGTGAAAAATGCAGCAATATGAGTACAATGTTTCAGCCCAGGAAAGCACATTAGAGACCCAGCTGATGGCTGGGCGCGGGGGGGTGGGGGGGGGGGGGCGGGTCCCAGAGGTACCTTCTATCTAACATATACCAAAATTCCAGACTCCCTGCAGGAAAGCAGGCTGTTCAGAAGAAACCACATTGTTTACACAGTCTAGGCACAGTGAACTAACCTTGTCAATTAACTGCTGCCCAGAAATATTCTGGAAGCCGCATTCTGAGACTCCAGCCAAAGGCCATCCTTATATACAAACCTTTCTAAAGACTGCAGTCTTGAGCCTTCTATGTTAACTGTTTTCTGCACAAGTATAAATAAATTAGTAGATGCCATCAAGGATTTATCTAAACCTTCTCTTCCCTATAATTATGTGTGCAGAATTCAGAGGCCCACGTTTCCCCGCCATATAGACCTGCACATTGCCTCAGCCCTGCATCCCTTCTCTCCCCTGAGCTCTTTGCAGCCTTCCTGCAGCTCGCCCCCTGTAGCGCCCCCTGCAGGCAAAGCTAAGAAACACAGCCTGGGTGCCAGGCCAGTTGTCCATTCAGAAGGCCCTGGCTTTTCTCCAGATTTTTCGAGGCCCCGTGGAAGGTGCTGAGAGTATGGGCAACCTGAAAGATAGAGACTTAACTTCCTCACAATTCTATCATCTTCCTCCCTCAGGAAAAGGCCAAGCTCCAGTGTTTGATGTATTTGAAGCTTTTCTCAATACCGACAACATCCAGGTCTTTGCTAATGCAGCCACTAGTTACATCATGTGCCTTATGAAGTTTGTCAAAGGACTGGGTAAGTGGAGTCTTGCTTTCATGCCTTGTGACAGCTGGGGACTCTTTCCTGGATGGCTTTGTGTGGAAAGCCCTGGAGACAGGCCCACTGAGCATCCTGGGATGGAAGCCAGTGGTGTGTACTCAGAAACAGAGAGCTTACTAGAAAAGCAGCCTCAGGTTCTGTCCAGGGTTGATGTTTTTTATTGTGGTCGTGGAATAATATAGTAATCTAGCATGTTTTCAATCTACATGTTATTTTACTTCTTTTTGAGTCTTAAAACATTTAGCATTATATTCATTAGTTGCCCATATGCAGAAAACTATTCTCCTCAGTGTCACCTAATTAGAGTTTGAGTTCCCAGCTCCGAAACAGGAATTAAGAATGTCTCCCCGCAGGCCTTATTAATCACAAAATCTTTTGGAGTGTAAAAGTCCCCCTCTCTTGAGGCCTCCTGTATTTCAGAAACTACCTGACTGATTTTATGCTGAATTTAGGAATACTTTAGCAGAGTGAAGTCTTGCTGCACAGCATGACCTTCTGTAGCAGATGTTTATGCAGCATGAGTCCATCCATGAAATGGAGGGGGGCGGGGGCAGGTAATTAAACCAAAAATTTAGAAGAAACTTAAGTTTTCAACTTTTGAGAATTTCATCATGGAGACCGAGAGCCATTTATCTATTTATTTATGTATTTATTTAAGATTTTACTTATTAATTTTTAGAGAGGGAGGAGAAGAGAGAGAAAGAAACATCGATTCTCACATGTGCCCTAACTACGGACCAGGCCCGTAACCAAGGCAAGTGCCCGGACTGAGACTCAAACCTGCGACCTTTCACTTTGCAGAATGATACCCAACCAACTGAGCCACCCCGGGCAGGGCCTGAAAGCCTTTTAAATAAGGAAAATAAAAGATTCATAATATTCTTTTATGTTCTTGCTAAATAACCAACAAGTTCCTTTGCGAAAGAAAGCTGGACACAAGGACGCTAGGTGACCTCACTCACATCCCCCCTCCTTGGGGGGCAAGAACAGTGTGCAAGTTTCAGGATAGGAGCTGGAGGCCACAGGTCTGATCAGTGGACCAGCCTTGTTATATTCAATTATTATATATCCTTATCCTATATTATATATACCCTGAAAAATAGAAGACTGAGCTGAGGGCAACCATGGCAGCTACTCACTTGCTGATTTTACCTACTAGGCTTCAAAGATTTCTTTTGAACAACAAAGGAAGACTTTTTAAAAATTTGCTCTATGTTAAATAGAAGCCAAATAATTTAGTGTCTTAAATATAAGATGACCTTAAAGGATGAACCTTTGCGTTAGATAGCATAAAACTCAGTTCTTGTCCAAGAACAAACTCGCTTCTCCTGCACGCCGCCTTTAATCTCGCACTACCGCCGTGCTCACACCACTTCTAACGCCAGATGTATGGGCGTTTCCCCACACCAAGCAGTCCTCCGTCCCACTAGCTGGGTGTCCCCCAGTTCAATTCTGATACTATCCAGAGTTAGCTCAGACCACACAGGTTAAGGGCTCAGTCCCACGGGACTGTCCCCTACTTCAGGCTGGTCTTCAGATTACACACGACTCCCGTTTGACCCGGCCAAGAGTTGCAGGTTCCCATGACTCCCACCCTCATAGATTCTATGTTTGCTAGAACAGCTCACAGAATTCGAGGATACACTTCCATTGACCAGTTTATAATATAAGAAGGGCTATGCTAAAGGACACAGATGGACAACCAAACAGAAGAGGCATAGGCGGCGGCCCGAAAGGACCCCAAGCACAGGAGGCTCTATCTGTGGCATTGGGGTGGACCCCGTCCTGGCACAGAGCCGCGTTCACCAACCAGAAGTCCTCTGAACCCTGTGATTTTGGAACTTTTGTGGAGGCTTCACCATGTGAGTATGACAGATCACTGGGTAATTTCCAGCCCCTTTCTCCTCCCTGGAGGATGAGGGGAGGGACTGCAAGTTCCAAGCTTCTAATCGTGACTTGGTTTTTCTGGTGACCAGTCCCCATCCAGGACCCCCCCCCCCCCCCCCGCCACGGTTGCCTCATTAACACAGAAAAACTCTCCTGTCACTCAGGATATTCCAAGCGATTTAGGTCAGAAACCTGGTTCAAAGACCAGACATCAGCAGGAAGGATGTTCCTAGCACTCTCCTCACTTAGGACATTGCAAGAGTTTTGGGAGCTCTGTACCAGGAACTGGGGACAGAGACCAATGTGTACATATAGCTTCTGTTATTTCACAGACCTGTATTTTGTGTAAGAAGCATTATGATTGGCATTCTGCTCACTGAAAAGTGCAATACCTGCTACATGGGCCCAGTGGCCTGTGTGTACGATGGAATATAAAGATGAATAAAACATGCTGCCTGCCTGTGAGAGGCTCATGGCCTATTCTGGGAAACAGACCCATAAATCAATAATTACAGTTGAATGAGATGAATGCTTTCATAGAGGCTAGTAAAAAAAGGGGGGACGGCATTTCAGCTGAAATGAACAGGCAGCTGAGAGGCGGAACTGAGGATGACTCCCATTCCCCACGTTCCTTACAAGGACTGATGTTACCCAGAACTGGGATGTCCCAAGGCAAGCAGGTTAGCTGTGACGGGCAAGAAGTTCTGCCTCAGGGCACGTGGATGTGTGGAGTTTCAGTGAAACATCCAAGTGCAGATGCTTCTCTGCATGTTAGAAATTTGCAATTTTATCTGAGGGAGTTGAGACCTGAAAATAAAGATGCAGCATTATCAGTGTGCACATGGAGAATATTTAAAACAGGTCCAGTTCTTTTTTTCTGTGAATTCCAAGGAGGAATTATTTGTATGGGGCTGCAGGGAGTGGACTGGCTGAGCCCCCAGGGTAGCCATGCTGGCTGGGTACTGCCCCAGCTCTGGGGAGCCCCATGTGCACAGACTTCTATGCACACCACAGCAGCCTCTGTAAAAAACTTTGAAAGACTCAGTTTGATCAACAAGCCAGGGAATGAATTTATTTTTAATTCCCACTTGGTTATTTCAACCTGAATTTGACCTGGTCTGTGTTTTTATACTGTAAGGTATGTTCATCTAAGCCAGGAGTTGCAAACTGTGGCCCATGGCCAAATCCAGTCACTGATAGTTTTTATAAATAAAGTTTTTTTGAAACAAAGCCATGGTCATCTGTCTGTGGCTGTTTTCATGGTGCAGGGACAGGGTTGCGAAGCTTCAGCAAAGACAGTATGACCTGCAAAGCCTAAAGTATTATACTTACCGCCTGGCCCTGTCCAAAAAAAGTTTGCCAACCTCTGATCTAAAACCTCCTTCCATTTTTAAGGAGAAAATGCCTCTTTGTCTGCTTCTGAATTTTAAATAATGCCTAGTAATTATGTCTGTTTACCCACAGGGGAGGGTGCTGGTTGCTACAATTACAGATAATTAGAAACAATTACAATACTGTGCAATGATTTTATTAAAAGTTGAAAAATAGTTTCATTACATGAAAAGAAGAATAATTCTCAACTACTGTTTACCTAAAGAAAATGTAGAAGCCTTCTACAGATCTGTTAAATATCTAAATACATTTTTTTTAAAAAGGAAGAATTTCAGTTCAATTACATAGTCTCCATCCCCAAACCCCAGATGTTTAGAATCTTCCCAGAGGCTTCATTTATCATCACTATTTAGTACTGAGCACTGGCAGCATATGAGGTCCTTTTCCAGATGGAGAGAGGCCTGGTGCTTCATTCCAGCCCAGCACATGGCTGATCTCCAGGATCATCCCCATCAGAGCTTCAGAAGTCACACCATCGGCCCTGGCTGGGTAGCTCAGTTGGTTAGAGTGTTGTCCTGACACACAAGCCAAGGCTGCGAGTTCGATCCCTGGTCAGGGCACAAATAAGAAGCAACGAATAAGTACATACATAAGTAAGTGGAACAACATATCTATGTCTCTCTCTCTCTCTAAAATCAATAGAACTTTTTTTAAAGTCATACCATCAACAGCAGGGGCCTAGGAAAGTGAATCAGTGTGCCTAGCAATAAAAAAAAACACTTCAGCTACTGAAAAGTACTATGGCAGAATAGAGAAAAAATGCTCATTGTTTACTAAAAAGAAGTCACAAAACAATCTCAACCAAATAAGATGTACAGGAGGATTCCAATTGTGTTTAACGTGTACACATGTAGGAAGACAAAATGACTGAAAGGATTTTTTTCTGTTTTAATAGACATTGGGCAAACGGACACCGTGTGAATACATAGGTCGTCCGTTGTAAGAGCATAAACAAGGATAACACTGTCTCTGTCTCCCTGTGCTATCCCTAGGGGAGGTGGACTGTAAGGAGATTGGAGACTGTGTCCCGGGACCAGGGGCCACGTCCCCAGACCTGTGCCTCCCTGCCCTGGATTACCTCAGGCGCTGCTCTCAGGTACGGGGATGCTCACCCTGGGCCCAGGCCCTCACACCTGCCTCGGGACGTGCCTGCAAAACCCCTGCAGGTGTCTTTTGCGGAGGCCTGAGAGAAACACTGTCTGCTGTCTTTGAGGCGATTGGGACTTAGATTGGGAGTATGAATTTTTGTCCCCAACCCTTCCATGAAGGAGAGAGAGAAACTATTAACAGTGTACTTGGAGCACACAGTTGGCTCCTGAGATCTCTGGGACTTCTCATTTGTTCTCAGACGAACTACCTTGATCTCTGCCTTTGTGCCAGGCTGTAGAGGGAGGAGGCATGAAGTCAGGGGAGCTCTTCCTGAAGTGCCAAAACGTGGACGGTGGGGGCGCAGACAATGAGGGGAAACAAAAAAATGTAAGAGGGATGTATTCAGTCAAGAGCTAGCGGAGAAGTCCGTGTGGACAGCGACCTTAAATATGCTCAGTTCAACGATGCTCTGTCCTTCCCCATGCCGTGCCCGTGGAACAAGGCGATACGCCCTCCTTGGAGCCCTTTCTCCTGCAGGCTCCAATGACACCCTCTCGGAGCTAGTTTTCCTCCTGTCTTCTCAGGTTATACCCCCCAGGCCTCTTCTCGCCCCTCAGCGAGAGCGGTGAGCCCAAAGCTTTGGAAAGGATACACGGCCCTAACTTTCTCCCCCGGCCCCACAGGACAGGACTTCAGCGCCCTTTTCACCTCAGATCCTTTCCTCTCAGTCACTGTGCTCCAACCACACTCGCCTTCGGCCCCTCATAGATGCCCAGCTTATTACACCCAGGGCTGCTGCTGCTCCCTCTGCCTGGAATTTGTCCTCCCCAGGTGTCTGTATGATACTCACCTTCCAGTTCTCACCGGAAACATCAGCTGCCACAGAGAGGAGGGCTTTGGAATCCACCAGCTCCCCACACACCTCATTCGCTCTCTGTAGTACAACCTGTCTAATTTTTTCTATGTCATTGATGTCGGAAATTTTATTTATTATAAAGGATTATTGTCTGTAAGACCCACAGGACAGGAATTTTGTCTCTCTTGCTCACAGCTCTGTCGCTGGTTTCTAGAACAGTATGGGTACAGCAAGCACAGTTGTAATTTGTGAAGATAAGGAATCTTGGGAGTTTGTTTCACTAACAGAGATCCCTGGGGGACTGGCCCCTAGTGGACAAAGGGGAATAAAGAGCTCAGGGCGGTCTGTTAGCGTTGCTCCCCGTACTTTGATCTCTGACCTTGCCCACAGAGTCCTCCTTCCCCCATTGCCTCCCCCACCCACTGCTTCTTTGACATGGGGTCATGGGAAGGGGAAATGAGAGTCTGCCACCTGATTGGCCTACAGACTCTCTTCTCACTGATCCTCATAGACACTTTCTCCCATGGACGGAAATGGTGTCATGGTTCCCTTGGCAGGTTTATAAAAACCTACAACACTCATGGGCAATGGAGATGCTGAGAAAGTATTCATTGTGTTTTTTACCTCTATCTTTTGGTTGTCATTGAATGCTGTTTTATCTGCTTCCCAGGATAAATGCCTCTTGCAAGCTACCTTGTGAAGCCAAATCACAAATAACCAACTTTAAGACATCCATACAATGGGAGCTTTTCGGTTTTCTCTCCCCTTTCTATTACTAGTGTATAATTTTATTGTTTTTTAACACAGTGTAGTTTTTTCCAGTATGTAATTGAAGTTTGGTATTTTTTATTTAGTTATTGGCCAAAATCTACAAAATGCCCATGAAGCCAATATTCCTTAGTGGGCGACTTGCTAGCTTGCCTCGAAGGCTTCAGGAGCAGTCGGCGAGCAGTGAGGATGGAATTGAGTCCATCCTGTCCGATTTTGATGATGACACTGGTAAGTTCGTTGATTAGACTAAACCAGTTATTTGCTGTGTATTATTCTCAGAAGCTTAAATCATGAATTAAACAGCTTCTAGATCGCGAATGATCATCCACTTATGTTGTTACTGTTTATGACTCTAATAGAACAAGTCTACCTAAAGTTTCCATGAACGCTCCAAAAACATTTTACAATTGATGCCTCTGAACCTATTCTTTTTAGATGGATGCCTGCATCTAAAACCAGTACAGATTTGCAGATTCTGCTAAATATAATTTCTAACTCCAAATTCTCTTGAATTTAGCAAATTGGAATATGGTTGCATTGGTGAATTGGTACTTAAATTGGCTGGTAATTGTCTTTAATTCCTTCTAGAAAACACAGTCATTATATAATTACTTCCTGCAGGACTATTTGGTTAGAGACTGGGGAAATTAAACCATTACTGAAGAAAGAATCTGTGACTGGTGAAGCTGAACACTCATTAAAAGAATAATTTTAAAGAATGTGTTTCAAATTAGTTTCTATGTAATTTCCTGTGAATTGGAGTTCACTCTAGTAACCTTGGCTAATTCTTAGATAGGTTAACTCATGCTCCTACTTGCTGTCTTCTCAGATGACCCTGACTGGTTTCTAGATGTAGGAATGGAAATGATATCCTGAAAGGGGTCTAATAACTGGGAACGGGTTGTTTCAAACCCATGAAAAAGACTTTTTAGGGGAGGCTTCTTAAATTTGCTTTTGTGTTTGTTTTACATTTCTCTCCTGTTTTATTGTTCTATTACAAATTCATTTATGGGATTTACAGTTTTCCATAGGGATTATAAACAGTAAAACTTCACTAGTTCAGACTAGTTATAAGGAAGCACTATAGGAAAACCTAATGTAGAGAAAAATTAAAATATTGGAAATTGGCTAGATAATGCCTAATACAGGTTTCATTTTAATGGTAAGAATATTTTTTACTTAGCATTGTAAACCTCCACTCCAGACTATTATAAGCAGAAACTAATGTTGCCTATTTGTAATACCATCTTTAAAACAGTTGTAAATGGTTTGTATATACATAACAGCATTTCCTTCCCATTTATGCAAATCATTAAACCATTCTTTTCTAGGTGGCCCATCTCCTGGTGGATAAAGTTCAGCTGAGCACTAAAAGTTTCCCACAGAGTAAATTCTTTGAGGGCTTTAAAGTTATAATTACTTAGGAAACATAGCTAAATCATAGAAAACAATAAAAGTAAAAGCTTTAAGTTAGTATTAACAATTAATTCTCACCATTGATATATTCGGAGGTATTATTTCTCTGGTTTCCAAGGCAAATTACTTTTCTTTCCTATGGAAATATTAAACATATATAAAACTAGACAGAATGTTACAGTGAACCTTCATGTGCCTATCACCCAGCTTCAAATATTACTAACTTATGGCCAACGTCATGTAATGCGTATCTACATACACATACACGCTTACTCTTCCTGCCTCCCTTACCCCGCCCACTTCCTCCTTTTCGTATTATTTTAAAGCAAATCTCAGACATTAGTATGTGTTCCTGTTTATTTTTTATTTTTTATTATTATTTATGCTGTTACAGTTGTCCCAATCCTTCTCCCTCCTACCCCCCGTCACCCAGCCCGCCCCCCACATCCATAGCCCACCCCCATATCATTGTCCATGTCCACGGGTCTTCATACATGTTCGTTGACTAATCCCTTCACACTCTTTCAAATAGTCTCCACCTCCCTCCTCCACTCTTACTTCTGTCAGTCTGTTCCATGGTTCTATGTATCTGGTTTTATTTTGCTCTTTAGTTTATTTTGTTTTCTTTATTAGATTCCTCTTATAAGCGAGGTCATATGATGTTTGTCTTTCACTGACTGGCTTATTTCACTTAGCATAATAGTCTCCAGTGCCATCCATGCTGTCACAAAAGGGAGGAACCCCATCTTTTTTTTTCTGCTGCATAGTATTCCATTTTGTAAATGGACCAGTTTTTTGATCACTTGTCTACTGTTGGGCACTTAGGCTGTTTCCAACTCTGGTTGTTGTAAATAGCACTGCTATGAATGTAGGGATGCATAAGTCCTCTTGAATTCATGATTTGGGATTCTTAGGGTATATTCCCAGCAGTGGAATTACTGGGTCAAAAGGTAGTTCCATTTTTAATTTTTTGAGGAAATTCCATATTGTTTTCCACAGTGGCTGCACCAGTCTGCATTCCCACCAACAGTGCACTAGGGTTCCCTTTTCTCTGCAGCCTCACCAGCACTTGTTGTTTGTTGACATATTTAATGATAGTCATTTTTGGAAGGTGTGAGGTGATATCTCATTGTGGCTTTAATTTGCATCTCTCTGATGACTATTGATGCTGAGCATTTTTCATATGCCTATGGGCCATCTGTATACTCAATATTAGGATGTGGTCTTTAAAGATGCCAAATAACTATGTTATTATCACACCTTAAAAACTAATAACTCTTTAATAACATCAAATATCTATTATGTTAAATTTTCCAATTATGTCAGGATTCACATTAAGATCCACACTATATGTTTGATATGTCTCTTAAACCCTTTTCAATCTATAGATTTTCCTGTCCAACTCTTTTTACTCCTTTGCAATTTATTGAAGAAGTGAGGTGCTTTGTCCTATAGAGTATTCCATTTGGATTTTATTGGTTGCCCCGCCCTGCCACATTTTGGTGGTATGTAACCAGTTTTTCTGTCCTCTGAATTTCCTATAAATTAGCTTGTCCACACCTTGCTTATACAGGGTGGGGCAAAATTAGGTTTACGGTTGTTCATATAGATGTTCAAATAATACAATAATTAATAAATAATATAAGAATAAACTGTTTCACATACTCACAACTGTAAATCTACTTTTGTCCCACCCTGTATTTTAAGGCTTATAAAAATTTCTTATCACCTAGTTTTATTATATTTACTGTCCATGACTTTGATTTTGCCTATTCAAGGGGATGTTTAAAACTGGGAAAGTCATTTTTATGGCAATATTTTTAAATGCAGTCTTCTGATACAATTTTATTTCTTCAGGAAAATTAGAATTGAAGTATTAAAATTGACATGTAGAGTGGGCTATTTTTTATATTACTGTCATTCTTTCATATGAAGCTAGGGAAATTGAGTCCTTTTTACTGCACAGCTTTCTGAGCTATAGGTTCAGATATTTCCAAAGACAGTGTTGTGAAGAAATATTGGCTCATATAGTGCTTGCATAAATGGCAAAATTGAAACTATATGGAACTAATAAAAAGAATTTCATGCTTTCCCCCTCACCTAGTAATGACCAGCACTAAAAGTTAGTATGTCATTTTTAAAATGAACCTCTTAGAAGAGAGAAAAGAAGAGAGTGTATACGGAGGAGTGTGCTGCTCTGGGCAGATGGACCTGTCCACACTGTGAGCACACACTGTGAGCATCATCTCCCCGCCTGTGAGTAGTATACACACTGATTTGTACGTATACAGGGTTGGGAAGGCTCCAGAAGTGCAAACCGCCGTGGGGGCAGGTAAATTTAAAACAATTTATAGAAACCAGATGAATGACCCTTGGAACAAATGTGGCACTAGAAAGAGCAAAGAAAATAGATGAGCATAAGCAACAACAACAACCAAAAAAAAACAGGTACCTTAAGACTTCAAAATTAAAAACTTTTATGCATCCAAGAACATTATCAAGAAAGTGAACAGGCAAACTAAGGAATAGGAGAACGTATTTATAAATCATATATTTGGCACAGTTCTAATATCCAGAATATATAAAGAAGTCCTAAAACTCAACAACAAAAAGATAAATATCCTGCTGTAAAAATGGGCAAGGAGGCCCCGGCTGGGTGTTTCACTTGGTTAGAGCTTGCCCCAGTGCACCGAAGTTGCAGGTGCAATCCTTGGTCAGGGCATGCACAAGACTCAGAGTGAATGCATAAATAAGCAGAACAACAGACCGATGTTTCTCTCCCTGTTTCTCTAAAATCAATGAAAAGAGATTAACAGCTGAAGGAGACAGCCACGAACAGTAGATTACTGGAAGTCTCGAACAGGGTGCCTAAGATCAGACAGGGATGACCTCTGATATCATCAGAGGCAGATGCAGAAAGTAAAAGAAGCAGTCTCCAACCATAGAAGTTCACACCACAAAGTCTGGAAATCAAGACAGATCAACTTAAGAATCAGAAGCAAAAGAGAAGAGTCTCACAAATAATGGGAAGACAAAGAAATAACCCCCACTCGAAGGGAAAGGAGGATTCCCCAGAAAGAGAACTAAATGAAAGAGAGTCAAGTAAACTATCAGATATTGAGTTCCAAACAACGGTTCTAAGGAAGTTCAATGAGCTCAGTGAGCTCAGAGAGAATTACCAAAAACTACACGGAAACTATGAGGAACTTACTGCAAACTATATCTGCATGAAAAAGGACATAGAAACTATCAATAAGAGACAAGAGGAAATGAAGAAGACAATTTCTGAATTGAAGAACACAGTAGAAGGAATCAAAAGCAGATAGATGAAGCCAAGGACTGAATCAGCCAGCTGGAGGACAAGGTAGAAAAAAAGCTCCCAGAAAGAGCAAGAAAATGAAAAAAGACTCAGAAAGAATGAAGAGGCATTGAGGGAAATGCAGGACAACCTTAAATGTAATAATATCCGAATAATAGGGATACCAGAAGGAGGAGAGGATGAGGAAGGGATAGTGAACCTGTTTGAAAAAGTAATGATGGGAAACTTCCCTAATTGGAAGAAAGAAAAAGTCACACAAGTCCAGGAAGCACAGAGGGTCCCATTCAAGAGTAACCCAATGAGGCCCACTCCAAGACACATCATCATTAAAATGGCAAATATCAAAGACAAACAGAGAATCCTAAAGCAAGCAAGGAAGAAAGAGGTAGTAACATATAAGGGAGCCCCAATACAGGTAGCTGCTGACTTCTCAACAGAAACACTGCAAGCCAGAAGGGAATGGCAAAAAATATTCCAAGTCATGAAAAGCAAAGGCTTGTGACCAAGACTGCTCTACCCAGCAAGGCTGTCAATTAAAATGGAAGGCGAAATAAGGAGTTTCCCAGACAAAAGAAGGCTAAAAGAATACACCTCCACCAAACCAGCACTGCAAAATATGCTAAAGGGACTGCTTTTAAGATGAAAAAGTTTCTATGAATACCCAGTACTCCTTTCAGAGTTGCCAATACTTGAAATTACCAATATTATTAATACTCATTAATCTGATTGTGACAATGATGCTATTTTAATAGTTCCCTTACTATTTGTTGAAACTAAACCTGTTTTTGTTTTTGTATACTTCTTGCCTATTTCCATTATTTTTAAAAAAGCTTTAAATGGCTTTTTGGTATTCTTTATCCATTTATTGATTTAAGGTTTGTAGAACTTTTTTTCCCTAAAAAAAACAAAAGAAAAACCCTATTAACTCTGTTTTAGATGTGTTGCAAATACTTTCCTATTCTATTCCTTGTCCTTTCACTTTTTTATATGTATAATACTATATAGTTAAATGTTTAATATAGTCATATTGTCAATATTTATAGCTTCTGGGTTTGAATATTTTACCTCAGGTCATGAAAAATATTAGTTCTATTTTCTTGTAAAACTCCTTAGATTCTACATATTGATTTTTAACTCATTTGAATATTTCTTGTATAATGTGTGAAATAGGGCTCTATATTTGTTTTATTTCAAGTAATAGTGATCTAGGCACCTTATATGTTGAATAAACCTTATTCTCCCCCATTGATTTGAAATATCAACTTAATCATATATTATATTGTTAGATATATACATTTATCTCCAGAATGCTCATTGTATTTCATTGATCTACCTGATTATTTCTGTGCTGGTGTCATGTTGGTTTAATTGCTGAGACTTTATAATGGTTTTAAATTTTTTAATATTTTATAATTAACTTTGGCATTTAAAAACAATAAATAAAATCAACCTGCATTTAAGAAAGAAGGAGAAGAAGAGAGATGGAACTCCTACCTTTTGCGACCACATGGATGGAACTGGAGAATATTAAGCTAAGTGAAATAAGCCAGTTGATGAAAGACAAATACCATATGAACACACCTATAAGTGGACTCTATTCAACAAAATAAACTAATGAACAAAATAAACCACAGACACAGAAACATGGAGCAGACTGAAAGTGCCCGGAGGGGATGGGGAAAGAGGACAATGGTGGAAAGAAGGGGAAGGGACTAGACAAAGAACATGTATGAATGACCCATGGACATGGACAACAGAGTGGGAATTGACTGTGGGAGCAGGGGGTGGGTGGAGGGGGGTGAAGGGGTAAAAATTGAGACAACTGTAATAGAATAAACATGATTTATAAATTTAAAAAAATAAAAATAAAAAAATTAAAAAATTAAAGTGTGTAAGGGACATGAACAGATATTTCTCAAAAAAAGATACACAGATGGCCTATAAGGGCATGAAAAGATGCTCAATATCATTAATCATTAGGAAAATATATATCAAAAGCATGATGAAGTACTAGTTTGCCACCTGCCAGGATGGCGATAGTTTAAAAAAAAACACAACAGAAAATAAGTGTTGGCAAGGATGTGGACAAATAGGAATCCTCATGGGAATGTAAAATGGTGCCGCTTTTATGGAAAACAACTTGGTGGTCCTCCAGAAAGCTAAACAGAGTTGTCATATAGCCCAGGAATGGCACACTCACGTGTGTACCCGAGAGAATTGAAAGGAGGGACTCAAACGTGCCCTCCCTTTGGGGTCACTGCAGCCGCATTCACGTTGACCGAAAGGCAGAACCAACACACATCCAACAGATGGATGGACGAAATGTGGTGCATACATACAAGGGGATATTATTTATCCATGAAAAGGAATGCAATTCTGAGACATGCTATAATATGGATGTACCTTGAAAATGTTATCCTAAGTGAAATAAGCCAGATATACAAAAAAACAAATACTTTATGATTCCACTCATGACATACCTAGATTGGGCAAAATCACACAGCCAGTAGGTTAGAGGTTACCAGAGGGGCTGGGGTGAGGGGAGAGTGGAGGTTTATTGCTTAATGGTTATAGAGAATTTCTGTTTGAGGTGATGAAAATAGATAGTCGTGATGGTTGTACAACATTGTGCATGTAATTAATACCGCTGAACTGTACACATAAAAATGGTTAGAATGGCATTTTTGTTATGTATATAATAAAATAATATTCTTAAATAATTGACTAAGGTGATAAAGCTAAAGGGACATTACGTTATTTTGCTATCATCAACTCCCAAGAAATCCGACCATCATTTCATGTAGAATTTACAAACCACATCACATTCTTCCTGCAGGGGAATAAGGGAGAAATTTGAGTAGGGTTTTTTTTTCCCTTTGACTTTGTCAGAACATGTAAATCAGAATCTGTCCATTTGTAGGCCCTGAGGGCTGCCTTGCTGGGAGGTACCTCGTATACAGAGAGCATGTGGCAGTTTAAAGACCTCTTTAACATATTTGATCTTGCAATGGGTCTGTATTACGTATAACCAAAACTCACAGATGTCTGGTGTTTGCTCCCCAGGCCTCATAGAAGTCTGGATCATCCTGCTGGAACAGCTAACGGCAGCTGTGTCCAACTGCCCGCGGCAGCACCAGCCGCCAACCTTGGACTTACTCTTCGAGCTGTTGAGAGATGTTACAAAAACACCTGGTGAATATTTCTATGTCTGTCATTTGGGGCAGGTGTTATACATACAACGTTTTTCAGGAAGGTATTTCTGTCAGTGCCTACCTGTTTCACTGCTGAGCCCTAGACAGCATAGTAGATGCTCAAGTAAATGAGAGGCTATGAGACAGTGCTGTTTAAGGTATGTCCTGTGATTATTTACAAGTCCTCCCACCAGTCCATTTACAAATAATAATGGACTGTGTGGTGGCCAGTTAGTTGAATGTGTTGGAGCCCCATGGTAATCAGGCCAAGGCTGTGGTATCAGCGCCTTTGTGAGCCAGGTGGCTTTACTATTCCATAAATACGACCCACTTCTTTGGCTGCATCTCATGTGCTCTTGTCCCTGGTGCCATTAGTAGGGCTCACTATGTCTACTATTGATATAAACAAACCACTCAAATCTATGTGCAGTATTAATTCAGCAACATCGTGATTGTATTAAAGTCATAGGTGATTAGATTTGTAAAAAGGCATTTAGTCAGTACCTAGTACCCGAATAGTACAGGAAAAGAACATCCCTTAGAAGTGTATTCCTTGTTGAATTAAGGTTAGTATACACACTTACTCATCGAAATTTTCCGAAGATTAAGGAAATTTTATAAAATTTTAGTTTTCACTAACAGAATCAGAACCACAAATGAAACCACTAGTTTATAGTAATAAGAAGGGGAGAGGTTTTATATTCAATATAAACTAATGAAGACTTGATAATTGATACTGTTTTAAAATCTATTGCAAATTTTATATTGGAATTATTTTCAGGAAAGTCATCATAGCTACTCTCATGTTAAAAAAGTTAAATCCTTTTGTAAGTAGAATTTTTAAAATTTTTCTTTCTCACAAAGATTTTCATTGTAGCATTGTGTATAAAGGAAAATAGAGAGATGCCTTAAATGTCCATCACTAGGGAATGGATAAGTAAACTGTTGCATAAACATATAATGGAATAGTACGTAGCAATAAAAATTAAGAGGATCTAAAATTGCTGACAGGGAATGACCGCTAGTACACACTGCTAGGAGCAAAATATCAACATGTAGACCAAGGTTTACATATTCCCATTTATATAAAAGTAATAAAAAAACAAAACTATATTTGTTTCATTTAAATATATATACTTACATTTTAAGGGTATTTTCTTACGTGCATATATGTATCAGTATGTTTACATCTGGCAACTAAGTAGTTGATCAAGATACTTAAGCTTTATTATTACTATTTGAATTTTTATGAATGCATGCATGTAGTGCTGGCATAACTAAAATCATGCAGAAACAAAAAAGAAAAATACCGTCGGAGACCTATATCCCTCCATCAGTGGTAAGTTGTTTTCCCTTGCACCTTCTCAGAGAACAGAGAGTGCCCTGTTCTCTGAGAAGGTGCAAGGGAAAACAACTTACCACTGGGCTTCAAAAGAGATTAAGCAATGCCAAGAGATAAAGAGCTTCCCTGGTGTCTCAGGAGAATTGCTGAGATCACAATTCTGATGCTGACTTTTCTTTTTCAGGACCAGGGTTTGGTATCTATGCAGTTGTTCACCTTCTCCTCCCTGTGATGTCCCTCTGGCTCCGTCGTAGCCATAAAGACCATTCTTACTGGGATGTGGCCTCCGCTAACTTCAAGCATGCCATTGGTCTGTCCTGTGAGCTGGTGGTGGAGCACATCCAAAGCTTTATACACTCAGGTATCTGTAGTGCCCAAGCAGTTGGCGTGGAATATTTCTTTAGTAGGAGTGACACTGTCTAAAAGTGTTTAGTAAATCCCTGATGCACACCAGTGCCTGATTTTTGTCCTGGGAATTATTAAAATAGAATTACATGGTCAACACCAGCCTTCTAATAGTAGTGTGTCAAAAAGAAAATTGGTACGGATGTCCTGTACACAATGATCAAACAGAACATTTAAAATACATATGCAGCCAAAAATAAAAAACCTGATATGGTCTAGGATATCTGTGCATTAGGAAAGGGGAAGCAAATTCAATTATATAATAAATGTAAAAAGAATAGCCCCATGGTGTGGGGGTGAGGGAGGGGTGTATCCCATTGTCCTGCTTCATCTGGGGGCGCTAGACCGAAGAGGCAGCATTTTAGAAAAGGCTGGCATTATGAGCAAGAAGTTGATTAACAGGTTAGGGGTGAAGGGAAGTTTCATTTAATATCTGTGGTACTCTGAAAAAAAGATTTGAAAGCATGGAGTGGACAGTATGTTGAAGCCAGACACTGGGGAAATACGACCATTCTGGTGCCAGTGGAGCAACATTTGTGAAATGCAGACTCATGCTCATGATTCTTGCTATGGGAACATCTGGAAATTGGAAAGCAGAAGAAACACTGCAGCTAGCTCGAGGTTGCAAACAAAAGGGAAAGGCACAGAGAACTGTAAAGGAAGGGGGAGGTGAGAGGCTCCCTTGTTGGAGGGGTTAGCGAAGTTAATGAGAACTTGACCCCAAGTGAGAGCCAAAAAGCAGAGATAAGAAATACTGTCTCTACTAAGCTTAGTAAAATGATTTAGGGGCTGAGGGAGGAGAGCGGAGAGGCTCCAGGAAACCTAACTGAGAAAAGAATTGGGTGTTTCCACATGTAAGCAATAACTATGTCCCTAGGGGTAGGTGTTCCTGGCCAGGTCATTGCTTCGTGTGGCCTGGGACCCTTGAGGATTCTACCGAAATTTTCTTCTGTGACATCACAAGGACTTTGAGGAAAAGAAAACTAATGTATTCCTTGAATTGGGCGAACAGAATGTGATTTTTGGAAGTCTCATTTTCTTTAGCCTGGCGGTAGTGTGAAGACTGAAGCCAGGCTGAAAAGGCTTAGGCAGTGGTAGAACAAGAGAGATTTTTGTTTTGTTTTGTTTTCCAACAGCATTTAATCCAATTTAATTCCACTATCAGCAGTATAGGAAGTATGTTGTTTTTCCCCCCTTTTTATAAGAATTTCAACTTTTTACTAGCTGTTTTCAGGCTACATAATATCATGTTCTATTCTACATAGATAAATTATATACTTAACTTTGAAAAATGTACATCAACATGTAAAGTGAACCACATATATCATCTTGATATGTCAAAAGTGGGTATACGTAGTTTATCACTCGGTTATTTTTTTTAATCGCTCAGACTTTCCTCTTTTGCTATAGTTGCCATTTCCAGCCATTCGTGTATAGTAGCGAGGCGTGAAACCTTGCTTTGCTTCTCCCTGTAGACATCCGGTATGAGAGCATGATCAACACCATGCTGAAGGACCTCTTTGAGCTGCTGGTCGCCTGCGTGGCCAAGCCCACGGAAACCATCTCCAGAGTGGGCTGCTCCTGTATTAGGTGAGAAGGTTTCTTGGCTCTCTATGAAATTGGAGTTGTTACTCTAAAATCCAAAGGAGTTAAATTACCTTTTGTGATAACGATTTACTCTTCAGATCTTTTAAAAATGAAAATGACTATGTGCTCATAGTATTTCTTCATTTCGGTGTTCACTTGGCAAATGCTTACTGGGTAGACATTTCACATGGTACTCCGCAGCACAGGGAGGGAGAGACGCCAAGGTCCCCACCATCAAGGAGCAGATAGCCTATTCTAAAGGACATACCAGAGTCTTGTGAAAAATCACAACAGGAAGGAGTAACTGTGAATGCCAGGAAGGGACAGCGGGGGAGTAGGGTGGCCAGCAGGGCTTTTGGTAGTAATGACACTCGATCCGGTCTCCCAAGGTAACCTTTAGACAGGTGGGGACTTTCCAAGCAGGAGAAGAACATGAATACATGGAGATAAGAATTACAAGTGACAGAAGGGGGGTTTATTGTTTTGTTTGTTATCTGTAGAGGAGTTGTGGACAACGGGGGCTAGAATGGAAAAATTAATACAGAGTATATACAGTCTTGCATGCAAGCCTAAATTTAAACATTGACCTGATGACATTTTTACATTAAAATGGTTTAGGACGTAGTGGTATGACAATGAAATACCAGATGGCCCGAGGGCAAGAATGGTGCGAGACAGCAAGACTTGTAAGGAAATTGGAATAAAAGTGTGTACGCATCTGTGAGGGTCTACGTTGTGTGGCAGTAAAATGTATGGCTTTAAGACGTCTCGTTTCTTCTGGCAGGTACGTCCTCGTGACGGCGGGCCCTGTGTTCACAGAAGAGATGTGGAGGCTGGCCTGCTGTGCCCTGCAGGACGCGTTCTCCGCCACACTCAAGCCCGTGAAGGTAAAGTGCTCGGTGCGCGAGCAGGGCCCAGTCTTCCTCAGCTCCCCGGGGCCCGTCAGGTTGGCCACCTGGATTCCGCCTTCCTCCTCGTAGCAGGCGGTCTCACCTGAAATCTTGCAGAGGGTGAGAAAACAGCAGTTGGGTCAGTGTTTCTGTCCCAGACACAGTGACATTGTCAGACTCAAGGTAGAGCCTGGAGCCACAACCCCAGGCGCACCCGGTGGACAACTGCTGTTTCTCCGCAGGATCTGCTGGGCTGCTTCCACAGCGGCACTGAGAGCTTCAGCGGGGAAGGCTGCCAGGTGAGGGTGGCGGCCCCCTCCTCCTCCCCCAGTGCCGAGGCCGAGTACTGGCGCATCCGAGCCATGGCTCAGCAGGTAAGGGCTTTTGATCCCAGGGGCTCTAGAAGCTTGGCGTGCTGCTGGGAGCCCCTGCTGAAGGTCCTCTATCAGCAAGCTGCCTTTCATTCCCCGAGGGGCCTGTACCCCCTGCCTCCGACCTCTTGCCAGAAATGACTTGACCCCAATCGACAGCATTATGGTTCTCCCCACCATCGCTTGTTTGCTGCATCCTCCAGAGCTCAGATCAAATCAAGTCCTTTTTCCACTTGCCCATGCACTTCATACCTAGCTTGGTTTTTGGGCTACGTATGAGTATTTGCTTACATGTTATTGTTACTGCTAGATTATGAATGCCTAAGGATGACAAACTTATTTGATATTTTTCTTTTCTCCCAGAGTACAGAACTTAACATTGACAAGTTTCTTAAAAAATTTGAGTTGAATATAGCTGATCAGTAAAATTAAAATATACTTACCCATGTAGGTTTCACCCTGTGCTTTTTCTTCTGGCACATGTCAAACATTATAATATATCTGGCTAGGAATGATAATAATAGAGAAGCCAAAGGGGCGGTCCTCCAAGGGGGTGGCTTCTCTAAAAAGAAACTATTACACCTGGCTAGATAAAGAATGTTCCCATGAGCATGCAGCAGTCTTTCAACCACATCCCACCACACAGTGAGAGTGAGAAAATGTGAGTGGAATACTGTTCTGCAATAGATCATTAATGGAGAACAGCAGAGACCGTTTAGCGAATCTTCCACATCTTAATATTTCTCTTTCTTCCGCAGTCGCAAACCTTCCTCCTATTTTTGCTCTTCACATAACCCACTATTCAATAATCTGATAATTCTTACAAAATTTGGAAAGACAAAGTTCCTTGCAAATCCTCCTGTTTTCAAAGGGAAGTAGTGAATGTAGGCTAAGCCACGTGCAACAGAGTCATTTGGATCAGAATCCAGGAAGTGGTCACTCTTTTCTTAGTCCCTCCTCCTCTCGGGACTCGTGATGCCCCCCATTTGCTCTCGAGACAGTGGGAGAAGTCCTGATCAACTACTTTTTTTTTGTATGTCACAATCAGAATTTTTGTACAAACCTAGCCCCTCTTTATTTACTTCTAATTAATATTAAATATCAGGGCCTGCTCTTTGGAGTGCAATGCTGTATCACGTGCTCGAAGTAGTGGTATTAGCAGTGTCAGCAGCTGACATTTACTGAATATTTGCTCTTCTGTTCTAATGCTTTGCCTACGCAATACATAAATCATTCGTTTAAGTCTCTTGACAAATATACAAAGAAGGGAACTGTTATAGGAATCTCATCCTATAGATGAGAAAATGAGTAGAGACAGTAAGCAACTTGCCCCAGGCACCCAGCAAACCTTAGGGTCAGGTCGGGGACGGCAGGAGCTCTGAGCTGTACCTCTGTGTGCCCATGCAGGTGTTTATGTTGGACACCCAGTGCTCACCAAAGACCCCGAACAACTTCGATCATGCTCAGTCCTGTCAGCTCATCATTGAACTGCCTCCTGATGAAAAGCCAAACGGACACACCAAGAAGAGGTAAGAGCGAAGCTTCCATCTGCAGGGCGCTTACAAACAGGAGAGTCCGCTTATTCCCAGTTTTTGCTCATCGTAGTCCAAGCTTTCTCTAAGAAAATCAGAATTTTTGCAGAATCATTTAGTAATAGTTTTCATAAGAAATTGTTAGTCTTTTAACCATATTTCCCACATTTCAGATGTATTCGTTTGTAGGGCTGCCACAAAATGTACCAGAGACTGGGTGGCTTAAACAACAGAAATGTCTTTTCTCACAGCTCTAGAGGCCGGAAGTCAGAGAGCGAAGTGTTGCCGGGTTGGTTCTTCCAGGTTTCCAGGTGGGGGGTTCCCGCCTGTGTTTTCTCATGGCCTTTCCTCTGTACTTGTCTGTGTCCTCAACTTCTCTTTTTTATAGGGATACCAGTCATATTGGATTAGGGTCACCCTAATGACCTCTTCTTGATCTAATTATTTCTTTAGAGACCTTTCTCCGAGGATAGTAACATTCTGAGGTACTGTGGGTTAGGGCTACCGCTTAGTGTGTCCATAGCATTATACATGTGGTAAGCTTTTTTTTTTTTAATAATTGTACTTTGAGATGTGATTCGTATTGTATCAGTGAGATATACATAAAGTTCTTATGAACAAAACAGCTGTCAGGAGACAAAAAAGATCTGTGCTCTGCCACAAGAAACCTGTCTTTTGTCAATACAGGCAGACCTCAGGAATACTGTAGGTTCGGCTCCAGATCACCATGTCAGTAAAGCAAGTAGCACAACAAGGCAAGGCATAATTTTTTTTTTTTTTTTTTTTTTTTTTTTTTGCTGGTGGAGGGTCTTGCCTTCAATTGTTAAAAATCACATCTGTGAAGTTCAGTAAAACAAGATGTGTCTATACTGTCATCCTGCCTAAAAACTCCTGTTCTTGAAGATGAAGGCAGTGACTGAAGTTTTTCTTGTTTAAACATCCAACAAATGTGCTGTAATGATGATAAGTATTTGAGCATAATATGTGAAGTACAGTGACTAGATATTTCCATTCCCGTTTATCTGTGAGGAAACGTTCAGAGAGGCTGATCCACTTCCCCAGGGACACACGACTGGGAAGGGGTGGAGCCAGAATCCAAACTATTTCCATTTTAGGGAGAATATGTGATTTTTCCAAAAGTTATAATGGTTTAATGAATATAGCCATTTCAGTGAAATTTCCAGGTACAATTTTTTTAGTCAAGTGTGTGGTACATAAAAAAGAATATATGGAAGGTCAAAAGTTATAAAGAATAAATAAAAACTAAAATAACCATGAACTTGTTGCCTACCTTCAGAAATAGAACTTTTCCAATATCCCACGTGCTCCCCCTAATTCTATGCCTTGTGTCCCTCTACTGCCAGTCACTCATTTTTGTAGGTGTTGATCCGTTTTTATCTATTTTGAGCACCAAATATTGTATACTCCTTCTCATATCTTTGAAGCATTGATCTGTTTCAGACTTTCAATTTTTTCTACCTGTTTTCTTTTTCTTTTTTTTTTTTATTTCTAGCTCCCTTCCAGCCCATTATTCTTGCTGAAAATAGTTTTTGAAGTAAAAATGGGGGACAGGAGTAATAGACGGAATTCACATTATTAAATAAAACAAGAAAATATGCTAAGATTTCTATGCTATTTGCTTAATAGTTTTAAAACATTAAGATTTAAAATTTATCAACATGGTTCATCAGTTTATTTGGTACTTTTAATGGATACTCAGCCCCGCAATGAAATAAAGTAAAGCACATAGACACAAACACTAAATTTTTTAGTAGAAGCTGTTGTGCCTAAAGCATTCCCTAACATAAAGTATTTTGCATTCTTGGATTTGATGCAGCGAAGTCCTCATAGGATGCAGTAAAAGATGAGTTAGACCTAAGAAAAGTTTGTATATGCTGGTCAGCTACATCCTCAAAGGTCCACATTGAAATCACCCATGGACCAAAAAAAAAAAAAAAATGAAATTAAATCCAGATTGCAACTCTTAAAAACAAAACCTAGATTTCTCTTTAAGTCAGTTTGACATTGATAACCCAAGCTTTACACAATTCACATAATCTTAATGGAGCTTTAGGTTGTACCATCAACCCTTGAACAACACGGGTTAAGAGTGCCAACCTCCCACATAGTCAAAAATCCACATTTGACTCCCCTAAAACTAAACTACTTATAGCTTGCTGTTGACCAGAAGCTTTACTGATGATATAAACAGTTGATTAACACATATTTTGTATATGTATTCTTACAACAAAGTAAGCTAAAGGGAATATTATTAAGAAAATCATCATAGAGAAAACATATTTACAATGTTTATTGAAAAGTCAGCCACTTCTTACACAGCTCAATTATCCAGTCTGGAGACTCACTTCCCTTTGCACTTTGCATCAGAAGCAGAAAGGGAAGGTGTAAGCTTCCACACTTCACAGCCCCCTTCTTAAAGGGTGTCCTGAGAACAAGGTTGAAGCCATTCAGGTGCCGCAAATTGAAAAATTATCTGTGGATTTTTGTTCGCTTCAGATCTTAAGAGTTGCATATCTATAAACGGTTATTTCACTTTTTGTCTGTCTTTCTGAAATTTTGACCTTTTCACCACTGCTTCTCTGTCCACTGCTTTCTTATTACTGCATCATTTATCTTGAACCTAAAATAAGAGGATTTTCTGTCCTTTTTCACAGGCACAGTTAGCCATTTTACATCCTAAACCATCAAAGGGAATTTCTTGCTTGATAAAGGTGGTTCCACTTTTCACGGCCTTGCGTCAGCCCTCTTTTTAAATGTTTGCCGGCCCAGGGCTTTCCATCCCTCAGGGACGGTAACGGGACACATCCTGGGGCTGTGGTGGTCACTCCTGCAGAGGACAGGCCGAACTCACCCCTCTGGTCGCGGCTCCTGCGTCAGGAGTGCGGGCTGCCCGGGGAGAGGGGATGGCAATGGTGTGACAGAGCCAGTCCTCAAGGACAGCATCTCCTCCAGGCGGTGGCCTGTTCAGGCGCCTGCACAGAGAACCAATATTTTGTTACTTGGTGTTTGGGGGTTTTTTGAGACTTAGCGCCACTGTCCCCAGACTTTTTCCCAGCCCATGAGAACTTTGAAGTGTGTGGGGAAGACAGACAAGGGAGCAGAAGGATTTGCCTTTGTAGTTAGGCTCCTCGAGTTGTGCACAGGAAGCCCTAGACCGACCTGGTGCCTTTGAGAGCCCTCTGCTTCAGAATAATGCACATTCAGGGTTCCTAATACCTTAGGTAACTCTCCAAAAATGAGTTATGTAGGAGCTGAGGAGGGAGGAGGAGGAGAGTTCATTATTTAGTGGGAATAGAGGTTCTGTTTGGGATGATGAAAAAAGTATTAGAAATAGAGAGTGGCAACAGTTGCCCAGCATGGCTTTTGTACTTTTTAAATTGGTTAAAATAGTAACTTTCTTATGTATATCTTACACACAAAATAATAAAGTTCCTTAAGTGGTGTGTAAGAAAGGCTTATGGTTTGTGAATGACAGTTCTTTGCTACCTCCTCATTCCCTTTTTGTTGAGCATACTCTTTCCCCCCAGAGAACTACTGCCTTTCAATGTAGGGAAGGATTTTTGTTCTTTCCTGCTGGCTGAAAAGAACTTTTTCAGGGACACTGGTGTCATGATAGCGTGACACTACCCCTTCGTGTCTCTTTTCCAATCTACAACTGGTGGGACATCTATAACCCAACAAAGGCACCTCTGCTCAACATACGAGGGTGCCTGAGGGAGCCACACATCAGGACCTCTGAATACGGGCGATTGGAACGATGAGAGGAGGCATAACGGGGGACAGACAGGGATGGCCCCGCAGCCCTGGCCACTGCCGCTGAGCCCCGCTGCCCCAGCAAAAGCAGTGGAGGAGGTAGGGTGCGGCCCCCACAGCTCAGCTCAGGGCAAGAGGGTCAGCATCTGAGAATCCAGCTCCTTTCCCACTGTGGTGCTCGCAGCTCCAGGGAGACCAGGGGCAGCACTGAAGACATATCTACCACCTCCAGGCCATGGCCCAGCAGCACCAGTAGCTGTAGAGAAACAGGTAGTTGTACAACGGGCTTGGGAGCCCGCTGCTCCCCCGACCTGCCTCGTCCCCTCGCCGCAGTGATGCCCAGGGACCCCAGCGACCTGAACACAGTGAGGGTCTCCCTCACCCTGGTGACATGGGTGATGGCTCCCACAACGGCATTTTAACCTGCTCAACTGTTAAAATCGAAAAGTACCTAAATAAGAAAGACGTTCACTACTTCAAATACAGAGGAACAACCAAGGTAGCATGAGTAGCCCCAAGAGAAAAGACCAAGTTTCCAGAAACCAAAGTCATAGAAGAAGGTGACCTCAAGGATAGAGAATTTAAAATGGCAGTCAGTTCAGTGAGCTCAGGAATAAAATTAATGAAGAGGAGTATCTTACCAAAGAAACTAACACTCTGGAAAAGAACCAAACAAATTCTGGAGCTGAAGAACCCAATAAATGAGACGAAGAACGTGCCCATGTGGAAGAGAATTAGCAAGCTCAGAGGCAAAAATCTAGGCATGATTCAGGTAGAAAAGGAAAGAAGAGTAAGGTTTTTTGAAAATGAAAGAACTGTATGAGAACTACCTGTGCTAGAAAGGACAACGTAAGGGTAATGGGCGTCCTAGAATTAGAGGAGAGGACAGAAGCCGACTTGGAGAACATACAAGGGCAAGAAACTAGCAAAAAAAACACACCTAATTATCTAAAGCAACAAGACCTTCTCTAAGACATATCTTACATTAATACTGTCAGAAGTCAGTGATAAAGAGAATTCCCAAGGCGGCCAGCTGGAAAACCACAGTCATCTATAAAGGAAACCCCGTCAGGCTGTCATTAGATATGTCAGCAGAAACTCTACAGGCGAGGAGAGAAGGAGTGATATATTCACAATATTGAAAGGCAGAAACCACCAGCCAAGAATGCTCTATCCAGCAAAGTTATCCTTCAAATATGACAAGAAATAAAGGCTTTCCCAGACCAACAAAAGCTGAGGGGATTGGGCACCACAGGACCTACTGTACCAGAAATGCTGGGGGAGCCCTTCTACCTGAAACAAAAAGACAAAAGTACAGAAAACTTTGAGTGAAGTGGCAGAGAGAAGCAGAAAATTGCCCCTCTACTTCAGAATAGGGTGTTAAGCACTTAATTATAACACAAAAGTTAAAGAGGAAAGAGCATAAAAAATAATCATAGTTCCTACAGTTTGGTGATGAACACCCAACATAAAAAGGCATAGTGTGACAACAAAAACATAGAAGGGGAAGAGTAGGAGGAGGGAAGCTGTATAGGCAAACAAAGATAACATTCTATCGGAAGAAAAAGTACTATTTTACCTATATTTTATACAAACCTCATGGTGATCACAGAACAAAATATGGAACTGTGATATGAAACATTAAGAAGAAACAGAAAATCCATATAGAAACTTACCATTAAACTAAAATAGAAACAAGAGAAAAACAATGGAGATACAGAGCAATCAAAAAAAAACAAAAGATAAAATGCCAGTAGTAAGTCCTAACATAATCACCCTAAATGTAAATGGACTGAATTCACCAATCAGAAGGCACAGAGTAGGGTTATAAAACAAGACCCAACTATTAGGTTGGCCAAAAGTCCATTTCATTTTTTCCATCAAATAAAAGACACATTTTTCATTTTTACCAATAACTTTACCAACTTGGATATCCGAGTACGGCGGCTGTCTTCCACTATTGGCTTCTAGTGGGTGGAGGCCAGGGGTGCTGCCAAACATCTTCGGATGCATGAGACAGCCCTGCAGCAAAAACTTATTTGGCCAAAATGTCAGTAGTACCACGAAACTTCACAAACCACTTTTGACACAGTCAGTCTCAGCTCCTTCTCCATATGCTGCACAAATCTTTATTTTTTTTTTATTTCAGCTGTATTTTTACTTTTCTTGAAATAATAAAGCATAATATGCCAAAAATGTTGCATATCTTCTTCCATCTTCAATATTAAAATGGCTGCATAAAAATTCACCAATTTGGTAAGTTTTTTTTAATGCACACTAATTTAACAGCTGCCACAATACAATCTAACAAAATTATTTCAAGTGACGTTAAAGACAACTAAACACTACTATAGCCATCATACAGAAAAAATGTAATGGACTTTTTGGCCAACCCAATAGTAGGATACTTTAACACACCAGTGGATAGATCATCCAGATAGCAAATTAAAAAAATTAAAATTATGTCAAGCATCATTTCAGACCAGGGTACGAAACTTGAAATCAACTACAATAAGAAAGCTGGAAAAATCACAAATATTTGGATATTAAACAAGATGCTACTGAAAACTATTGGATCACTGAGAAATAAAAGAAGAAAGCAAAAGATACATAGAGACAAATGAAAATGCAACATATCAAAATCTTTGGGATGCAGCAAAAGTGGTACTACGAAGGAGGTTTATAGCAATACAGATCTACCTTAAGAAACGAGAAAATTCTCAAAACAGTCTAGCACTTCACCTTAAATAACTAGAAAAAGAAGAATAAAGCAAGCCCAAAATGTGTAGAAGGAAAGAAAAAATATCAGCAGAAATAAATGAGAGACTAAAGAACAATAGAAAAGATTAATGAAATGCAGAGCTGGGCTTTTGGAAAGATAAAATTGACAAACCTTCAGCTAGACTCACAAGGGAAGTGAGAAGACTCGAATAAAATCAGCAATGAGAATAGTTACAGCGATATCATAAAAATACAAAGAATCATAAAAGAATAATATGAGGCTATATGCCACCGAATTGGACAACCTAGAAGAAATGGATAAATTCTTAGAATCATACAGACTTCCTAAAGTGAATCATGAAAAAATAAAAATCTGAATAAACCAGTCACTAGTAAGGAAACTGAAAGAGTAATCAAAATCTCCCAAAAAACAAAAGTCTAGGACCAGATAGCTTCACTGGTGAACTCTACCAAATATTCAAAAAAGATTTAACATATTCTTCTCAAACTCTTCCAAAAAATTGAAGAGGAGGGAATGCTTCCTAACTCATTTTATGAGGCCAACATTACCCTGATACCAAAACCAGGTAATGACGCATCAAAAAAAAAATTATATGCCAATATCTCTGATGAACATAGACGCAAAAATTCTTAACAAACTACTAGCAAATCAAATACAACAATACATTAAAAGGATCGTACAGCACCATCAAGCAGGATTCGTTTCAGGAATGCACAAGGATGGTTGAACATCCACAGATCATGTGACACACCATGTTAACAGAATGAAGGATAAAAATCATCTGTTCAGTAGATTCAGAAAAAGCATTTCATATGCTACAACATCCTTTTATAAAAACTCTCAATAAAATGGGTGTAGAAAGACAATACCTTAACACAGTAACAAATCCACAGGTACCATCGTACTCAATGGTGCAAAACTAGAAGCTTTTCCTGTGAGATAAGGAAGAAGACACGGATGCCCCCCCTCACCACTCTACTCAGCGTAGTACTGGGAAGTCTAGCCACAGAGCTCAGCAAGTAAGAGAAATAAAAGCCATCTAAATTAGAAAGAAAAAATAAAATTGTCACTATTTGCAGACATGATTTTATATGCAGAAAACTTGAAGGACTCCATCAAAAAAAAACTTTTAAAAATAATAAACATGCAATAAAGTTGCAGGTCACAGAATCAATATACAGAAATCTGTTGTGCCTCTACATACTGATATAGAACTATAAGAAAGAGAAATGAAATAAACAATCCCGCTTACAGTAGCAACAAAAAGAATACAATACATAGGAATAAACTTAGCAAAGGCAGTGAAAAGTCCTGTACACTGAAAACTGCAAGATATTGTTGAAAAAAATTGAAGAAGACACAAAAAAATAGATACTCCATGTTCTTGGATTGGAGGAGTAAACATGTTCATATTATTGAAAGCGATCTACAGATTCAGTGCAATCTCTGTTAGAATCCCAATGGCATTTTTCATAGAAATAGAACAAAAATGTTTGGCTCTCTTTCATGATGCACGCTGGAAGCACTGAACCTTTTACATATATGCATCTAAAGCCTTAACAGTTAATGCTGGTAAATAATTTTGGCCCTTAGAAAGCTATACTTGAGTAAGAATGCTAAAAACTTCGGGTTTAAGAAAAAAATCCTCTTAAAATTAATAAAGCTCAACAGAAATTGTTACTTTTTGATTTGATATGTTAATTTATTACTCATAACAATAGGAAATAAAATGTGTCCTATCCCAAAATTGTGATTATATAAAACAGTTGTTACAAAACTCTCCTGTTACTTGCCTTAGACTTATAGATAATTTCTAATCAGTATCATAACAATTATATAGCTCCTAGACTTTTAAAAAGTGTCAGGAATTCCATTTTTTATTATTTAAATTGTTATTGTGTAATGCCTCTTTTTAAGGAAGGCATTAAAATACAAGTAATTTAGTTTGTAATTTTGCATATGTCATTGTGAATTGAATATAGCACTTAAAATATCTCATACAAGGCAGAAGGCTACTAATCAATCCCTTTCTTTTCATTTGAAGTGTTTCTTTCAGGGAAATTGTGGTGAGCTTGCTGTCTCATCAAGTGTTACTCCAGAACTTATATGATATCTTGTTAGAAGAGTTTGTCAAAGGCCCCTCTCCCGGAGAGGAGAAGGCGATCCAAGTGCCAGAAACCAAGCTGGCCGGCTTCCTCAGATACATCTCCATGCAGAACCTGGCCGTCATATTTGACCTGCTGCTGGACTCCTACAGGACAGCCAGAGAGTTTGACACCAGCCCTGGGCTAAAGTGCCTGCTGAAGAAAGTGTCTGGCATCGGCGGTGCTGCCAACCTCTACCGCCAGTCTGCCATGAGTTTTAACATCTACTTCCACGCGCTGGTCTGTGCTGTTCTCACCAATCAAGAAACCATCACGGCCGAGCAGGTGAAGAAAATCCTTTTTGAGGACGATGAGAGAAGCACAGATTCGTCGCAGCAGTGCTCATCAGAAGATGAAGACATTTTTGAGGAGACTGCCCAGGTGAGCCCCCCGAGAGGCAAGGAGAAGAGGCAGTGGAGGGCTCGGATGCCATCCTTAAGTGTCCAGCCCATCAGCAATGCAGACTGGGTGTGGCTGGTCAAGAGGCTTCACAAGCTGTGCATGGAGCTGTGCAACAACTACATCCAGATGCACTTGGACCTGGAAAACAGTATGGAGGAAGCGCCCATCTTCAAGAGCGACCCATTCTTTATCCTTCCCTCCTTCCAGTCCGAGTCATCCACCCCGTCCACCGGGGGGTTCTCGGGGAAAGATACGCCTTCCGAGGATGACCGAAGCCAGACACGGGACCACGTAGGCGAGCCCCTGAGCCTGCGGGCGGGCAGCGGGGAAACACTGATGCTGCCCCCAAGCCCCAAGGTGGAGAAGAAGGACCCCAGCAGGAAGAAGGAGTGGTGGGAGAACGCAGGTAACAAAATCTACACCATGGCCGCCGACAAAACCATCTCAAAGCTGATGACAGAATACAAGAAGAGGAAACAGCAGCATAACTTGCCCACGTTCTCCAAAGAGGTCAAAGTGGAGAAGAAGGGAGAGCCTCTGGGTACGAGGGGCCAAGGATCCCCACTGCTTCAGCGTCCTCAGCACTTGATAGACCAAGGGCAGATGCGGCACTCCTTCAGTGCAGGCCCCGAGCTGCTGCGGCAGGAGAAGAGGCCCCGCTCGGGCTCCACCGGCAGCTCCCTGAGTGTCTCTGTGAGAGACGCCGAAGCACAGATCCAGGTGGGTTCCCGCGGGCCGCCCCAAGCCAGCGGATTGCCTGCGACGAAGACGTGGGGGGCTGTCTGTATCGGTCTGGCTGTGGGAAACTGACATTTTATTGGTAGACAATGTCAGGAGTTGTTCTTGTGGGTCATAATAGATACTGAGAAATAAGAGGACACTAAACCTTATATAATAGATGTACTTTAACTGGCATGGAGTCCTGAGTTTATCACTTGAAGATGCACTGAAGAAATTCTTTAGTTGTGAAGAATTGTATAAAGGAAAAGGCAAAGTACATAGCGTTAGGTGGTTATGCCAATGAATTGTGTTCATCTCAAGTTTTGCTAACCCATCCAGGGCACATAAAAATTCTCATTCTTCAGAGGGCTGTGGGTATTGCTGTTCCTTCATATATTTAATATTCGTAATTCCATCACATACCAAAAATGAGCTTGAGAAGAAAACAGTGTCGGTACTGTTTTGTTCAGTTTAAGAATAGATAAGAAAAACAAACAGAGGGATTCGGAGTCAGAGCAGGCCCTTTAAAACTAATTTCACCTTATGTTTACCTGAAATTGTGGACTCCTGCCATAGGGGTAATAAGTTAGACAATCTGGAGCCCTAGGATTCCATGAACCTGTACAGAAAGGTGTCCTTTGAATGAACATAAATTTAGAATTAGTAGGAATTTCTTGCAAGATGCGTTATTTTCATCTAAAGTATCTTGAGCATAGAACTCAGCTTTATAATTCGGAATCCATAAATCATGGACTAGATTTGGAAAAGTCCGGTCAAACTGTCATGTTGATTATTCTTTAACAAATGAACTTCTTGACAAGTAGTGTATCTTAGTAATTGTTTTTCAGGTATTGGAGATTTGCTCATGATTTTAACAGTTTTCCTAAATTAGCCCTAGCTGGTGTGGCTCAGTGGATTGAGGGCTAGCCTGTGAACCAAATGGTCACTGGTTCAATTCCCAGTCAGGGCACATGCCTGGGTTGCGGGCCAGGTCCCCAGCAGAGGGTGCATGAGATGCAACCACACATTGATGTTTCTCGCCCTCTCTTCCTCTCTCTAAAAATAAATAAAATCTTCTTTAAAATTCTTTTAAAAAAGTTATCCTAAATTAAAGTACGCTATTTCAAATTTTCTAGACATTACTGTATTGGCTGCTGATTAAAAGTGTTATACACCCTATGGAAATCTCATTATGAAAAAGCAAGAGAGTTTTTAAAACTGAGGAGTAAATAAGATTTTTGTAGTTTATGAAAGCTGAAAATAAGGTATGCATAATGTTAGACAAGTCTCTGTAATATGAAGTTAAAATGACAACTTATTAGTAACGACTAATTTACTGCAGCCTAAAGGCCTGAGTACTCATCTGCAAATTGACACAGGACTTAGCCACACCTGAGAGGTCAGATGAAACCACTGGAGAAACCTCACAGTTCTCTTAACTCCTTTCTCTTAGGCGTGGACCAACATGGTGCTAACCGTCCTCAATCAGATTCAGATCCTCCCAGACCCGACCTTCACGGCCCTCCAGCCCGCAGTGTTCCCGTGCATCAGCCAGCTGACCTGCCACGTGACTGACATCCGAGTGCGCCAGGCTGTGAGAGAGTGGCTCGGCCGAGTGGGCCGTGTCTATGACATCATCGTGTAGAAGGCTCACACCGAAGAAATTCAGTGGTGAGGGTTAGAGTGTGCCTAGCATTTTCCCCACCACCAGCCCCACTAAAACCGGTGTCTCAGAGAACAATCAGCTGCTCCCTCTCTAATTAGCACTGGGGGCCATTCTGGGTACTCAGGTTGTATCTAGATGACACAAAGGATACTCTGATTTTGCACATTATGTCAGAAGAGTCTCCCTCCGTCCCTTGACATATTTCTAAATCTTGATGTTTATTTCCCAGTGCTTCTGCCTGCCATATTATTGCCAAATGGGTCACTTTCAAGGACCAGTCCTCTAAAAACTTTGCTTTGATCCATTGGATCCATGTTTTTTTTTTAATGCAATTGCTAAGGAAATATCTGCTGGTAAGTCAAGCTGATGGATAAACAGTCAGACATCTAGTACCAAACATTATTCATTAGAGAAAGATTTATACCACAATTGTGCATTTGGTAGGGAAGAAAACTGTTAGGAAGACATGTTCTTGGATGTCAAAATCAAGAAAAGGGTGACTTTCTCTGTAAAATATTCCAGAACATTTAAAAATTGTCCTAAATTGTCAAGATTTTTCTGGTTGGTACTCACCAACTTCCTCATTGAAGGTACTGTTGTGCCTTTATTTCCCTATTTCTAATGGAAGAAAATTCTTTCCTGGCAGAATGTTAAGTCTATGGTATGGCAGCCTTTGACACACAGCACTCACTGGTATTTGCTGATACAGATGTTGCCAAGAGACAGAAGACGGACCAGCTACCCTGGCAGTCCCAATAGGCTTTGCTTTTGCTCTCAAGGCAAAAAAAAAGGAAAGGGAAAGAAAAAATGGTGCCTTAGTCCCTTGTCTTACAGACATTTCTATGCCCCACAGTTACCCGAACATAAGGTTTAACATTTGATTTCTAAGAAAATAAAACATTGAAATGCAACTCATTTGACATCCACACCCTTGGAGGAAAGGAAGTGAGTTCTCCATTCAGTGAGCAGACTTCTCAGGGAAGGGGCAGGAAGTGCGGGGTAGGGAGACAGCTGGATGGGGTGGGAAAGGGATTATAATGAGATCATCTTAATCTTTAACCTTCAAACATTACACAACAACCATATGAAATTATGGTGTCCGTTACACAAGCTCTCGTCTCAGAGGAAATCTAAAGGAGAAGGAAACACAGAATGAAGTCCAGGAGATAAAGTTTTCAGTTTAAAACCTCTCTCCTCTCTGGAAAGTCTATTTACCCCTTGTCTGAGGTCCTTTTATTCAGGCTAGTATTTTAAGTGGATATTTCTTTTCTTAAATTTTGCTAGAAAAATGAATCTAGAACCTTTATCTTACTATGTATAGTATATTTATACTATAGTATAGTATATTTCTTAAGTACTAATAATAATTAAAACTCCTCAAATACATTCATATATATTCTACAGAGTTGCTGTGACATAAATTACAATTTCCCAGCCCCTAAAAATACATTCATAATTAAATATGACATCTTTTAAAAATAGACCATCAAACCTTTGATATTGAAGGAAGGATTTTAAATTGACAGCTTAACTTAGTGCTGGTATTTGTAAACTTTGTCTTCCTTGATAAACATGTAAACTTATCTACAAGGTTAACACGAAGACAGAGCTGATTTACTCAGGCACTCTAAAAGAAGGACCTTTATCTTTCAGGCTGCCACCTAAATAAAGGTTACCACGAAATCCAGAAGACATTTTTTCAGTTCCATAAAACACTCTTTGCTTTCGGTGTTTACTTATTAGATAATAATTTGAGTTTAGAAACAGGTGCACTATTTGATAGAAACAAGCAATGAATTGTTGGGATAGCAATGAGCTATGTTTTTGCTTTTGAATTTTTATATCTGGTAAGTCAGATGGATACTTTCTTTTTTTAACAAGAGCAGCACACGATTGGTGTTCGGTTTTGTTTGTTTGTTTTTATGGCTTATCTTCAGTTCTCCTTTGTGAGCCTGTGAGCACTACAGAATTTACTGGGATGGCGGGGGAACTTCCGTACAGTATTAAATCAAAGCGATTACAAAATGTTTATATGTAGCAACTTTTTATAAAGTATAAATATTCGAAGGAAGCCAGTCTCAATTTACAAATGTCACGTCCCAGAGTACGTTAGCTAATTATGTAGAAATCAGAATTCATTTTCCCACAGATTCTCTATTCTGGGATCCCAGGCTAGTTGATAGAAACAGGTCTACCCCTACTCTTTCCAGACACCGCTCTGGCACTAACCTGATTGTGGGTGCCAAGAGTGAAAAGACGAGAGAATACACACAGCTCTTGACCTATAGTTTGGTAAGCGGATTCTGGAGCCTTCTCATCAGCTTCCTCACGAACCGCCCTGAGCCACACTGGTCTTCAGCCACCTGCCTTCCCAGCATACCCTGTGCTCTGCATCTAGTCAGAGTTCAACCAGAAAATTCACTGTCGTAGCAATACTTCCCAGAGGTATTTGCAGTCTTCAAAAAGGACATTGTTTGATACAAATAGTCTCTAACGAACAGGACTTCAGCATCCAGTGAAGTCCGTTGAACCCTCCCAGGGTGGATAAGAAAGGATAGAATTAGGAACCCTTGCTAGAGAGCCGTAGGTGGCCCAGTGAGCCCCTCGCATTCTTCCGGTGTCTCCGTTTCTGCCTTTCCCCAAGGTCCCTGAAAGACCAGGGTCAGAGCAGCCTTTGTAGTTAGTACTGCCAAAAGCGTGTTACCCTAAGGTTGAGATGTACTCTTTTTTTCTAATATTTTGGTAAAGTGCACATCATGAACACCTGGAAAACTCAACGTGTAAAAGAAAAGCCAAGTATATCACACTCTTCTTCAGGTTTTTCCTCACCATGAGGGCACGGATTTGAGGGAGGGCAAATAGATTGCTCTAGGGCGCATCTCCTGAGCAGCTTTTAAAGAAGCTCGGGCTGCCTCTTTATACCATCTTGTTCTCTCTCCCCTTAAGATTATTCCCTAGCCTTCTCCATCAATACAAAACTAGGCACCTAGTTTTAGGCTATTTAATGGCTGGCCAAGGCTGATACTAACATACATAATGGCTCACGTTAAAGTATTCTTAATCAGATGTGACAAAAATGGTAACATAACTCAAAAGTACCTTTAAATAGAAACTTGTTTATAACAATATCTTGAGGCTTTTTGTTGTTGTTTTAAGGAGAAGGCATGTACAGAATCAGTTGCAGGAGTGATGTAACTTTAACTGGAGTTAAAGAATAGATATCTTTGACTTCCCCCAAATACATTGCAATACTGCTTAAGAAAGGAAAATCATTCATGTCAGTCCCTTCAAACTGAACAGGCCTTTCTCTGGAGCTGAAAACAATAGCAAAAAACGTCACAAATAGCGGGGAAGAGGTAACATTTGTTGAGTGCCATTGTGAATGGAGTTCTTCACCTACATTACCATATTTTATTTTCACAGTAACCTTGTGAAACAGTTACTGTTTTCCTCATTTTTTTAGGTCATGACAGAGACCCAGAGAGGTTAAGAAATTTGCCCAAGATAACCAGTAAATGGCAAAGTTGGTTGCAAAAGAGGTATTCCTGAATTCAAAGGCCATGTTATCTCTACTATACCAGGCTGTAAATGCAGAGTAAACACTGGAGTGTCTCAAGGAACTACACAGTTAAAATGAGTTCAAAATATTTCATTGATATCCCAGATCCATAATGTTATGGGGATTTTTCTAATAGGGTTAAAAAAAGGATTGTGTTTATAGAGAGATCATGTATAACAATATTTTGAGTGTTCAAACAGAAACAAAATCTAAACTTTAATCTTAAAGCAAGCCTTCAGCAGTCATTTCGAAAACCTGCCCATTAGGTGGAAATGACGGGATACTATTGTTCATGGCCATCTGTCACGCAGGAAAAGCGTGGCAGTCTGTGTCGGGAATGACATGCGCAAATTGTGAACCTTTTTCAATTACCATTTAATCACTCAGAGTGAAGTGCCCTGTAGCCAACAGTGCCTCTCTACTTGCTTGCCTGGGAAGTATATGGAACTAGATGTGTAGGTCAGCACCTAAGTCGGGGAATGTGCAAACTAGATGATAACCATTTTCAAACGCACGCTCTGAAGAGGAGGTCTTAGTTAGATGAAATTGTTTCAAGAACTGGCTACCGAGGGCATCAGGTCAATATCCGCAGTAACCATGTGCCATAACACCTAATATTCCTGCGTACTTTGCAGACAAGGAAACAGGCAGAAGGGAAATCCAGAACGTAACATATGTTTGGGTACCACTTAGGTGATCCTAGTGCAATCAGTGTGGCCTTTAAAAAGCAAGAGACTACTTTTAAGCACTTTGTATTAGAAATATGAGCTTATTTCGGGCAAGATATATGAAATTGGTAAAGAGCTCATAACTATGCTTCATCAAAACACACACGCACACACACAACTGTATGCCCCTCATTGATTAGTGGACCAATCTAGAAAATTTTGTTTGTGAGTTTCTCTTCCTGTGTGTGTATTGTAACATTTGTATATGATGTGGAAGTAACTAAAAATTAAAATTTTGGACTAAAACACCATATAGATTTCCAAACCACAATTACTTCAGAAAAGACAGACCAAAAAAAATCATCATCATGGCCTGGGATAGCCTAAGAGAAACTCAGTTGAGGACAATGCTCAGTTTTTTTATAAACAGCGGCACCACTTCTCAACGGCAGGAAAGCCACTGTCACGCCACTAGCACCATACAAAGCAGCCCTCTCTCCACGTACTAATGCAAGGGGGCTCCAGGGAAGAGAGACAGGCTGACCATCGATCGTAGTGACAAAACTGCCGCTGACTGCTGGCGAGCCCCTCCCAGCTGTGGTCCCTCCAGCCTGTCAGCCACCAGGAACCGTTTGTACCGTCAGCTCCCTCCTGAAGGTGTAAGTCACGGTTGTCTGGTGTCTTCTGACTTTAGGAGAGCGGTCCTCCGACGTTAGCACACATCAGAGTCACCCGGAGGGCTGGCCAAAGCCCAGGTGCCCGGCCCGGGGTTTCTGCCACAGTGGGTCTGGAAATCTGCATTTCTAACGAGTTCCGAGGGGAGGCCTGTGCTGCTGGGCTGGGGACCACACTTTGAGAACCACCGTGTTGAGAAAATTTCCAGCTCTTACCTTTAAGATCAGCTTGACTCATCAAGCACTTAGAGAAAAACTTAACCTTGGGCAGACAACTTGGGATTGGATTTATCTGCAGCATTCCTGCTCAGTCTCCCCAGTTTCTGTGTTTATCACACCAACAATTGTGTTTTACAAGCTAGAGGACAATGAATGTCTACATTCCATGGAGCAGTGAGATCAGTATGAGCTCCTCGTCTTTGTATTTAGATACATTGATTCTCTGGATAATCATTTGTGTCCCGGTGGCCCTTTGACTTGTACTGAGGTGATTTTAAGTTTAAGTATGTGGTGTTTGCGTTTCTCCTGCTCTTACAGTTTTAATGAGATGTTTCCATGCCGACTCCATCACAACCTTGGCTCCTGGCTTCCAGATGTTTCTGAGTAGTTGCTTGCTTGCTAGTAGTTTTATATCTCTCGTTAGTCACCGAAATGTCAGCACTTGCAGATGACATTACACTATTTGATGTACCTTCATTTTTCAGTTAATTGTCTGGTGTAAATTAATATTTTAATTTCCTGTTGACCTGCAGTCTACCAAATGGCTTCATGGAAATTTGCAAACATAACCACTCCCGTTTGAGCAGTAAATGTGCCTGTTTTAAAGACTTCTCAGTAGATGTGTTGGGTCGGTGCTCTCATCTGCACAATAGAGACCATATTCATTATCTCATCTTCCAAATGATGGGAAAATTGTAAAAGTGCATCCATATGCATTGGGAATACAGTGAAATCATGCTAACTCAAAGATAGCTGGGGCCTTAGTTTAGTTCTTCACTCTTTATCGAATTAATTGGCTTTGGAAATACATGAAAAATATAAGGAACATAGAGGGAATAATTCAAGAGAAAAAAATTACCTTAAAATCATCACCAATGTGTTACCTATTTAATTACACATAATTTTTATTGATTTAATAAAGTTTCTCTGAACACTTCTTAAATACCCTGATATCATTTAAATTTATTTTTTTGTATGAATAGAAAGTAATGACTATATTTACTAGAATTAATGAGATGAGAAAGTATATCAAAGTGTGAATGGTATCAAGGATTCAAATCCTTGCCTCTGTGGCTGGAAATAAAGTTTATCATTTTCCTTTTGTTTTCCATAACCTCTTTTTGGAAATTATGTATGAATTTAACTCTTTTAAGAATAATTTATTTCCAAATTAAATTTTAAAATTAACCTCTAAGAATATTTTCGATTTATTTTACCAACCGGTGCCAAAAAAAGGGGGGAGGGGGAAGATCTAAAAGCCAATCTTTTGAATCACCACATAAAATATTATGTTTTCTCTGAAAGTCGGGGAAGCTCTACTCCCTGACAGCACCAGCCGCCCATGGTCATCCATGGCTACCTCATGATTACGTGCAAGCTACTTCATATCCCTCCCTCTACTATTTGTTCTTCTGATTTTTGTTGGGAAGTAATTCTCGCTGATAAAAATAAGTTTCCCGCTACATAGGCAAAGCTGGACAAAGAGGAATGCTTCTGATATTTTGGTTTCACCTCAGTTGAAACCCTGTGGTAGAATATACGGGTATGGCGTGACGGGGCTGCAGGAGGTGCCTAGAGGGAAAGCTGATTGTGTCTGTTTTTGTTTCTTGATTTGTTTCTTGGTGGGTTGGGGTGGGGAGGGAAGAATAAAAAATGTATTGCCCTAATCATGCCAAATGATTGTTACTCAAGATTATTTTTATGCTTTTCTAAGAGGAATAAACTTAAATAAATTCTAAACAGTTCCCCTACTCCCATATCCCCACTCTAAATAAAGCCAATGGGTGGTAAGGGTCCTTTTATCCTTTCTTGTATTATGCCAAAGAATTGACTTGTATTCATTGAAAATTTAAAAAAAACCACAAAGCTTGGTATAGCCATAATGATTTGAGTCAGTATACCATTTCATCTACAAAATGCAAAATTTATCATTGCAACCCCATTCACCAGGAGCCTTGAAGCATTTCGTTTACTCCAAAGGACTTGTCAAGGAAGTATAGTTTTTGTTTTGCCTTATTATTTAGTCAGTTTGGTCACATTTATTTAAAAAAAGGAAAAGAACTGAAAACCACCCTCCTTTATATGTTGATATAACTGTTTAATTTGATATAATCTATTTGTTGTTTAATGGGTCTCTGTAAGCAAGTTTGCAAGTGTATTTTGTGTACATTTTATCTGAGGTGAAAATGAAAATTCTAAAGAGAAAATATTTTAAAAGATATTGTATTTATGTCGCTTGTGTTGTAGAATAAAGATTCAAATGCACTAAAAAAACTAATATGTATAACAATTTTTTTACCAAAAAATACACTTAACAAGATAATTTATGTAAATATCTTTTCAGAATTCTGCCTAAAGAACTAGGTTCCCTTCCAAGGTATTTCTGAATGAAGAGCCCCCTTTCCAATTCTGTAGCAGAGACAGCCACTGTTGAAAATTTAGTGCATGCCTAGAAAATACAGTTGAAGAAATGTATGTGTGTATACACCATTGTTTCCCTTTTTTTTAAGGGCTTATTTTACAATATTGTTTTGGGTTTTTCTTCATAAGTATAAAATCATATTATCAATAGATACTGATATAATCTATTCATTTAAAAAACTTATCTCTTGTTCATAAATGACTAATTCTTTGAATTAATAGGAGCATGATTATTCAAATGAAACATTCAGGATATAATACAACCACATTTAGCTTCTTGACCTTACTGGATTGCAGTTTTAAAATTAACTGTCTCAAAAGCCTATTAATAGTATAAGCCTAGGAATCCTCATACCCAAATCGTAGAAAACTGCTATCTGGCCAATAGAAGAATAAAAGACGTACAAAACACCATAGAGTAGGACTCTGTATATGACCTTAGATCATGACTACCTCATTCTTTCACACACTCTGGTAGTCTAACAGTTGTATTATTAAGACTTGGTCACTTCCATCTTGTGGACAGAATGAAACTAAAATAGACACTAATATACTTTGCATAAGGACAGCAGAACCACATTCATGGATGGAGACAGCTGTGGCAGAGCAGAGGCAGCCTTGGGCCTTCTCCAGGAAAGCAGAGTGCACATCCCAAACTTCGCCCCTCCCTGGGAGTGGGGAACCAGACAATCCTTGAGAACAAAGCTCAAGGTTCCCTTTAAAATGAGTATAAACTCTTCCCTCAAATGGCTGTTTCGAGACAACATTAGAGTTCCAATGTTACAGTGCTTTGTACATACTAATAGCTAATACATGCTAACTATTTATGGATAACCCATTTCATAAAAAGCCCCACTATTTTGCAAGATGATTTATACTTGAGATCTAATGCACACATAACCTTGACATCACATCCATGAATGCACTACGACATAGCTTAACATTTTGTGCCAGTATTATATGAGGAGATCAGCAGCTCAGATGCAGATCAGTTTAATCAAACATTTTGGAAATAAATTCTAGGTCAATAGCCAATTCTTCCATTATTAATATCCAGAATGAATACAATATGTGCTGAAATGTGTATGTATTTCTTTAAAGGAGAGACTTGATACACTTCAACTGTTTGGCTTATGATCAAAACTTGTATTATAATTCAGCTTTGATAAATATTTCATACCACTTATTAGAAAATTTACTTTCCCATCCGGCTTAAAGCTAGGTTCAATAAGCAAGTGAAAATAAAATTGAAGCATAATGCAATATTGTGGCTTTCACGTATTGACCAGCATTCCTGTTCCCTCAAGCCTTTGAAAGGGCGCTCTAAGCCTGCCTTTTATCTCTTCCTTGTTTGTTTTTATTTTTAGATTCCTAGTTACAACATCCAGTCATTGGTGCCCTGCATCTGCCCTGTTAACTTAATCTGGAGAAACAAACTCTCCGGTGTAATGATCTCATCGGAACTCAGAGGCAACAATATAATTAAATCCCAGAGAAGTTTATAAGCAGTTTCCAACAGAAAAAGGAAAAAAAAAGTGCCATTTCAACAAGAAGGGATCAAATTCACAACAGTTTAGAGCTGAGAACTGAAATACTAAACTTCAGTTCGCTATATAGCTTCCTCGTCTTCCCTACAGCACTACACTTTATTGTGCTTCACTTTACTAAGCTTCACAGATGCTGTGTTTTTACAAATTGAAGGCAAGACCCTCGACCAGCAAAAAGATTACAACCCACTTTATTTTGATAGTATTCACTTTATTGCAGTGGTTTGGAACTTGGACCCACAATGCCTCCCAGGTATGCCTGTGTATTAATTAATTGCTATATTGAACGATTGTAAATGGTACAAATGATGTAAGGAAGTAAAACAATGTTCTCTGCCAGTATCTGTAGCAGAGAATAACCTTCAAGAGAATAAATTAAATGTTAAATGTGCGGCAGAAGCCTCCATTATAACTCATCTTGAAAAAAAAAATGAGTATTGAAGTGCATTTACTAATTACAAAGGAAAAGCTACTTTTGGCCATATTATAGTTAAAAGTTCAGTATGCCAAGTTTGTTTCGGTCTGCTCCTACGACAGCCAGCAGCTCAGCAAATACTTGATAGATTTTCTAATAAAACAATGGGTTATAAAAATAACATTCTTCTGAAGCTGCAAACAGGTTTATTTTTCAAATGGGAGGAACATATGTTATTACAGACCTCTCAGATCAAAACCATTTAGAAAGGGGCTTCTTGGAAAACTGAGCATATTTCTAAGTGAGCATATTTGATATCTGTTTGAAGCCCTACTGACTAGAGACACAGACAGTATTTAGTTCAGATTTAGAGAGTTAAATATTACATTGTTAAATTGGTAAATGTAATTTATGTAGTTTGTATTCCTTGGCAGGGAATGGGGGGGAAGTCAAGAAAATCTTTGGGGAATTAGAGCACAGGGAAAGATAACTATTCAATATTTGGCCAAAATATCAATAGTACCGAGAAACTTTGCAAACTGTTTTTGACACATTTGATCAGTCACAACACCTCTCCATACACTGCACAAATATTTTCTTGTGTTTCAGTTGCATTTATACCTTTCTTGAAATAGAAATCATAATATGCTGAAATGCTGCATCTTTCCTCCCATCTTCAATATTAAAATGGGTGCACAAAAATTCAACCATTTTGATATTTGTTTAAAAGCATGCTGATAATGACAGCTGTCACAATAGAGTCTAACAAAATTGTTTCAAAGGAAGTTAAAGACAACTAAGTGCTACTAGAGCCAGCTTATGGGGGAAACAAACAAACTTTTTGGCCAGCCTCATACTATGCTCACAAACATACTGTGTTGATCTAGGACTGGGAGTTAGGGCTCCTGATTCCAAGGTGATCACAGCAGAATATAAAGTGACATGAGAGACAAATGTATTTGTTTCCAATGTAATTTGATGAGTTGATCACAAGTTTACAGCCATCCTTCCTTATGAGGATACTAGGACAGGGTGTTTTTTAACTGGTTATTGTATCATGGACTCCTTTGTAGTCCGGAGAGGTCTATGAATCCCCTTTCAAAATAGTTTTAAATATTTTAAATCACTTTAAATGCATATGGTAAAATATATTTTATTACAAAGGGCAACAATGTAATTTTCAATACACTCAACTATTGAAACCATAACATTTATGTCTTCTTTCTCATGAACACACTAAATAACAAGATTTAGCCACGCTTCTCATAGCAACTTCCAGGCATGTGAGGATTTTGAGAGCGCTATAAATGTAATAGGGAAAGGTCTACGACGTCCGCAGAATCTAGTCATGGGGCCTGCCATTATCACAGTGTTTGTTGCCTATGTTCAAAATTGAAGGACATGTTAAATTTAAGCTAGAAGTCAGTAAAAATAAGGCTATACATTTTCCCTTCCTTGTTCATGGACCCCTTATTTCTTTCCATACCTCAACTTATAACTTGTGCTCTAAAGCGAAGCTACACGGGAGGTTGAATGCTTGAACAACTGGTACCTATTTCTGGGCCTCCACCTGAACTCTTCCACTTAGGGACCAAATTTACAGCCTTTTAATTTTAGGTCAGATTATACATCAGATTCTTAGAACTAGATTCTTAGAGTAAGAGTGGGACTTAGCTTCTTAGAATCATTTTCACAGACTGATCCATAGGCTCTCTGTATCGCTGTCCTTCTGAAAGCTTGTCATATGCAGATTCCTGAGTCCTACATCATTCTTAGTGGGTCATAATTTTTGAGGCAAGGCCTGGACACCTGCAAGTTCAACAATCAATCAAATGGTTCTTGTGTACATTGCAGTCTGAGCCTGTCTAGGGAGCAGAGCGAGCTCGCATGCATAAGTGAACTTAGGGTAGGAGGGGGAGCTGAGGGGAGGGAGGTATGTTTTTGATATAGGATGAGTCACTTAGGAAGCCATCCAGTTGTATGCTTTTTGAAGATTATGTGTAGAAACTACATGTAGTTATAAGGCTGCTTTTGGCTATAGTCCGCATGGAGTAGGAGGTGTTTTTGGCTGGTTAGCTCATGAAGCGGGGCGATAGCAGCCGTGGCAGAAGGGAAGGTGGTGTGCCTAAGTTCACCCAGGAGGAAGCCGAGGGGAGGCCATGGAATCAGGTGGGGATACATTGGGTTTACC